TAGTATTAGAGATATGAGTGATCGAGATATGAAAGTTTGACCGTAAATATTATTGTGAGAAAAATCTTATTTTGTTAATTTTGTTAATTTTGATTTATTTCTTTTCGTCAAATACTTTGATAGATATAATTTGTTTATAATTTGTTTTTCCCTGCTTTTGACAAAAAACCAAGTTCAGTCGTTTGGCAAGAGGACTAAGAAATGTAAAATGCCTGTTTATATATGTATTAAGGGAAAGGAAAATATAAATAAAAATTATCATTTCTGTGACTATAAAATGTGGTATATAGAGTGGTTTATAGGATAAAGACTCTTAACTGTACCAAGGTATTAATTCTGAGGTCTATGCACAGGAGAAGGTTTATTGTAAACCTTTCTATGATTACTAAAGACCGTTATTTTACCTTACCTTAAGAAGATGCCTTAAGCAATTTTCCTCTGAATTACTTAATGTATATTCTCGCAAACATGGTTAACGGAAAAAATAATGGTTGATATAATGATCATTGTCTATTTAGAATAAATGTATATCTTTTATTGATTAAAAATTGGTAAAAGAAGGACGTCAAGAATTGTTCTATATTGATTTTTTCTTCTCCATTTAAACATAAAAAGAATATAAAGTCAAACTGAGATCCTTTTAACCATTCCCTGGAGTATATTAATTGAACAACTTTTTTTTGAACCTAATATAGAAAAAAGTTAAGTATATTAATTAACTTAATATACAAAAAAGTTAAGTATATTAATGAAGTTAACTTTTTTTAAAATTTCAAAAGACCAATATTTTTGGGTATGTTGCTAAAGTATACCTTCAAATTTAGCGGTTTTTCTTACATCTATTTTATTTTATTTTGGCGCTACAGTGTATTTTATCGCTCAGTAAAGAAGCTATACTTTCAAATAAAACGCAATTATTTTTTGGCAATATTCAATTTTAGCGATCTCAGCTCCCTCGCTAATAATGCCAAAATTAAATTCTCACTAAAAAATCTGCTTAAACAGTATTGTTTTCTATTACTTCAACAAATGAAAAACAAATTTGCGGAAAAAACTTAACGATCATAAAAAAAAAAAAAGCCCGAAATAAATGTTATGTTCTAATTTTTATGTATCTACTCTAAAATCGCACAATTAAAGTATTTACGGAAACATTGTCAAGACGTCTATCTAACTTTTTTCTTTTCTTAATCTGATGCAATTCTGATTGAAATTGTTGTAAATGTGACTGTCTGATACTATCTGCCTACATGTACAAAGGAATACTGACTCCAGACATTTGCAAAATGAATTAACTTGCATGCACTGACTACTATTACGAAAATGGCAAGAAGTCCATTGGCCACATTGCTCACCTAAGCAAAACAGAAATCAGTTTGATATTGAAAAGTTTAATTATAAAAAAGATTGTGTTTCTTGAATGTATAAAGGCCTTGGGGACATGATTTGAACGCTTTTGAATCCACACAACCTGAGGATGCTTCTGAATATTACAACAGTGCAGTAGTATATTACGGAAGCCCATTTAGGACCTATCAAAAATATTTTTGAATTCGTTATACCGATTTTTAGAATTCGTAATAACGAAAAGTTTAACAGATTTTTAGAATTCGTTATAACGAATTTAATTTGTTATAACAGATTCATTGAATTCGTCATAACTAACTTAATTTGTTATTACAGATTTGTTGAATTCGTTATATCCAAATTCTTGAACTGGTTATAACGAATTCAACAAATCTGTTATGACAAATTGAATCAATTATATCGAATTCAATAAATCTGTTATAACAAATTAAATTCGTTATAACGAATTCAATAAATCTGTTTTAACAAATTAAATTCGTTATAACGAATTCTAAAAATCGTTATAACGAATTCAAAAATATTTTTTGATAGGTCCTAAATGGGCTTCCGTAATATATGACTGGCTTTGATGTTCTTGAGAAGAAAAGTTTTACTGATGTATCTCTTACATTCAGTCGTGACATCGGTCAAACCCCCAGAGGGCAAGATGTAAAAAAAGATACTGATTCTTCCATATCAATTTAATTAAAGAAGACTGCTTTTCTTGAGAAGTAGATTTTCCCGGTATATTTCTATGAAATAATATGAACCCCATGAGCCCGATCTAGCCTCAAGGGTTAATGATTTGAACAAACCTGAATGTAAGTACCCGCAATACAGTCATATTTATATCACTTATCATGGCTTTGCAGTTCTTTAAAACAAGATTCTCCCAAGTTTTTTTTTACAATTTCTATGTACAAGTGTGATTCCCATTTCGGCTCCACCTAACCTGATTTAAACAAATCTTCCATATCAATATGACTAGTAAAGACTTTGACGTTCTTGAGAAGATTTTTCGAGATTTCTACCTATGTATCCCTGCCTAAATTTGATCCCCATTGTGGCTCCTCCCTACCCCCGGGATATTTAATGGCTAAAATTAAAAACATCGTTGTGTACAATGATTTTATAAAGTATGTACTAAAAATTATTTGTATCAGCATGTTACGCAGATAATCAAAACAATTGAACACAAATCTGTGCATTGATCTGAAAGACTTTCTACTAGTATGACGAAAAAAAATATTTTTTCCATTCAGTATTATCAATGAAATATAGGTAGATAACGAACAGCATTCAATTCCAAATGTCCATTTCACGATACAAAATAGGAGCAGACCATTCAGCAAATAGAAAAATGATAATGAAATAAAAGTATTTTTTTTCTTTTCTTTTATTTTAAATTTTTTATTTTATTTTTTTTTTATTTAATTTTTTTTTTTTTGTATAGATAAATCAAAATCATTACTTGTCTTCTGGAATCTTTTTTAAAAATAAAATGTGTCTTTTTACAAATTACACCCGTTCCAGTTATCAAAGATACATTTATATGAACGATAAATTGAAAAAATCTTATCTTTAACAAAAGCCAGATAACAGTTTTCGGTCTGAATGGAGAACAAAACTATCTTTTCAAGTAATGTTTAAAACTACTATAATTATCTACAAAAACTCGCATTTTTCGCTACAGCTTTGTAATAGTTTTAAAAAATAAAGTGATTTTGAAAGGACAAATTGTAAGCATATTTGCAAAAATCAAATCAAATTTAGAGACAGGGCTGATCTGTAAAAAGCATCGCACTCAGCATGCGCAATTTAGATACCGGTATATTTAATTATCTTTTAAATATTTAGCAATATTTGTAAGGTTTGATGAAATGAGAAGATAACGAGAGTATAGTTATAAACTTGCTCAAAATTTAAATTAAACCATATAAATTGTGAGCAGAGCAAAAGAATATCTCTGAGGACTTCAAAGGAGTTTTTTAGTTTGAGTTCAACGGGATATATAAAATCAACGCATAAAAACAGGTAAATATTGACAACTGGTAAAATGTCATCGATATCTCTGAATGTTGAATGAAAGGCCACAGCAAGAGACTTTTTTTCATTTTATAGTTGGGAGTAAATTCTGCTTAATAGAATCCAAAAATAACTTCGCCAATAATAGAACACGTTTAAACCCCATGAGAATTCTAACAAATTGCTGAAAATCCGTCGTCGTTCGTAGTTCATCATTTGAGCACAACAAATATATTTTCAATGATGTACTCAATCTTTTGATTACTTTAGGTAGCATAATAACAATTTTTATTTAATGCAATAAGTATTTTGATAACCTAGTTACCCATCATTACCCATCAAATTGCTTATTTCTTTCCATAATCCTCTCAATACTAGAACGCCTTATCTTATAATTTGTTTGAAATTCTCAAATGTATTATCAACAATGACATATAGGAAAGTATTTGTGATATTGATGTAATTTCCTTTTTTAAGAGTTTCTTGAGGTTTTAATTATCTGCATTTAATTAAAACCAAATCTCGATATGTTTTAAGTACCTTGAGCTTTTTTTCTTTTTTTAATGTTTATATTTTTGCAAGGAGTAAAAAAGAAGAGGCTTGATAAACCATTTTCTGCATTCCGCTATCTATCTTTTTTCATAGGCATATTTATAAAATTTTAGAAGCAAACATATTTTTTAGTAGTTAAAATCAAAATCGTTGTTCGCAATGTTCGAAATTTTTTTTTAAATGGATACTGGCACATAATTTTTATGACCCTCTTCCTAACAAAAGGAACGTTGCGTTAAATTGGACCACTTATAGGATTAAATGTAATTTTGTAATTTTCCATGAAATGCAATTTTTAAAAATAATTTTGAGCCTTACAAACAAATTATAATATACACATATTATTTGTTTGTTAGGCTAAGAATTGTTTAAATTGCATTTTATGGACTTAACTCTGGTGTACCGAGAGTTGTATTTGATTAACTTGGAGATATACACTCAATGTCTTAACTTAGGATATAATTTGATGATTAGATTACATTACACGATGGCTTAAATGTAAAGGATGTCACCTAGCATTTTGACAGACAGGATACAAAGTGAAAGGTTGATGGTGAACACTGTTTTAAAAGACTGAGACTAAATTAAACCATCGTCTTTTATAAAATACGACAGAATTATAATGTTCATATACTAGTAATTCTATCCTCAGTTAATATGTCGTCCTGCTAATTCGATACACAAGCGTATATTCTACGCAGGAACAATTTCTAAAAGGATCCATGCAATTGACAAAAATATTGATGATCTCAACAGTCTTTTTAAGTAAGCATTTCGCATATTATATAGTTGATACATTATGGTATTTTATACAACAGAAATAAAAACATTTCTTGAATAAAAATCTTATTTTTGGCATTAAAGACAACAAAATAGACCAATTTTTCAGCATTTATTTTATCTTTACAAATTAATGAAATAAATTATCAATTATCAATCATTTTATGGACTTGCTTGATATTTTAGTAGTTGACCATTCATGGTATAGACAATCATGGCAAATAATACAAAATCTGTTATTGACAGTATTGCTTCCTAAATGTAGGTCATGTTCCAATAGGTTATCGCCTTGAAGACTACGGAGTTATGTCAACACAGTCATGATTAGTAAGGTATGACTATCAAAATCGTCACAGGTATATATACATGAATATTTTATTAATTAAAACCATTTCGTATTACTTCTTCTCTGATTTTTAGTCGATCGTTCTTTGTATAATTGTACTTTGGAGCTAGGAATCCCGGTAATGCTAGGATCCTAAAAAGTGCCATCGGCCAGGGATCTTAATGTGCCATTGATATGTACAGACTAACTATAATTTTTTTTAATGAATATCTTATTAACTAAAACAATTACTATCGTGTTTTCCTTTGTTTTAAGTCGCATGCCTGCTCTCTATATTGCTGGTAGAAGGTAAGTCCGGTATTTTGGTCTTTATAATGGTGTCAAACAAAATTCATAATCCTTTTTTTATATGTATCACTTTATAAATTGATAAATAAATATTTTGTAATTAGTTTATTTACGATATGCGATGAAATCTAATCTTTTAAGAATGGCAAAACCTTCATGCTATTATTTTTATCATTTTAAAATTTTATTTATTTAGTTAAAATGAAACAATAAAATAAGTATATCTTTCTACTTGAAGCTCATGGTCTTCTGTGCTTTCACTGTGATCTTGTTGACGACCCCCTAAAATGTCATTCAACTAAAACATGTAACACCCACGAGGTAAGAAATTTTGTCTTACTTTAAAACTTTTCAGTTTAAAAAAAAATAACCAATGCATGATTCGGGGCTTGTTAAACCTCGTGATCATTAATTTTGCAATTTCTATGGTCCTTATTGACTTTATTTGCCAACAACCTATTTTTCTGTTGAATTTTGACATTAACATGCCAACTGTTGTATCATAAATTTAAAAGAATATTGACTCCGGTTACCAGTTTCCTTGGTTTAAATAGAGGGATTACAGCAGTTATGACCAGTTGACGGGTATGCTTAGCCTCTTAGGCACCTGATCACACATCTAGTGGACACCAAAAAATCCATGTTTCATTGTGTTTATGATGCGTACAGAGCTTTTAGAATTGATAACTCTTTACATGTATTATCTTCATCGTTTTTTATTGAGAAGTTGAGTGTCATTTTCCAAGATGATCTTTTTTAGGATAATTCTTACATGGGGAAATACGAGTATACTGTTTAACATACCAAAACAATAAGAAATATTTGAATATTGAGTGTTTTAACTCCTTTTGTAAAAAGGAGGTATTGCTTTCTTCTTGAGAAAAAGGACAATGTACCAACGTTAATGTATACCTATCACTAAACCAAAGACTTTGGTATGACTTTGCGCATGCATTGCGATGGATTTTATATAATGTCATATGATTAACTATTTAATATATATGACTCATCAGATATAATGTTTCATTTTCTTTAACAGAGAGAAAAGCTATTCAAACATAATTTATAAGTCCTTTTTGTTTATTGTCTTGTCTTATCATTGTATTTCTTTCTACTATTAATTAAGGTCTATGAATTTATTATTGTGACTTTCTTTCAGGCTTGTCATGTAACAGAAACCATTGATGATAACTTTAATTTGACCTACAGACTCGGATGTGTAGCTGAGCAGGTATGTCTACAAATCAATTATAGTGATATTTTCCTTTGAATTACAATATCATATTACATTAGTCAATAATACATGCTTCAATGTAGGAGTGCCCAAATCTTTCCCGTAGCCCCCGAGATAAGCTATTCAGAAGGAGTTTGTCCAAACAATGTTGCAGCACGGATTTGTGTAACCGGGGGTACGCAGGATTATTGACCAGTAAAGCCACTCCTACAACTTCTACCCAGACAACTACATTAAGACCAACAACAACAACTCAGATATCTTCCATCCAAGAAATCACAACACGTCAACATCACACCACTACCCAGGTCCACAATACAGATCATACTTTTGATGGTAAATACACGACAAAAAATATAAGACCTTGTTGTGAATGTCTGAGAGAAATCCATGTGGAACCAAATACATAGGTGTGATAATCAAAGCATATATTGTCAGTCTGAAGCATGATATCAAAGTGAATTTATAATATATATAACATAAAAACCAATAGTGCATGACCTTTTCGAGGAAAAAGTTGAATGCACGTAATTTCATTTTATATATACACTAATGAAGAAGTAGAAATCAAGGGAATACTTAATTACATCCACATATACAAAAATGCAAAGTAAGCTTAATTCTGTTTAATTTATGAACAAATAAAGCAAATGAAAATCTTGTGGGATTATGGATTTCACAAGGATTTTATCTATAGGCAGGTGCCCCTATGGACATATATATCACGGATACTGTTATGTTCCATCTTTACAGTACGGTCATCGCTGGAATATGGTAACACGACACGATGCTGACGTAAGCAGTACTTCTATATTAAGTGAGAAGGAATATTAAATCGTAAATATATAAGCTGGAGTCACTTGTCACGTTATTAAAAATGGACATAACGTTTCAAAACAGACACTGATCTTGATCAGACAGAAATGCATTATGTAAAACGTGTTTAATGCCTTCAACAAAGTGTTATTTACGTATGTGTAATCTCGTTTTACTGATACAATAATACTCTATACAAAAGAAATCAAATGATTAGAGCTGGTACTCTTTCACCTCTGTACAAGAATTGTTCATCCTGTATTATACAATGTAAAGTATACGTGCAGTTTTGTTAAAAAAAAATGTTCAGAGGCCAGTATAACAAATTAAGGTTAGAAAATGTTTTTTTCATCATTTGTTTCATTGTTATTTTTTAGACATATTGCAAACAGCATGGCATGACTCTACCAAGCATACATTCACTGGAAGAGGAATTGTTTATACACAGAATTATGACCAGCAGTATGTTCTAATTTATTTATCATCAATACTACAATATGTTCCATGAAGAAGAAAACCATGGACTTGAATATCTTAATCTTCATTTTATATCGTTATATCTGCAATTCAAATTATAATAACTAACTTATTATACAGAAATAATGAAGTCAAATTGGAAATATTTTCCTAAAATATAAATATAACGAACAGTAATCAAGATTAAAAGTCTATTAAAACTATACAGATTGGAAGTAGAGAAATTACGAAGTAGAATCAGGTGTCATGAGGAAGAAAAAATCCCTGACCGGTTTCACCTGCACTACCCTTTTTGTCATAATAGGGCAAAACGGAAAATCCATAAAGAGTTCAGTGTTGATAGATTTTAATTGCTGACAAGGTTATTGTATCGACCTTAGAATTTGCAAAGTGTTGGCATTAAACAAGGCTTTTAAAACTTTGTATCATGATCTGTATAGAGCTTGCTTCGTTTTAAAATTGTCCGTACAAATAGCATGTGTCATGTATCGAATCAACTCTGAGAGGTAAACTTCATGTAGGTGATAATGGTATAAAACTATATACTTGTAAATAAGGAAAGTTGCCTGTAGTAAAAATGAAGTCATCACATTTATCAAAATGTTTTTGTTGCGTTACCATTACCATCTTTTCTGGTAAAATACCAAAATATGAAAAAGACTTTATGATGTCTTTTATTTCGAGTTCAAAGGTATATATCGATTCTAAATAGTAATGAAAATGAACATTGTCCATTAATAAAACGTTGTCGGAATTTCTTATTGTTGAATGAAGGGCCACAGCAAGATACCTCTTGTTTTCATGTTTCCATAAGACAAAATGATTTGATTGACAAAATTTAAAATTAATCCCCCAGCCCCACTCCCACCACTCCCCCTGAATTGCTATCTTTTATAAAATTAACGTATTTGGAAAATTGAGATAATCAAGTTCTTCCATAAATTGTATTAAAATGCCTCCTCCCTTACGTGGCAATGCCCCAAACCTCCCTTATGAACAGGCATAAGAAACTGTGAAATCTTAAACTAAGATTGCAATTACTTATACGAGTATAAACTATATAGCACAAAGATATAACATGGTAATTGTTTTTAAATCAATATCTTTATGAAAAGTTCTCTTAACCACGAAAAATAAGATACTTGATTTTCATTATTGTAAACTTGCAGATTAATATAAGTTCCGTCAAATGCTCTATTCCCTGAATTCTAGTTTTGTTTTTTTGTTTTTTTTGTTTTTTTTTTTTTGTTTTTTTTTTTTTTGTTTAGTTTTTTTTTTTTTTGGTTTTGTTTTTGATTTGTTTTTGGTTTTGTATTTTTTTTTTTTTTTTTTGCAATTAGTAGATTCGAACTTTTTCAAACTTGATTCCGAACTGTACTCCGTTTTTAAAAATATTGTATTGGCATGCCTTTTATGAAAATGCTAAATAAAATCCATTGTTTGAAGATGTACACTGGATCGGTCTCCAGGATACACAATGGGATGATGGAAGCTTATTTAATTTTAACCGTTTGGATCACGATAGCTACCATTCTGCTTCAAACAGGCATTGTATCGTCATGGGCAAAGACCTGAAATGGTGGGTTGTCGGATGTAATCAACACCATTACTTTTTGTGCAAAAGAAAGTAAGTCAGAATATCAAAATATAATTGTGCTTTATAATTTTGAGAAAAATAATCCCCGTTATTATAGTCAGAATTACTTTACTTAATACGTTAGGCATGTGTGTTCGTTTATAGTGTTACGCTGTAGTTTAAACAATTATTACGAGTTTGTTCCTTTCATTTAATTCAAAAATGTATATGTTTTAATAATTTGCAATAACAATGAATATTTTTACTTTAATTTTGATTGATTTCAGGATTCAACTGTCTTGATAAATCTGCAGATCTGGCAAAATTATGATACAGGCACTAATTTGTAAATAAATGATTTTAAAGGTCGTCTTTCTTCACTTTATAAACAAAGATAAATTAAGTTTGAAACGAAATAAAAAAGAAAATTCATCTTGTAAAGGTGTAAAATATGAAAAAACCATCTTAACGTCTTAATTCAAGTCTTAATTTAGCATTTATAGGACATTCTAAATCACGAGCAATGTCTACGTATTTGTCCTGAAACATGGTTTAGAGTATTACAACAAAAAAAAGTTCAGTTCATTCAAAATATCAGACAGATGGCTCTCAACAAGGAAAACAAATACGCTTTGTTGTGCTAAATATTTTTATATTCAGATGAAGCAGAATTCGTTCAAAATCTTAATCGTGAAAAGAAGAAAACACTTGCTGTGGCCTTCAACTCGACATGTAGATATATCGACGACGTATTGTCTATTAACAATGGGTTTTTTTTTTCATTCTTGTGTCGATACGATATATCCAAGTGAGCTTAAAATAAAAGTTACCACAGAGTCTGACAAATTTGTTTCAAATTTGGATATTTAAATTAAAAGGACGTTAATGGTATTCTAACAAAACAGCTCTATGATAAACGTGATGACTTTAACTTATCAATCTTCAACTTCCTTTATTTATTCACATTATACCTTCATCGCCTGAATACAGGGTTTATATCTCTCAGTTGATTCGATACGCAAGAGCATGATCTACGTTTGTACAATTTCAATAAAAAATTATTGACAAACAAGTTGATGAAACAAGAATATCAACATTCTCATTTGCAGTTTTGCAAGTTCTATGGTCGATACAATAACCTTTTCAGCAAATACAATTTATCAATGCGTAAAAATGCTGATTGACTTTTTCAAGGTAATTATTAGGACATTAATATTTACACACTGAATTGACGACGGATTTTTTCCCTTATTTCTCGATCATGACAAGGAGCACACGGCAGGTGGACCGGTGGGCAGGGGTTGCTCACTCCTCCATGACACCTGATCCCACCTCTGATGTTTTGGAGATCCGTGTTTGCCCTGCTCCTATTTTGTTTTGTTTTATGGATTTTTGAGCTTGAATATTGTTCGTTATCACCATATATTTCATGCAGGTGTGAAGTGGAGGTTGTTTTTGGTTTTTTTATCCTGTATTTCAATTTTAGGATTCCAGATCACTAAAAATTGTATAAAATGTCATGTTATCTTAAATAGATACTTTGCTTAAAACGAGGATCTCATAAATAGATACAGGCACTTTTTTCAAAAAATAATTTTTAGCTTATAAAAAGCAAATCGCCAGACTAATTATGCCATTGAGGTCAAAGGATACCAAAAATCTGGATAAATTATGTGTTTAATCATAACTTTATTTAATTTGTATGTTTGTATATTTGTAATACAAATTGTATATTTATGAATATCCTTTGTCCTCAAAACAATGGACCACAGGGGGGTGGAGGGGGGTATAACTGAAACAAAACCAAAGTGATGTTCTTGATTCATTTACCAGATATGAATTCATGTTGTTTATTTATGCATGTTAAATTATGTAAATCCAAAAAAACTAATGAACTCTGTATTTATGATAAGACTATGGCACTCGATGTAAGAAGCAGATGAAATTGTTCAGACTAACAAGGGCGAATAGGGAGTAGGTGTTGGTAGATTTTATGTCTGTATCAATATTTGTTTGCTTGTGTTACATCGTATTAAGTTTTTTTCTTTGTGAATTTTAATTTACGTCAGTTCTCAGCTTAATTGATATAAACTGAGCTGGATGCCATTTCAGCTACCTTAACACATTCCTATTATTGAGTAACAAACAAAGAAAGCATTTTGTTGTTTAATTAAATGTTTACGATAGATATAAATCATGTGCATATCAATGACAATTCTTTGTGGACATAGCATTAGACCATGCCCACATTAAGGTCATGGGAGGTAAATTAAAACGGTATTAAAAAAAGACATGTAAAAAAAATATTTTGATAAAATACCCATGTAGATAGCTTTGTTTTGCAAATAAAGTTTTTTTAAAGAACTTGGCTAAACACAGGGAAAAAATCTTTCCATGTTTTTTTTTATTGATATCAAATCCTTTAAACTTTTTCATGTACCGATTCATGAATTATTTTTCTAGAGGACGTTATTAGAGCCTTTTTATTTCATTTTAATTTTTTATTATATTTCAAACCATACATAATTTATGCATTCGAGGATTAATTAAATGTTCCATGAATTCCTGTGATTCCTACTGATTAAAATCTTTTATATCCTTTTTCGATTGGAATTCTATTCGCCCAAAAATGACCCTCTTGAAAATTCATATTTTTCTCCCAAATTTCCTTCATTTTGAAACATTGTTTTTAATAAATTAAACATATTGTTTGTAATGAGTTGTTTTTCTTCCAATAATTATAAAACATTCAAACAGCTAATGCTTTTAAATTTTTAATATTATGCATTATACTGTATCAAGTTCTACAATTTTGTTGGCTGAGTTCTCATAATTGTTTAAAGCATCATTTAAGTCAACGGCAATTGAATTATTAGTTGCAACATCTTGGATTTTGTCAACACCACCGAATATCATAGAAACAGCTTCAAAGTTTTGGCCAAATTTGGTAAGAACAATTGCTCCACTGTCTCCAGGCAATGAAAACCTGTTTTCTTTGTCACTTGTATCGTCTGGTTCAATCAGGTACACATTTATTGGCGGTTCTAACATTAGAACAAATTCGACATTACTTACATACCCTATAGTTTTCTTCGTGGAGGCACCAAACTTTATCACTTTTCTTCTATCTAGAACACTGCGATCTCCTCGAAAGCGCAAAACCTGACCACCTAAGTTCCTGTCTATTTGAATACCCTGATTTAACCTAATAACAGAAATGTCTTGCACATTTACTAAATATTCTTCTGCAGGCTGTGGCCACTCACATTTTCCAAGTTCTATTCTTTCATTTAAAATATAAGCTCTTTGACCAGAAGATATAACATGGGGACTAGCGATACAGTATTGCATTGGAAAACCATTTTCATTGCATTTATCTCGAATATTACAAAACATTCCAACACTTCCATAGCTATTTTTGTTTCTCCAAGGGTATAATTTTTCTCCAGACTTTGTCCTATGATGTAACGTAAATAGAGGTCGGCGATGCTTAATTTCGATTATTTTAAAACTTGGATACGCTTCCTTGATACTCGGTGGGATGGAGTCCTCGGTAATACATGAGCGGTGCTTGAAAAACATGAGAAGAGTATCATCTTCTAATGTGTATCCTCTAAGTCCTTTGTCTTTTAAGCTGTAATAGAATGTCTATGGAGTTGAAAGAAAATATATCAAAAGTATCTTTTTAAAAAAAAAATTGAAACGTAATTGCATATTAAATTTGTTCGAAAACTTGTCCATTTAATTTTTTTCTCATAGATCATACATATTTCTTTGCATGTATTTTTATCCGTTTCTAGAAAATTTATACAACCTTAAAAATGACGGATCCATAACATTCAAGGATTCCTTTTTCATGTTTGAGTTGCTTTGTCGTCGTTCCTTGTTTTCTCTCTGACAAAGTTTTAAAAGTCTCTGCTCAATGACGTCCAATTTCTTCCCATCTTTGCAGTTTAACTTTGCATCCTTTAGCATTTTCTTCACACAAAGTATTACCCTATCTTTTACTTCAGAAAATTTGTCGAACAGAGTTTTCATTTCAGTATTAAAATCTATTATTCTTAATTGTTTTTCAAAACACCCTTTCAGAATGTTCTTTAGACGAGATTGATCCTTAAGCAATTGACTGGATTGAACAACCAAGAAAATACTCCCTCTTCTCGTTTCAAGCTTTCTTGTATTTTTTGTTATTTCCTCTAACTACAATACATATGGTAATTAAATTATGTTATATTTTTTTATCTTCAATATTTATAGATTTGTAGCATTAAGAAGATAGAGCTTTTATATTATGTTGTGTTTGTGAAACACTGATGCATGGTATTTCAATTTCAGCTTATATGGCTGGAGTTTTTCAAATGCAAGTCAAAAAACTGTGAAATATGAAAGCTCTAGTACTAATGGTTCAGGACTAATAATCGGAGTTAAAGTTTTTTAAAAGTGTTTCAAACTCTAATGTCAAGGTCAAAAGGTTATGTTTTCTTATACCCATTGGAAGGTCTTGACACAGTAAATACACAGATGAAGTATGAAAGCCCTGCACCAACCATTCAAAAGTTGCGGACAAGGTTAGGGTAAGTCTGCAAGGTTTAGCATGAGGGTTAGGTCGGTATAGTACCCCAAAAAAGGACTTGTCATACGGAATACACCTGTGAAATATGGAAATCATAGCCCCACACAATCAGAAGTTATGACCAAGATTAAAGTTTGCGGTAAACAGACAGACGGACGGACAGGGTAAAAACTATATATCCACGAATCTTCGATTACAGGGGCACAAATAAGAAATTCAAATATATATTTCTAGATATCTATTCATAGACTAATATATTTTGTGCAAGGTTAATCAATCACGTAAATATCTGAAAAGACTGATATAAGACACTTCCAAACATACATGAATTTCATTTCAAAATAACCTCTGTAAAATAATTTGCTTAATAGTGTGCTTTATTATCAAAATGTTCAAAACTTTTTTAAAAAGATGTCAAAAACTAGAACAATCTTCTCTACAAGAACATTTCAACTGCTTTATGATCTTTCTTACCAACCTTTAATTTTTTTTCTTTTTAATTTTTATTTGATATTTACAAAGAATCACCTCAAAATCTGTTTTTATTTTGCATAAATTGCTTCAGGTTACTTGTCAGTTTTATTGTCGACATTATGACCTTGACCGCATATAAAAAATTTGGGTCGTATTTTTTTTTTTTTTTTTTTTTTTTAAATTTTAATAATTTTATTAATCATTATGCAAACCCGTTTACAATTCCTAACTAACCCGGGCCAGGATAGTTAGTATAACAAAAAAATAGAGTAACATATATTTAGTTAAAGCATTTCTACAAATGTCACCATCTTATTTTTATACATGTGAGTTTTTGTTGAATTCAGTAAAATGTTCATATTGTTTATAATATTTGTTTTTACATAGGACTATAACAAATCTTCTGTTTCAGTTTTGTTCTGAACTCTACAAAACATTTTAAATTTATATATCTTGTATGCTAAAAAAGAAACAAAAGTATTTAAAAATTGTATTTTGGAATTCCGTTCAAAATAAAAACCTAGGACGACATGTTTCCACTGTACATCAAAATTTAACACAGAACTCAGATTTTTCCATAGTATATGAACATGATCACAATCAAAAAGTAAATGTTTAATATCTTCAATTTCATCACACATATTACATAAAGCAGAAGTTCTATATTTGCATTTAAAAAGAAAACTGTTACAACACAATATATTATTCAACAATTTATAGTTAAATTCACATATTCTTTTGTCATAGATGTCTTTAACCTTATTTCTATATATATCCTTCCAACTCTCTTGAGCAACAGAAAATAATTTTTTATACATTAATTGATGGCTTGGGGCTTTAAATTTCTTACAGAGTAAATTATCGTAAAAAAAATTACATTTTTTATCTTCAATACAATATACACCATTTACAAAATCAAAATAACGCTCCCCTATATTCTGTATGTATGCACAGCAAGTCATATTGAATCTTAAAGATTTTTTATAGATCGCTGTTTTTAATATTTTGTATTCACACATCCAATTTGATTTTTGTTTTAAATCATCGGACAATTCTTGTAGAGTTTTAAATTTTCCATTTTTATTAAAAAGGTCTTTAACATGTATTATCCCACTTTTGATCCAATTTTTAAAACATAGTGTTTTGTTTTCATATTTAAACATATTATCATTCCATATAGGTTGCTGAGCAAAACTTACATTAGACAATTTAGTTTCATCGATGTATCTTTTACAATCATTAAAACTGCAAAATACTTCTTTATAAAAAACCGACATGTTTGAAATGATTTTAAAGTCTGAGGATTTTGTCTCCGATAATGATAATAGATAGTTGATATCAATATTAAGACTATTTAAATATCCTCTTATTATTTCGCCTATTATACACTTTTTATCTATCAAGTATCTAGCCCATGCCGCCTTTAAGGCCTTGAATTTCAATTCAATATCTATCACACCTATACCTCCATCTTCTTGTTTTCCGATCACAGTATCTCTTTTAATTCTATCGCGCTTATTCCATATGAAGTTAAATATGCTCCTCTTAATTTGTCGAATATGTTCGGGATCGGGCATTGGTAATATTGAACCCATGTATATAAGTTTTGACGTAGCTAAAGAGTTAATGACACATGATTTCCCAAAAATAGTCAATTTTCTTTTTTTTCCACGATTCAAAGAGTTTTTCCATGTTTTGAAAAGTCTTTAGCCAGTTCAATTCATAACATTGAATTTTATTATGGCCAATGTGTATACCTAAACATCGAACAGCATCATTTGTTACATGTATGCCGTCTATGTTAGTGTATTTATCTTTTAGACTGCCCAATAATATACATTGTGTTTTGCTTATATTGACCTTTGAACCAGCGTGTTTACAAAAATCATTAACAGTCTTAACTGCAACATTCAAAGAAGATATATCTTTTAAAGCCAATGTGATATCGTCTGCATGCTGAATATTTTTAATATCCCTTTTCATGTTTAAGGATACACCAAAGGCTTTTTTCAAGATTTTTGTCAATTTTGAGATTTTTGGCTAAGAAAACAATGCTAATCACTGCTTTATAATGCATGGAAAATTCTTGCTGATTATTAAATGGTTTTCTAATTATTTAACAATAATCAAACATAAACACTAACACATGTGAATGTGCCGTTATTGAAGCTTCTGATTTGGTCTGTAACTGCCTGCTTCTGAAAGGAGCAATAAATCACTGTGACCACTTGGGGAATTCTTCACTAGCCACACAGAGGTTACCAGTAATTAAATTACAGGGACTCTAGATTTAGGGAAGGAGATCTAACAGGTCACTAATGACCATGAAATAGGAGGTGGAGCTTAGCTCTTGCCATTTTGCCGGGAAATTTTTCTGATTCAGAATTGAACCTATTTTACTTCATTAAAAGCACCTAAATAAAGAACAGAACCTCCCATTCTTGTGAATATGCATAGGAAATATGGATAAGTGACAGGTATCCAAAGCTGAATCTCCAAGGTGTCATATATTTCCAGCTTTGGCAGACTTTGTTGTGTAATGGGTTTTTGCCCTCTACTGTAAAGTAAGATCAGACAGTTGGTGGTATTATTTGAAAGGATTCAGCTCCCTTATTTATTGACCAATTTCTCTGAAAACTGGCCAGAATGTTTCTCAAATGTGTGTTCACAAAACCGTATCTCAGATTTTTGATATCTTGCTCAGTTCTTGAATTATTGGGGAAAATGTAGCATTAGGCTAATAAATTGGTAACATTGAAAGTCAAATGAATGTAACTTTTGAATAAGAAGATTTATCAAAAATCTAAGATACGTTTTTAAAGTTCAATCTTTAATCTACATTGAGGCAAAATTTTGACTTTGAGGGGTGGAATACAAAAAAGTTAATTTATAAAATATAAATGCACTAATATTTACATTAAAATATTAATAATTTCTTAATAAGATAAAATTGAGAATTTAAATTAAGATCATTAAATAGTGAATTTAACAAGCTTTCAAATGATATATACTTTTAATATGTTATCTTTGTTAATGAAAGAATTACAAGCAAATTAAATTTTGCCCTTTGGAAACCTTTGGTGTATCCTTAAAACATTAATACCCTGTATTTCATTGTTATTTTTAATTTTTAAGGCCAGTATTTCTGCCACAAATAGATACAATAGAGCTGAAATAGGACATCCTTGTCTGATACCTCTATTCATGCTACATGTTTTAGAAATCCAACCATTATTTTTAATTCTGAATATTGGTTTATTATATAGAATTTGGATCCATTGAAGAAAATTATCACCGAAGTTAAATTTTTTTAGAACTTGAAAAAAAAAATTCCACTCGACTGAATCAAAAGCTTTTTCAAAATCTAAAAAAAGTAATATTCCGTCTTTTTCATTATCCATGCAATATTCATAAATGTCTAAAATCAATCTTGCATTAATACCTATGTAACGACCTTTGATATATGCTGATTGTTCATTACTAATTAATTTATCTATGACGCTTTGTAATTTTTTGGCTAGAACAAAAGCTATAATCTTGTAATCGGTATTTGTTCAACTCAATGGTCTATAGTTTTTAAGATTATTCTTGTCGCCCTTTTTAAATAAAAGAGTGATAAGTGCCAATCGCTGAGAATATGGTAATTCGTCTTTTTCAAATATAGTTAATATTACATCGTAAAAGAGAGGACCAATCTTATTCCAAAAACATTTATAAAATTCCCCTGGTAATCCATCTAATCCGGGAGATTTGTTACATTTTAAATTGTATACCACATCAGAGCATTCATCAAATGTTGGAAATGTGTCACAAAACTTTCTATCGCGATCACTGAGTTTGGGACATTCAATGTCTTGTAGATATGAAGAAATATTGTTACCATCAACAGATTTGCTTGTATATAAAAAAAAGACACATTTCTTGTAAAATTTCACTATTACTTGGGTCGTATTTTAAATAATATGGTCTTTACCCATTCTTCTTAGGTTTGATCGCTCGTTTTGACTTCAAAATATTATTTTCTGATTAAATTGACATTTAAAGATTGAAATTACTTACAGTTTCAAATGTTACTTCTTTATCTAAAAAAATTACAACTATTTTACTTCGGTTTGCTTCATTCTTCATATCCTCTAAAAGAAAAAGAAAATCTTCATCAGTTTTGTTGTTGTTGGAATACATTTAATTACTAGTACCTTTAATTCTTTTTTTCTACTATTATATGATAACGACAGAATCAACACATTTGGGGGGAATAAGAAAATCAGTATTAATAATTAAATGCAAAAAGTTAAAAATTATCTAATCCGAATTTAATATATCGTATATATGCAAAGTACTGACAATTTCACTTAATTTCTGATCTTGCAAAAATACAAGCATTTATATTTTTAACATATTGTAACTGTTTAAAGCGCTAATAAAAGGCAAAAATTGTTCACAGTTAAAATGATTAATTCGAGTCTTGTGATCTTGATTATTTTTTTACTGTACCAAAAAGATTCTTTTTTTAAGTAAATACTCTTTTTTTTTAAGAAAAATCCAAATTTTGGGACAGTAAAAAATTCAAGATTCACAAGACTCGAAATATTCTACCTGGTTCTGCATTAAATAATTTGAGTGATGCCTCGGTCATATCCAAATGATTTCCATAAATGAACGTGAATGATAAGTATTTTGATACAGTTGTTGGAAAACTTTCCGATTCCAATGCTCGGTTTATGGACTTTTCAATGCCTGCTAGTTCTTTCATGGTATACTCAAAGTGATTAAGAGAAGGAGGCACAAAATCGAAGTATATCTGGCTTTTCATAAATTGAGGTAGCTTAGAAGAACGGGTTTCTCCTTTCCGCTAGAATTGAAATTAAATCATATTAAAGTCAACATTTTGCAAGTTCTATGGTTGCTACAATAACCTTAATTTGTTAGCAAAGACAATCTTTCATAAAGTGTAATGCACATATTGTGTTTATGTCTCCCAATTTATTTATTTATAAAAAAAAAAATCTTAAAGTACATTTATTAACTATAACAGTATAAATTATACTTTTGCCATTACCTGATATATTTTTGTTTCATCTGTAAAATGTTCTGGAAATGTTTTCTTCAGTGCTGTGTTATGTTCTGAAAAATTATAAGGTTGTAAATAAAGTGAATAATATTTCTTCATCTCATACGCATAAGATATGAGATGAATTTATCTTACCATTTTTATCAATTGAAAGGTGAAAAAGCAAAATATGAACGAAATAGAAAATGGTCTTTAAAAACTTCTAAAATGTTCCTAAATGTCTATAACGCTTTGGTTTTTTTTAAACATTCCATAAAATAAAATAATTTTATATAAAAAACATTCTGGTTGTACTCAGATGTACTCTGAAGCTAATAGGATGTTTGGGTTTCTGATTGATAATATTTGCTGTATATTTATACGACTGCTCGATGTATCCCAGTGAGCTTGAAATAAAGGATACCACAGAATCTGACACATCTGTTCGTCAAAATTCCTTCCTTATGAAGCAATATATCCTTATTACCTGCGTATGGGGTTTGTGTTTCTCAGTTGAGTCGGTACGCAAGAATATGCTATACGTATGAATATTCTCTAAAAAGAGGCAATCTATTGATAAACAAATTTATTTAAACAAAAATAAAAGTCTTATTTTGAAGTCATCATTTCGCAAGTTTTATGGTCGATACAATGACCTTGGCAGCAAAATTAATACAACCTATCATTTAGTCAAATGCTAGCTGAAGATTTTAATACTAATTGTTTGTCCATTATTTACAAACTGTCTACGGTTGGGAGGTTGTCGTTCTTCCCGATCATAGCAAGGAGTTTACGGCGGGTATGGCCGGTCAGCAGGGTATGCTCACTCCACCATAGCACCTGATCCTACCTCTGATATTTTGTAGTTCCGTGTTTGCTCTAATCCCGATTTGTATTGTTTGAATGGACTTTTGAGTATGAATGCTGTTCGTTATCTCAATTATAAATATTTCTCAAATTAAAAATTAAAAAACAAAATTAAAAATTTAAGTTACAGAGAAGACGCTAGGTGACATTGCTTGAAAAAACCATTTGAATGAATGAAGTTTATATACAAAAAGGCTCTTTCATGTGTGGTGGCGACTCATGTAAAAGGACACATCATTCCCATAGATATAAATGTTCTTGCAGAGATTGCGCAGATACAAATCTATTCATCTGAAGAAGTTTACAATTAAGGAGTATTCTGTATAGGTCTGTTGAAAATAATTCTTTACATGTTTATCTCGGTACCTTTAAATTCTTTGATAGGGTTAGGGTGTCACTCCCTAGGAGACATCCATTAAATAATTGCACATTCAAATGGAGAGAAAAAAACTCAATGACTTGAATCTTTTTCTGTAAACAATATTGTTGTGGAAAGAATATATTTATATTTATAATATAATATATAATATATATTTATGTCCTGCAAATCAAGTCTGACCTTTATACATGTATACCAGGTAATCAATTTTTAACCCAATTAACATTGTAACAAAATACGAGTAATAAGAAGATTTAAAATGATCAAAGATAAAAAAGACAATTACGGTTATATGACAAAATGAAGAAGCACTCCTTTATAAATGTTTATATTTACCTGTCCTTTGTAAAGCATTGTTTCTGCAATGGAATGTATAAACATAGGAATAACATAAACATGTAAATATAAACTTCATTGAAAGAAATACTAGTTATATATTCGTAAACTTATAAAATATGAACAATATATGATAGATGATCATTTTACATGAAACTTGTATTTACAAAATTGTTTGTCTTAAGTTTTCATTCCAGAGCATTTATCGCAATAATTAGATTGAATTTACCGTGTTTGAACTACATGTAGTTCTGATGGCACACTAGGGCTTGGTTTCGAACATTCATTTTGAGGTAAATGCTCCGTCTGAGGAGGAGGAGTGTTTTTAGCACGCCATTGATACTTTTTGGGCTGTGGATTTGGTGTGGGTGATGGCGCGCTGCCTGTATACCTTTGCAGAACATCCCCGGCCTTTCCTTAAAAAAAGGAACACATTGGTGGAAAGAATATGTGTCAAAATCTGGAGTTATAAAAGTAGTATGATTGTATTTGATAGATACTCATTTTTTCCCCCAGAATCCTTGTTTTTTTTAATTGTTCTTGCACTTTTTTAACTTTCACTAAATCACCTCTGAGACAATATTTCCTTTGAGTTGATATTACGCAAATAATAAGCAATGCGCACATGTTAATTTATGTATGCTAATTTAGCATACATAATTTATGCCACAAAATAGACCCAATTTGAATCTTGATATTTAGAATTTTCGTAGAATCATGCTTCTTGTAAATTCTTAAAGGCATCTGCAATAACAACCCCTGATTTATAATAAAATATTACTACTTACTTTCACCATGTAAAATATCGTCAATATTTCTCCTAAGTTCTTCAATGTTATTTTCATTCATTATATTGTTGAAAATTTCTGTGCAGTCAATTTGTTCACAATTCGAAAACCGTTTTATTATGTCTTTGAACATTTTACATATTTCTTCATGGTGACTTTTGTAGCTCAGTAAGTCTGTTTCTATAGTGGGAAGAAAATCAAATAACCATTTTAATCGTTTTATGTCATCACCTAAAGAGATGTCTCCTGGTTTAACACCAGAAATCTCCCACGGCTCAGTCGGAACTGCTTTTCTCAAAAATCCACAAGTGCATAAATCGTAGAGCTGCTTAAAACCCATAGAGCCGGGCTGGAATTTTCTTATACTCAACTTTGCTTGAATTTTTGCACGTAGTTGAAAATCCTCATATTTTTCAAAAAGCAATTGTAACATGTTGGTGCCCAAAGCTACCACAGCAAATTTTACTCTGGTTAAGTTCATTTCTTGCGCGTCCATTGTTAAAGTCAATGCTAACTGAGAGATATCACCTGAAATCTACAATTTAAACTACTGGAAAGACATTTGCGTGCAAATTACGTAAGACTTTATACTTATACGTACAACTTGGAGTGGGTCTTTAAAGATTTGACAACTGGAACATTTTCTTATCTTTTAAAAATCAGTTTGTTTAATTTTCAAACCAAGATTCAAAACCAATTTGAGATCTCTGGCAAAACATTTTTTTTAAACTAGAGCAACAGAGAGAAGTGTAAATAATCAAAGAATTAGACCTATTTTATTTTCAAAAAATAATAATCCACATAGGGGTGCATGTATTTATACAAATACTCTTTCAGGTCATTTTCTTATATAAACAAGCATTTCTGAGAGTGTTGCTTTAGCAATTAGTCCACAAAAGTTCCCGTTAAATTTGAAAATGCCATAATTCCACCGAAAAGCATTGAAGCTTGACAAAATGCAAACTTTATATTTATATATAGGAGGTAAAGTCGCATACCAAAAACCAGCTCAATTTTTGCAATCGTTTATAAAAAGCGTGCAGGAAACACTTAAATATTAACCCAAAAAAATCGTAAATTCGTCAAAAATCACTGAAGCGAATGAAATCTTTTGATATGTTACTCATCAAGATATCTTCACACACTAAAAACCAGCTCAATAAGTGCAAGCGTTATGAAAACTGCGGAAAAACCAGTTGCAAGTAGGGAAAAGTCACAGATAGAAAGAGGGATAGCTAGACGGACAGACTAAGACGCGGAAAAAACTACATGTATATTCCCATCCGATTTCATCGGAAGGGTTTAAAATGATTTGGAATTTAAAAAAAAAAAGGAAACCCATTCTTTTGAATAAGCATCAAAGATATTTTATATGAATATGTACGATTGAGATATATATTTATTTATTTAAATTGCAATACATCGATTGTTTATAAAACGATATCAATAACTTTTTAAAATTATTTTATGATATGAAATATATGGAAATAACGAACAGCATTCAAATTTAAGTCTTGGTGCAACAATACAATCCAGGAGCAGAGCAAACACGGACCTCTAAAACATTAGAGGTGGGAACACGTGCCATGGAGGAGTTAGCATCCCCTGCCAACCGGTCACATCCGCCGTGTGCTCCATAACTTAACATTTGTATGTACATGTACTATCGATGATAAAAATACAAGATGTTTCATGTACTCACTTCCAATGGAAAATTGTGAATATGACGAAGACAGTAGATTGCATTTTATTTATTATATAAGATTACTGCCTGTAATTTTTCTATGAAATATGAAGATAACGAACAGAGGTCAAGCTCAAAGTCCATTAAAACAATACGAATCAGGAGCAGAGCAAACACGAACCTCCTGTGAGATGGAGTGGGAATTCTTTGCTAACCTGTTAGACCCGCCACGTGCCCCTGCCATGACGGGGAAAACGGGAAAACCCGAGGACAATTCAGTGTGCGAATAATGGCCTAACATTTAGTTTCAAAAACGTCAATCAGCATTTGACTAAATGATGGATCGTATTTGTTTACAATTTAAGGTCACTGTATTAACCATAAAGCAATCAGCGATTAGATGACTTCAATTAATAAAGTTGATATCCTTGCTTCATCAACTTGTTTGTTATAAGCTTGTCTCCATTTACAAATTATTCATATGTGTAGCATGCTCTTAAGTATCTAATCAACTGAGAGAAATAAACCCCGTATGCAGGCAATAAGGGTTGCTACATAAGTAAAGCTGACAAGTAAAGGGAAGCTGACAATATTGAAAAGTTGAAATCTTCACAGTTATCATGAAATTACCATTAACTTTTTTTTAAATATCAAAATTGAAAGAGATATGTCAAACTTTGTTAAATCTTTTATTTCAAGCTCACTGAAACATTTCAAGTTGACATATGAATGGCAGTAATTATTGTTACTGTAATTGATAATACGTACGATTTAAAAAAAATGGAATCAACGGTATATAGATTTTTTTTATCGATTTTTAGATATTCGTTTAGCTTTATCAGATATATACCTGTAAATGTACCGAGTAAGCATGACAAGTTTAACAGTTTTAAATCACAGCTCAGAATTATGCAATCTAATTGCTTAGGTTTTACATTGTATTATTTTATCACGCAAATTCTGATAGATGAAGACTTATGCTACCGTTTCTGCGTAATGTTCTTATTTCTTGAACTGATTTCAAGTTTTAAAAAATCAAGAAGCGTTTGTTTTTGCTTGTTTGCTTATTTTATAAGGTCCCTTCTCAAGAATTTTCACCTATATTGAGAAGTCAATCACTTGCCATTTGGAGCTAGCTGCAAATTCTTACCTGAATTCTGCACTTTTGACTGTAAGCAGCGAGTCAAATAAATATTTGTGGTGAATGTAAAAGCCTTAAAGGTGAAGATACTTAAGCTTACCATCTTCATAAAGTAAATAAGTACTAATGATCAGTTGTGAATAAAGGATCCGTGGAATTCCCAATGAAGAAAGTATCCTCACAAGAGCACGCTCTTGGTTACTGAATAAACAGGAGATATGTATGACTCATATCCATATATTGCTACATAAATAAAGAGAAGTGGAAGATAGGTTGTCATCATGTTCATCTTAAAAATTTTGATGAGAGGTTACCAGTAACATATTTTTAAAAGTAAAATATCAAAATATGAAACTGATATTTTGGACTCATGTATTTATTTTATTTCAAGTTCATTAGGATACATTTTGACCAATGGCGAGACAAGTAGACTTTGGAGTTCCATTTTTATTAGTAGTAGTATTTTTACTAGAGGGAAATCTAAAGTACAGATTCCTGGGGGATGACAATGAGGGAAATCCTAATCTGCAACATAGGTACTAACTTTCTGGATACATTAAATTGATCCATTTACACAACAGATATCAGATTCACAAAATTCCTAAATCTATATGTATTTACAGATTCTCTCCAAATTTTTGTGTTGCCTAAAAAATCATCAATACGATTTATGTGTATAAGTAGACTTTTATTTTTAGTCATTCATCATAATAAAAGTTTTCACTTCACAATACACATACCAGGGAAACAGAAATATGACATTCATATTTACTTTTTCAAAATTATTTCCACAGTGTATCAGAAAAAACAGTCATCTCTTCTGAAAAGACATTCAGATTAAGGTAGAACATATCATCTATTGGCTTGTCTTAATAGTATCTGTTTGTCTACATTTGGGTTGTGAACCTTGGGCCTTTTAGGCGGTTTAAGTCTAAATGCATCAAGATCAATGGCAGATTTGGTGAGAAACTTCCTGATGACTGGGTTCAGTTCTTCGTCAGGGGTCACTGGGGGGTTATCCCAGACTTGGACCTTATCCGCAGGGCTCTCCTCCACAAACACCAGGGGGCGTTCCACCAGGGTACCACGCACCTTAAGGGACACTGCATCATTCATCTGTTTGAAGTGAAAAAAATGCTATCTGAATCTTTCTAGTTTTACAGATACAAATTGAAAGAGTTACACCAGATGGAAGACTGATCTTTTTTTTTTAGGTTTATCATCTATACAGTGTTGACAAAAATCAGTTCACTTTTATAAATAAAATCTGCAATATATTCATCAAACCTGATCAAGTACATCTAATAAATTTGTGGAATGAAACATACTGTGAGAGTAAAAATAAATTCCCCTGGTGTTTTTATTTCTGGGTCTTTAGGTAAAGTTATGGAGTCATCAGTAGCAGAAATACCCTGTCAAGATACACATCAGCATGTTTTATATATTAATTGCTACATACTGTTATTGGAAGATCTAAAGGTATCAAGTACATGTATTAAACTTCACTAATTTGAAAGAATGCTGTACAACTTTATAACCTTTATGTCAAATTTATGTTGTGAATAGGTAAATATTACAAAACATCATGCTAGAATACAGAAATAAGACATATAGTCATGTTTATATTTCAATATCTGAAAATCATTGAATATCCTATGATAACAATGAATTTTGTACCTAGCATTCCTATCACAAGTACAGTACATGTATAATACATATACTTGAAAAAGGTTTGGTTATCTTTAAGAATACAATCTTGCAGATTTAACTAAGGTCTTACAAGACTTCAAAATGAAGTCTGTTCATGAAAATTGACAAATCAGGACTTTTCTTTAATACTCACAAAAACCTAATATTTTTAATCTTAAAGAAATACTAATAATCCATATTCACCCATGTCCAATATTAACACTTCGTCCTAGAGTTTTCTGAACAATCTTACCACTTTTCTAAGAGCTATCCTAATGTGTGCCTTTGTAAGAGTCCAGCCTGTCTTGCTGGGCATCAACTCAACAGGAAGATTTAACCCCCGAATTCTCTGGAGAGTCTAAAATGAAAAAAATCAGCTTTTTAGTACATGCATACATACATTCATGTGAATTTTTAGATTAACATGCATTTCATGCATTCATTTGATTTGTAAAATATAAAACATTTTGCAATATCACCATTATAAAATCTCAACTTTGACTTACTATACGACTGAATTTCCCAAGCTGTTTGAGAATGGCAGCATCATCTCCCAAGGCCTGAATAAATATTTAAAATTCTTTTTAAATCTATATAAGTTTTGGATCCATAAAAATAAAACAAGCATAGTCGTGTGTACATAGGGTTATTTTTGCCTCATCGTTTTTAACCATCATGCCAGCAAACAATTTTTGTTGTTTTGTATGTAGCCTAGCTGAGACAGTTGAGATAAAAGAAAGATAACTCTTCAGGATTCACCCTGTTTTGAATACACCCAACACCCACAGATTACAAATTAAAAGGGAAGAGAATGGAGGCAGAATTTTCCATATATATCTATAGTCTATTGTGGAGCATTATTCAAGTTATCAAATACATTGAAATTATATTATACAGATGTGAATCAATGCTATTTTCTCCTTCATAAAGACTCATACTCTCCTTTTTAGTACACTATTATGGAAGTTTTAAGCATGAACAGAGCCATAAAATCTGTAAAATACTACACAGTAGAAGACTGAAATACATACTTTCATTTCATGACTGAGTTCCACAATGTTTTCAGGTGTAGGGTATGTAGCTAACTGAGCTTGATACAGGAAATTTCTCCACAATCGTTTGGGTACAGTCACGATATCACCCATAATTCCAAGCCCTGAACAAAATAAACAAATTACTTAACTACCTGAACAAATCAAGCGTAAGTTAAAATGAAGAACTGTGATGTGATGTAAGAGACATATTTGATATGCATCAGAATCAATGTTGAATGCTGCCTTGATTAATACATGGGTTCTTTTCCAAGGGAATGCTTCACTTTGTTGTGCCAGCTAGCTTGTTCTTTCTACAATTTAGTGTTATTTCAAAAAAGAATTTCTCAGTGAAAGCAACATTTTTTACTCTTACCATCCACATGGTCTGTTAACAGGACCTGTATTTCAGCTGGTGAAGGGTTGGGGTTCTCTATGGTTCTATAAATGTAGTGTCTTCCCCTTATCTTTGGTGTTCTATCATCCTTGTACAGATTCACAGTTCGCACTCTTTCCACCATATGAAGATTCTGTCATAATCAAAACATATTAAATCAAAATACGACAGCTAAGTTTGGACTTTCAGTAAGGCATGGCATTCTCAATGTTACATAATTAGCTTCTGAAATTTACACAGCAATCCTTCACTGTTGAAATATACATGGGATAGAAATTCGGGCAAATGCCAATTAAAGTATCGAATAACCAATAAAATTGTCTCGTACAGCAAAGAGGTGGAGCTTAAGTCGTCTCATTGTTGTCAACAACAATTTAAAGTTCCTGATGTTATTAATTTCTTAACCAATGAGAATCTATTCGCCATTTGACAGACGCTAATTACGTAGCACCGAGAATGCCACACCTTACTGAAAGTCAAGCTTACCCGGGAATGATTCTAGGATATATATCATCAGTATACTTGTGTTTTATCAGATTTTGTGACCATGTCATTCATATTTTACAGTTTGGTAGGCTGAGACACACCAATTGCAATTTTAAAAATCACAAAGCATACTGTCCAGTGTCCAGTATGACATACTGGGTATATTGATACAAATATTATTGGTAAGCCATTTCTTTCTTAATCATGTTAATTCTTTCATCTTTATTTTTCATCAATAAGATTTTTTACACTTTGCCAAAAAAAAAAAAAAAAGTGAAAAAAAAAAAAAAACAAGTTACATGTATTTCTTTTTTTTCACTATTGACAATTATCTGCTGTGTTTATTTAACATTTTTCATGTACAAATTAAATGTTAATTTTGTATTCATATAAGAAAATTCACCCGTATTTGATTCAGGAGACATTTCTGCCTGGCTATCCGTGGAAGATTCATCAACTGAATACACACCGTGCGACTATGGTTGCATCCAATCATGATTTCTGATCACTTTTTACTACAGTAAAGAAAAAGAAAATTTGTTTAAACAATTTTGATTTAATTTCAATAATTATAGATATTGAATGTGTTGTAAACCTTGCTTTAATATCAGTAGTTTAAAATATTGAATGTTGCTGTAAATTAATTTGCTTCTGATTACAAATTGAAAAATTATCATAAATGAAACAGTCGATCTTTTTTTAGGGGTGGGGTGTTATTTTGGAAATTCAAAACATTTAAAGAAGTCGGTTCACTTTTTGCAAAAAATGGCCCTGTAGATATACCAATTGATTGATTAACACTTTTAAATCGTTCTTTTGAAGCATTAAAATAAAGTAGAGACTTCATATCCTATTAAAAATTTTCTCCTAAACGTCCAGGTCTCGGAGAACTGGCTTTATGAAATTGCAATGTTCTTGAATTTTTAGGCAAAGCGGTATAAATGAGTACTTTCAGTGAAGAAAAATAATATTAGCGCACTCTCTGATCTAAAAAATAAAACATTCTTTTAATCCTCAGAAACAGTTCTATCATTTACTAGTTGCATATTTTAGATCAGAGGTTGAGCTCTATATTAAATATTGAAAAATAGCTTTAAAAATTGGCCGATTTTGTAGACTTTTTCAAGATATGAGGAAACTGACGCACTTCATGACGTCATAATGCATTGACTAGCCAGAAAATTACGTCATTTTTGATAGATACGCAATCACCAAAGATCTAAGTAATAGCGAGCGCAGCAAGCGTCGCGAAGCGATGCTCGCGAAGCGAGCTCAATAGACTAACGCGTATGAACAGAGGAAATTCGGATTGAAAACTGTACATACGTCAGCCAAATTTCTCTGTGCAACATTCCTAGAATTCCCGCACTACCCAATGTCCTTTGCGCGAATAAATCAAAAATAGTAAAAATATTAAAGGAACATTGTTTCTTATCGAAATCTTAACGAAATGATTTTGCCTTACCTTATTCAAAAAAATACCCCCATGCCACAACACCGGCCTTCACCTTGCCCTTCGGAAATGATACAAATGACGTCACCGGAAACTTACGAATTTTGACGAAGTTATGTCGGTTGCTTCCGTGAGACTCAGAAAACATGTTGCGGTGCATAGCAACATGGTGGCTAAAACATAGCAACAACTTACTTGAAAAGAACGATTTAATGCAATCTCTTTTCCATAAAACTAGCGTTTGCATCCTAAGTCAACAGAACTTTTTATCTGACGTCATACTTTCGTCACTTCAATGGTTCGGGTATTTCCGATTTTGTCGGAAACTTCCGAGAAGTTTGGAATCTCGATCCCGATGCTTGGGAAATGATTTCTTTTTATTGTATTGTTTTTTTCTTTTTGCTTTCTTTTTCTTGAATGATAGACAGTACATGTGTAGGTTTATGATAGTAAATAAACTGCTCGCCTCAACGGTCACACCGTAAAACATATTATTCAATGCATTGTTGAAAAAAACTATGTATAGTTTTAGTTTTTCAGAAATTCACAGGGCCAAATAAGGCAAAAGTGAACCTTGTTCTTTATACACTATTTGTGATGCCATATCCCAGAAGGCCTATCATATCCCAATGGGGCAGATTCATTTCTAAGTCCAACATGCACCACCGGGGCCACTGTGGTTCAACAGCGTCTAATTACGTATTCTGACCAAACAACCATGCAACCCTCAAGATTTATCAATTTCTTTTTTTAAAAATCACAAAAGCATAAAAATACACACCAAGCTTATTTCACTGAAATGTTCGTTATCAGTAAAATAACACATAACGCATTCGCCGATTCGGCATGTCCTTCGTTTCTTTCAGTAAATCAAACCGGATGTAGCTTTTCGGTATTAAACAAGAAAAAGATACACAGGCTTATCAGTTCCGGAATTCACAAAAAAAACGAACAAGCAGAAATCCGTTTCCTTGAATATTAACTCCAATAATAAAATTTCAGGGAAATGATATATTGGTTTAAAATGTGTGTTTATAAGTAAATGAACACTTTTAGCTCACTCACTATAAATATGCCCCCCTCTTTTTTCCCAACATTATTTTTACGATTGAAAATGTTCATTGAAAGGCTGGTTGACCCCCCCCCCCCCCCAATCCCACTTTTTACTACAGTAAAGTGAAATCAGGGAAATGTAGTATTGTCTATCCTGTTACTCTGTTTGAATTTATCTGTGAAATAAAGCAGGCATGTAGTTTTTTTTAAATAATGCTTTCACTGTAAACAGCTTGATTGAAATTTTTACAGTAAGCGTATACGTGCTTGCTTTCAGGATTCTCTATTTTGTGTATAAAATCTGTATTATTTGTTTTTTCTCTGTGTGTCAGAATACTTTCATTACAATAAAAACAATTTCTTGAAAATCGCTGAAATTGGCACCTTTTTTTTTTTTTTTAAATCATATTTACTGTATACATGTATACAAGAAAAAGTACCTTCACTCTTTATAAACAGTAATATGATATTTTTAAAACGAGTGAAGGTACTTTTTGAGCCTGACAAAATATGAAACTTATAATTTATATTAAATTAATTCCTAAAAATTATTATAGCTCTCTTATTCTCCACACTGTTGTAAAACATGACTTCAAATAATTTATAAAACCGTGACATTGATATACCGCCAACATAGTGACGCGTATTTTTCCCCACAATGCCCCAATATGGGCTGCAACTTTGATGTCGGAATTTTTTTATGCAAAATTCTAATTAACTAATTCAATGAGTTCTTCTAATGGTACTTTGTATAAAAGTTTGAAAACAAATTTTGAGTGTAAAAATTATTTAAGTATTTTACCACTAAAATTTAGAAAAATTCTTGTCAAATTCCGTACTGCTAATCACCGTCTACCAGTTGAGCTGGGAAGATGGGCAGGTATACCATTAAATGATAGATTATACATGTACATTTTGTAATGCTAAACATGTTGCTGATGAATTATGTCCATTTTATACTTGAATGTACTGCACTGTCAAACATCAGGAAAAAGTATATTAATGAGTACTACTTTACTAGACCAAATATTTTGAAGTTTTCTCAACTGATGGCAAAACAAGATGCTATAATGTCACTTAAAAAACTCTATGTTTATATTAAAAATACATATGATTTAGTCTGTCCTCCATAATTTTTTCCCCTTATTTATTTCATTTTAGACATGTATCAAACGTGTTTTATCTCTTTTTTTTCTTTTTCTCACAATGCCGTTTTCTGAGTATGTATATCATATACTTATACCTTTGACCTGAATATATTTATGCTGTGAATATTTTTCATTGTCCTCATGTACCATGTATTTTAAATGGTTTTGAGAGAATAAATGAACTTGAACTTGACTTGAATGACAGAAAAAATAACGTTAATAAACTTATGTTGTCCATATTTGGGATCGAAGAACTATTCATAAAGATTGAATCAAAATTACATTTTTGTCGTCTTGTACAATAATGATTTCTTTTATAAAACTGTATACTTGATTGTATATAGTAGTCTTTCTTCTGCTTTATTTTAGTCAAATTGATCATAAAAGTTTAAGTTACATACAAATTTAACAAAATAACACAATGTCACAACAAAATAAAATTTTCCAAAATGCAGCTCATATTGCTTTAAGGCAGGCGCGGATGCAAAATTGTTTTCCAGGATGGGGGGGGGGGGGGGGGGTCACCCCATTCAAAAAAAAAATTATTCCAACCCAAAGATTTCTCCACAAGCAAAAAAGAAAAACTCCATGCGCGGAAGGGGGGGGGTCAGTACCCCTGGAATTTGCAAGGTTATTAAATTTATATACTAAAGCAAGAAAAAGGTTAAACTTGAATTTTTATAAAATTGGTATGAACTGAAAGTTTGAAGCATTAGAAGTCATCGACTCCCCCCCCCCCCCCCCCCCTTTCACCCCCCCCCCCCCACGAAATAGGTTTTTGGAGTTTGCGCGAGTTTCGTTTTGTTTGTTTGTTTGTTTGTTTTTCTTTCTTTTTTTTTTTTTTTTTTTCATTAATTTTTAAGAAATTTCTAGGTTTGGATTTTTTTTTTTTGGACTAGTGTGGACCCCCTGGAAAAAAAATTCTGGATCCACGCCTGAACTCATTTCCCAAACGTGAAAAATCTACTAGTATTTCGAGGGGGCGGGGTGGGGGAGTGGTAAGCAGGGGGTCATACTAATGCCTTTTCATGCCAATATCACATAGATCCGTGTTTTCGAGAAATTAAGGGTCATGGGTTTTTTTAATAGCTCTGCAAATTCTAAAGATTTCTAGACCCCCTCCACCAAGATCTGCATAGATAATGTATTTCATCCCTGCTGAATCTCGAAATAAATATAAGGAAGACTTAAATAACAACGCATTGTTTGTCTTGTTTACAGATTCACTCTGCAGCTGTTGTAGAAATGGCAATCGATCTATATTAACGAATTGAGTGTGAAGTGGAAATTAAGAGTAAACATGGTTAAGGGATGTTTTCGGGAATGAAAAATTCATTTTCTATTGCGTTTCTTATAGACAACTATAGTTTGCTAAACGTAAATTATGTGAATGCATTACTACAGAGAAACAATTTGGAGAAAAAAAAGTTAAAAATTTAATTTTGATCGGGATCGAGGGACATATCGCACCTGTTCTATTTCCGGAAATATCCGAGTATATCCGATCAACTTCGGAACTTTAATTGCCCAGGCGCATGCGGTAAATAGGTTGACAAGAGCAGAAGACAATACACAATATTTCTGTTTGTTTACAGTTTATAACGTGGAAAGTACATGTCCTCAAGTGATTACAACATTTTCACAGATTGTCTGAAAATATGAAGAGGAGAAATGCCGATTGTAGTAAAATACGACGCCTTCCAAAGCGGAGCAAAATAACGGAAGGTTTCTACGGAAGGTATAATTTCTCCATTTTCAATATGGCAGCAATACTTATTATCATACTGAAATAATGAAATATGTTTCTCGCCAAATTGCTCTTTAGTTCGCTTGGATATAAGAAAATTTGGTTAAAGAGAAGTTTGTTTGAAAGTATTATCGATTGAAACGCGTAGATTGACCGCGACGATGATTCTAGATGAACAGTGATAAAGAACAAGTGAACCATAGGCTATTTTTAGATGTCTGGAAACATAAATGTCTGTGCGCTGAATTCGGCGGTTTTTCTTCGGTCTATCAGAAACCGTGAATAAGGTTTTCAAGGAAATACAATTATAGTATATTGTGAAAAAATAAATTTATATTGATTTCCTGGTTTGGCCAAATTACTAGGTTTCAGCTAATTGAGTAATATTCAGTTCCAAGGGGGTTAATTCTTTAATGTTCCATTTAGTACTATGTTTTATCACTTAATCTTAATTTAGATGAACATTTTGTCATATCTGTGTAAAAATATGAAGCATTTCATGGGGAACTGAAAAGTGAATTCCTAGTTTTCCTAAGACTAAGAGCAAATTCTGTGATCATTGGTTTTTAAGTGTATATTTTGAATTTTATTTTACCACTCCAGTCCATGGGAGACCTGTAGTCGGGTTGACTGGGTTGTCCCTGAGACCCCGGGGGCCAGGGTTTTTTTCCTGCCTATATTGACAGAATCCCCTGGTTATTCTGAAATTCCCCTCAATCTGGGACTGTACCAGACTCATCTTTTCTTTACTTCTGATGACAAGATAATCTCTGCCACAAGTACTTTAACAGCTGAAGCATGGAATAATGTTCATATTCCCTTTCCCACACTTTACCAATATATAAACCACTCATCAATTCCATCTGTACGTCATTCTGTGTGGTTGATTTGTATCCAGTGTAATATTATTTTTTTTCTTTACTAAATATTATGTACATGGCAAAATTCTAAACCACTAACTAAACCTTTGTGGTTCTTTTTGCTGATGGACAAGCATTTAAGTCAACACTGCCTATTCTTCAGGTATTTTGAATTATTGACTATGATGATGGCAAGTAGCTCTGGCATTTTAAATTTCTGAATTCTTATTCCAACTTTGACAATTCTAAATGTTGATTTCAGATCAGGAATTAGCTAAGGTCCTGGATGCTCTGTTTTGAGAATTTTGAACCCGTGTATATAGTGTTACATGTATTACTTTAATGGAGTTTGTGTTATAATTCCTGTTTGAGCAAAATGTACTTGAGTTTTTAAGTGTACTGTATTTATTCTATATCTTCTTCCTTAACAAGCACTGATACTATCTGATACCTTCTTTTGACATGATTGGAAAGGAAACAAATTTTGGTAGTACACAGAGAAAATATTTTAAGTTTCAATTACTTTCTATTCATTTCCTTCAAATTTGTGAGGACTAAAAATATAGATTTTAAACATTAAGATGGCATATAATTAAATTTTACTAGGATTAGGCCCTTTAATTTTTTAAGGATACACAGTGTAGACAAACTCTGCAATGTACTTATCTTCAGAGCTGCCAACCCTTACGATTTTGGTGTCAAAAATACACCTTATGATTTCTCTCTGTATTCTTCCGATTTCAGTTTTTCGTGTTCAAAGTTTAAAATACCGGTATTTTCATAGCTGGCAGTCTATAATTTCTATTATTATAATATCTTCATAATTCTTACAAGGCTTGCTTGTATCATCGTTTCAGTTTTAGAAGGCCAATCACATTCATGTCAATGTTTTAAAGTAATCAAAATGGAAACATGCCTCAGATTGCATGTCCATTTACAAAACATCTTCAGCGGCAGGGGGCCTAGGTGGTCCATAGACCCTGCCTTACTATTTGTCATTTCAGAATGTTGGCAGCTCTAGAATAGGTGAATTAAAAGCTTGTAAAGCTTTTCTTGCACTTTGAATTTCCCCCTTTGACATTTCTCAGACTCATTATAAAGGGAATTTCTCCTGTGTTCCAGTTGTTAAGTAGTTGTATTAAAAGCATGCTGTAAGCATGAAAAGATTCGTCTTCGCTAGCCAAGGGTTTCTGATCCGATATCACAGAGTAGATATCGGATCGGAAACCCTTGGCTAGCGAAGATGGAAAAGATTGAACTAGCCTGTGATTTAAAAAAAAACTATGTATAAAAATTACATCAAAAAATAGAGGTGATTATACAATGTAGATGAGTTAGTAAGGGATTTTAGTACATGTAGTTTGGAACTTTTTCAAAACAAAAAGTTAAAAAATCCTTGCCTTTACTTATTCAGGTCATTTTGTGTTAGGAGAAGTCAGTCTCTAAACATGTTTATTTTACTGGGCAAGTATTTTTAAAAAAAAAAAAAACTTGAATATTGTGAATTTATGTAATAAATAAATTTATTAAAGAATTCATGTTAAACACTGACTTCTTCTAAAGATTGGCTCCAGTATGAAATAACTAAATTTGAATAAGTAGCATTTGTTTAAAACTTGTCCAATGGAAAAGAGGATATTTTAGTTTCAGTGTTAATCCCTGCATAGTTGCATTGGTTTTGTCTGCTTATAAAAACTGTCACTGTATAGTTTGAACTTTTTTTTTCTTATTTTTGGAAAGTTTTCTTGCAAACAGGATACAGAAAATTAACAGGAATTCCTTTCCATGCTTTGTTTGAATATAGTTTTTCTTCCTCATTTGAAATTATGTCTTCCACAGAAATTAGGTACTAGTAATGGAAGACCACTGTGTATTACATGTATCAGAGCTCAAGTCATTGTGCATGATTTTGTTTTTACTGTCATGCTAACCATGTGCTTTATCAGTTGCAATTTCTCTTACAGCACATTTCTGTACCTGAAGTTTCTAATGGTGTGGGCCCTTGTACTAATGGCAGACTTCATTCTGGAGTTCCGGTTTGAGTACTTGTGGCCATTCTGGTTGCTGGTTCGAAGTGTTTACGACTCCTTTAAATATCAAGGCCTGGTAAGTGTTGAAATAAAATGTTGTCAGTAACTTAATTTCTATGTCATAGATGTGTGCATATTTATGTAAAAACAATTATATTGCTTTTGGTTTGGGTGATTAGAGTTCTTTTGAATCTTGATAACCAGAAAAGTCAAAATGTATGCATAAAATAACATGAAGCCAAAGTACAGCATGTTCTAAATCAGAACTAGAAATGGGTACTTCAAATAACTTAAACTGTATTTCCTTATTCAAAGAACAAGGAACTTTTTAAGCAGAGAAAAAAAATATATTAGTTTTGAAAAACTGGTGTACGATTTATGCGCATTCAAACTTGAACAAATGTCACTATGTGGAAGACATTATTGGAATGTGTTTTCTATTTCTGTAATGATGTTAATTTATTGATAAAATGTCATAATGAATTTCTCTTTATTTGACAGGCTTTCTCAGTTTTCTTTGTTTGCATTGCCGTCACATCCGATGTTGTGTGTTACCTGTTTATCCCCGTACAATGGCTTTTCTTTGCTGCCAGTACTTATGTATGGGTGCAATATGTTTGGCATACAGGTTGGTTGTACTACATGTATAGAGGTGTGAAAAAAGTAATTTTATACACCGCGGGAAAGCTGTGAAAAAATTGATGTTTCTTTGCGTTTATATTGATGACGGACAGCAGTCACATTATTTATACTGTTGTCATTTATATGACTTGAAAATACCTGCAAAATTAAAATAATCTGAACTTACACTTTTTTATCTTTTTCGATAAGTTTAATGCAGATAAAAAGACACTATAATCATTCAGTGTAATTTAGAAGGTGTCAAGTAGTTTTTTGTCACTGAATGAAGAAATTAAATTTTTTTTGTAGGTTGTAACTGAATGTAGAAAGTAATCTATTTTTTTTCTTCTTTTTCAGACAGAGGAATATGTCTTCCGACAGTGTCATTATGGCTTTTATTTGTTTATATTGAAGCTTCAGTTAGACTAAGAGAACTCAAAAATTTACCATTTAATCTAGATTTATGTCGACCATTTGCAGCTCATTGGTAAGAATATACAAAACATTACATGGCATTATATAAATATATACCGGTATTAAATTTTAGAATATCTGAGTAAACTACTTCATAAGATATATATAGACTGATTTATAGTTTGTAAATTTCTTTAGGCTATCAATGTTTTTTTTTTTTTGAGTTGGCTCGCGTAGCGAGCTACTCCCTGTCGACATAGCCATTTCAGAGCTGTAAAATTTATCACGCATTCATCAAGGTGATCCATACGCCAAATATTATAGTTCTAGCAAAAAATGCTTTGGTCTGAGTGATTGTATAAACTTGAGAGGTAAAAACTGTATAAAATTTCATACTGTAACATTATTTATGCCTTCATGCTTTTAAAGAAATTTTTGATTAAATACCTGTGCGATGTACAATTACCGCGTATGAATATTTAGGCGGATCTAATCTTCCCATCTTAAGTTTATTTATAATTGACCTAGAATACTCCCTCTCACAAACACCTGCTGCTCTCATTAGCTGCAGCTAGTTGTTGTTGAAAATCTATTTTTAGAATCCAGATTTGCTGTGGGAATCTTTAACCTAATTACTTCATAACACTGACCACTTCAGCTAATGTGCTTAAATTCATTATAGAATCCAGTCAAAATAATATGGAAGCCCATGAGTGCCAACCTGTATATATAAAGGAAAAGCAATATAACTTTATTTATGAACCGAACATGGATCAGACATATAATATTCAATCTCTTAAGATGCAAATTAAACTAAATATATTAAGGTATGGTGCCCAGATGTATTAAAAAGCTCAATTGACTCGAGCGAGTCAACTCGCAGGCCCTTCAGGCCTTTGATTTTTTTTTGTACCTGTACCTGCAAATTTACATGTAAATATGTCCAAAAAATGAAGTGAAATGTTTCTTTTTTTTTCATTCTTTGTCATCTGAGAAGAACATGTTAAAACAATTTATTTTCAAATCCATAACAATGTAAATATCATTTTAATGTGTTTATATATTTATTCTTTTACAGCATTGGTTATCCAGTTGTCACATTAGGTTTTGGTTTCAAAAGTTATATATCATATAAAATGAGATTGGTAAGGAACCTTTTAGTCTTTAATTCAAATTCTAAAAGTTTAAGAGAAGTTGTAGAATTCTAAAATGTTCAGATAAAATCAGAAGATATATGAGATTACTTGTACACATGGATATCGTAAATATTTGTTAGAACACATACTTTTAATAATCTGTGATTTACAATGGCTGTTGATAATTAAAAAACAATTTGTATGAATTTCAGCGGAAGCAAAAAGAGGTACAAAAAGAAAATGAATTTTACGTCAATTTAATACAGCAAGCACTGCCAACAGAATTACAGAATCAGTATATTGAAAAACAGAAAGGTGAATGTTTATATATGAATAATTTTTATTTTACTTTTTCAGTTCAATGCATGTATTTTCAAGTAGCAATACAGTTTAATAATATTCAAGATGTACATGTGTGTGTGGTTAAAAGCTAATATAATTCCACCATAAGCTAAGTGAAAGCTTCAAAATGTTAAAAATAGTTAAGTGTGTTGATTTGTAATCAGAGAAGTGCAGTGCTGAAAAGGAAAGGTGAGGTAGTTCATTAACTATGAGGTTGATGCTGCAGAAGTGTAGATGTTCTTCTAGTGTCAAAATTTGTTGTAATTAAACACTTAACCATCTTACTTATGTAAGGTGATATGGATCATTCCACTTTTCACCTTTTCCTTCATTACTGATCTAAGAAGGATATTGTTTTTCATAACTTTTCAGCGTTTAATGATAAATAAATATGATGATTTATAGGTAGGCTATTGGCTGAGAAAAATTTAATTGACAAGTGTTAGGAAGGAGTGATAAATGTCAGGAAAAATATATATTTTATATGATAAAATATTTTAATTATAATTATTGTGGGGTTTTTAGCTCACCTCAACGAAGTTGGGGGGAGCTTATGTGATACCCTCGGCGTCGGCGTCGGTGTCGGCGTCGGCGTCCCAGGTTAAGGTTAAGTTTTTTGGAGCAGTTTTCTTTTTAATTACTTCTGTGTCCTATACTGATTAGACATGCATGGAAGATGGTTTTAGTGTGTTTTATTGTACCAGACAAAGTTTCAGATGCTGCAATTTCAGCAAAGGAATTACCAGGTTAATGTTTTTGGAGCAGGTTAACATTTTTGGTGCAGTTTTTGGTGTGGGTTTCATTTCCAAGTAACTATAAGCCCTATGTTGACCAAACTTGCATGGATGATACATCTAAGGATGCATACTACCGGGCTTGCTTTGGATGCTGAATCTGACCTACATTTTCCAGTTGAGTGAACAGGTTAAAGTTTTTGGTGTAGGTTTCATTTCCAAGTAACTATAAGCCCTATGTTGACCAAACTTGCATGGATGATACATCTAAGGATGCATACTACCGGGCTTGCTTCGGATGCTGAATTTGACCTACATTTTCCGGTTGAGCGAACAGGTTAAAGTTTTTGGTGCAGGTTTCATTTCCAAGTAACTATAAGCCCTATGTTGACCAAACTTGCATGGATGATACATCTAAGGATGCATACTACCGGGCTTGCTTCGGATGCTGAATCTGACCTACATTTTCCGGTTGAGTGAACAGGTTAAAGTTTTTGGTGTAGGTTTCATTTCCAAGTAACTATAAGCCCTATGTTGACCAATCTTGCATGGATGATACATCTAAGGATGCATACTACCGGGCTTGCTTCGGATGCTGAATCTGACCTACATTTTCCGGTTGAGCGAACAGGTTAAAGTTTTTGGTGCAGGTTTCATTTCCAAGTAACTATAAGCCCTATGTTGACCAATCTTGCATGGATGATACATCTAAGGATGCATACTACCAGGCTTGCTTCGGATGCTGAATCTGACCTACATTTTCCAGTTGAGTGAACAGGTTAAAGTTTTTGGTGCAGGTTTCATTTCCAAGTAACTTTAAGCCCTATGTTGACCAAACTTGCATGGATGATACATCTAAGGATGCACACTACCAGGCTTGCTTCGGATGCTGAATCTGACCTACATTTTCCGGTTGAGTGAATAGTTAAAAGTTTTTGGTGCAGGTTTCATTTCCAAGGAACTATAAGTCTTTAATGACCAATCTTGCATAGATGATACATCTAAGGATGCATACTTTTATGCTGAATCTGACCTACTTTTTGTGGATGAGTGAAAATGTTAGTTTTGATGCATGTTTCATTTCCAATAAACTATGAGCCCTATAATGAGCAAACTTGCATGGATGATACATCTAAGGATGCACACTAATGGACTTGCTTCGGATGCTGAATTGGACATACATTTTTCAGATAATAGACAAGGTAAAAGTTATGGTTGCAGGTCTATTACCAAAAACTATAAGGCTTATATAAACCAAACTTGCACAAATACTGCATCAAGAGATGAAAACTCTCAAATTTGCTTCAGATGCTGGATTTTCATAACATTTTCATGAAGAAGAAGTAGTTTAAATTTTTTATGTAGGTCTATTTCAAAGTATCAGATCAAAATTGCTTTTAAAAATATTTTCATTTTTGGAATGTATACTTTTTGTTGGTTAATTGTGTGACTTTGCCTTACTTAAAGACAACATTCGTTGAGGTGAGCTCTGTAATCTCTGATTACCTATGTTTTTTTTAGCTTTACCTTCAAAGTCAGAGGAGGAAGAAATCTCACAGAATGGGGATATAGGAGGGAAAGTGAACACATCAAATAAAAGTGACCAAAAGTCACCTCCAAAAGACATTAATGAAGACGAAGAACTAGAATTTATAGAACAGATACCGCCCAAATCTAAGACAGATGTCAATCAGTTCCAAGACGAGACAGCTGATAATATTTTAAATGACCAACATGTCAAGTCCTTTAAAGCAAATAGTGTGAATAAAACCTCTAACACCTCAAGTAAACTCAACAGTTCTAAAGACAATAAAAAAGGCAAAAACAATAATACAAAGGATATCAACACCACAGCCAGCTTTAGTAATAACAGAGATGAAGTTATATCAAGGTAAAGAACAAAATCAATGAAAACTGAAAAAAAAAAAAATTGTACCGGTAGTGCCAATGAAGCAAAATGGCATTAAGAAGAAACTTTTGAGTTTGACATTTGACCAACTTTTTAGCTCACCTGAGCCGAAGGCTCAAGTGAGCTTTTCTGATCACATTTTGTCCGTCGTCCGTCCGTCCGTCTGTCCGTCTGTCTGTCTGTCCGTCTGTAAACTTTTCACATTTTCGACTTCTTCTCAAGAACCACTGGGCCAATTTTGACCAAACTTGGTACAAAGCATCCTTGGGTGAAGGGAAATTTAAATTGTTAAAATGAAGGGACATATCCCCTCGCAAGGGGAGATAATCAAGAAAAGACAAAAATAGGGATGGGTCATTAAAAAATCTTCTTCTCAAGAACCACTGGGCCAGAAAAGCTGAAACTTATGTGGAAGCATCCTGGGGTAGTGTAGATTCTAATTTGTTCAAATCATGACCCCCGGGGGAAGGGCGGGGCCACAATGGGGAATCAAAGTTTTATATAGAAATATATAGGAAAAATCTTTGAAAATCTTCTTCTCAAGAACCACTGGGCCAGAAAAGCTGAAACTTATGTGGAAGCATCTTGGTATAATGTAGATTCTAAATTGTTCACATCATGACCCCCGGGAGAAGGGCGGGGCCACAATGGGGAATCAAAGTTTTATATAGAAATATATAGGAAAAATCTTTGAAAATCTTCTTCTCAAGAACCACTGGGCCAGAAAAGCTGAAACTTATGTGGAAGCATCTTGGTATAATGTAGATTCTAAATTGTTCACATCATGACCCCCGGGAGAAGGGAGGGGCCACAATGGGGAATCAAAGTTTTACATAGAAATATATATTGGAAAAATCGTTGAAAATCTTCTCCTCAAGAAACACTGGGCCAGAAAAGCTGAAACTTATGTGGAAGCACCCTGGTATAATGTAGATTCTAAATTGTTAAAATAATGACCCCTGGGGGAAGGGTGGGGCTACAATGGGGAATCAAAGTTTTTTATAGAAATATATAGGAAAAATCTTTGAAAATCTTCTTCTCAAGAACCACTGGGCCAGTAAAGCTGAAACTTATGTGGAAGTACCCTGGGGTAGTGTAGATTCTAAATTGTTCAAATCATGACCCCCGGGGGAAGGGCGGGGCCACAATGGGGTATCAAAGTTTTACATAGAAATATATAGGAAAAATCTTTGAAAATCTTCTTCTTAAGAACCACTGGGCCAGAAAAGCTGAAACTTATGTGGAAGCATCCTGGTATAATGTAGATTCTAAATTGTTCAAATAATGACCCCCGGGAGAAGGGCGGGGCCACAATTTGGAATCAAAGTTTTATATAGAAATATATAGGAAAAATCTTTGAAAATCTTCTTCTCAAGAACCACTGGGCCCGAAAAAGTGAAGCTTATATATATAGAAGCATTCTAGGGTAGTGTAAATTCTAAATTATAGGAATCATGACCCCCGGGGGAAGGGCGGTGCCATTATAGGGAATCAAAGTTTTACATAGAAATATATAGGAAAAATCTTTGAAAATCTTCTTCTCAGGAACCACTGGGCCAAAAAAGCTGAAACATATGTGCCCATGAAAGGATCATGGGTTAGTGTAGATTTCAAAATGTCTAAATTATGATCAGTGGGGTAGGGTGGGGATGCATTATGTATAACAAGGGGGAAATCTGGTAAAGAACAGAATGGTCAAAGCTTCTCAGCTGAGCGATGTGGCCCATGGGCCTCTTGTTTAGCTTAACTGAGCCGAAGGCTCAAGTGAGCTTTTCTGATCACAATTTGTCTGTCGTCCGTCCGTCTATCTGTCAGTAAACTTTTCACATTTTCGACTTCTTCTCAAGAACCACTTGGCCAATTTTGACCAAACTTGGTACAAAGCATCCTTGGGTGAAGGGGAATTTAAATTGTTAAAATTGAGGGCCTAGTCCCCTCACAAGGGGAGATAATCAAGAAACGACAAAAATAGGGTGGGGTCATTAAAAAATCTTCTTCTCAAGAACCACTGGGCCAGAAAAGCTGAAAGTTATGTGGAAGCATCCTGGGGTAGTGTAGACTCTAAGTTGTTCAAATCATGACCCCCGGGGATAGGGTGGGACCACAATGGGGAATCAAAGTTTTACATAGAAATATATAGCAAAAATCTTTAAAAATCTTCTTCTCAAGAACCACTGGGCCAGAAAAGCTGAAAGTTATGTGGAAGCATCCTGGGGTAGTGTAGATTCTATATTTTTAAAATCATGACCCCCGGGGGTAGGGCGGAGCCACAATGGGAAATCAAAATTTTACATAGAAATATGTATGAAAAATCTTTAAAAATCTTCTTCTCAAGAACCACGGGGCCAGAAAAGCTGAAACTTATGTGGAAGCATTCTGGGGTAGTGTAGATTCTAAATTGTTAAAATCATGACCCCCGGGGATAGGGCGGGGCCACAATGGGGAATCAAAGTTTTACATAGAAATATTTGGGAAAAATCTTTGAAAATCTTCTTCTCAAGAACCACTGGGCCAGAAAAGCTGAAAGTTATGTGGGAGCATCCTGGGGTAGTGTATATTCTAAATTATTCAAATCATGACCTCCGGGGGTAGGGTGGGGCCACAATGGGGAATCAAAGTTTTTCATAGAAATATATGAGAAAAATCTTTAAAAATCTTCTTCTCAAGAACCACTGGGCCAGGAAAGCTGAAAGTTATGTGGAAGCATCCTGGGGTAGTGTAGATTCTAAATTCTTAAAATCATGACCCCAAGGGGTGGGCACGGCCACAAAGTTTTACATAGAAATATATGGGAAAAATCTTTGAAAATCTTCTATTCAAGAACCACTGGGCCAGAAAAGCTGAAACTTATGTGGAAACATCCTGGGGTAGTGTATATTCTAAATTATTCAAATCATGACCCCCAGGGGTTGGGCGGGGCCACAATGGAGAATCAAAAGTTTTACACAGTAATAAAAAATGAAAAATTTTTGAAAGTGTTCTTCTCAAGAACCACTGGGCCAGAAAAGCTGAAGGTTATGTGGAAGCATCCTAGGGTAGTGTAGATTCTAAATTGTTAAAATCATGACCCCTGGGGGTAGGGCGGGGCCACAATGGGGAATCAAAGTCTTACATAGAAATATATATGAAAAATCTTTAAAAATCTTCTTCTCAAGAACCACTGAGCCAGAAAAGCTGAAACTTACGTGGAAGTATCCTGGGGTAGTGAAAATTCTAAATTGTTAGAATCATGACCCCCAGGGGTAGGGCTAGGAAAAAATCTTTGAAAATCTTCTTCTCAAGAACCACTGGGCCAGAAAAGCTGAAACTTATGTGGAAGCATCCTGGGGTAGTGTAGATTCTAAATTGTTAAAAGTCATTACCCCCTGGGGGTAGGCGGGGCCACAATGGGGAATCAAATTTTTACATGGAAATGTATGGGAAAAATCTTTGAAAATCTTCTATTCAAGAACCACTGGGCCAGAAAAGCTGAAACCTATGTGAAAACATCCTGGGGTAGTGTATATTCTAAATTATTCAAATCATGACCCCCGGGGGTTGGGCGGGGCCACAATGGGGAATCAAAGTTTTACATAGTAATAAAAAATGAAAAATCTTTGAAAGTCTTCTTCTCAAGAACCACTGGGCCAGAAAAGCTGAAAGTTATGTGGAAGCATCCTGGGGTAGTGTAGATTCTAAATTGTTCAAATCATGACCCCTGGGGTAGGGTGGGGCCACAATGGGGAATCAAAGTTTTATAATGTTGAATCAAAGCATCCTATGGTAGTGTACATTTCAAATTGTTTAAATTATGATCATTTGGGTAGGGTGGGGTCACAATATGTATTAGAAGGGGAAATCTGGTAAAGAACAGAATGGTCAAAGCTTCTCAGGTGAGCGATGTGGCCCATGGGCCTCTTGTGTTTTTTCAAAATTGGCATTTGTCAGATTTCTCCAAATAAACATTATTCCATTTCTTTTACTCACAATAGACCTTTTGTCTAACAAAAGCCATTTTAGATCAGCATCAGTAACTACCTGATGAAGGACCTTGTTGAAATATAAAGTTGAAGAGATTTTAAAAAATCCAATGCTGATACATGAATTACTGTATAGGGGATTAATTTCACGGGTTGTAATTTTCAGGTTTTTCTCTCATCTGACACGATCGCGGTTTCTTGAATTCGCGGGATTTGTATATAAAAAAGTTACCTTCCTTGTCTATATCCATTGTATCCATACCATAGCTTTATGTAAACAACATTAATCATCGTTATGCCTTTATTTTAGAACAAAAGGGTAGATTAATATAAAATAGTTAGGTTTAATAAATAATTTACAATTAATTTAAACAAGTACATTTATCAGAAGTCCTTGACTAATAAACGTCAAATTACTTTCCTATATGCTATTACGATGAGTGCGTGTACACCCCAAGATCTTCAGTACAACGCAGTGAAAAACCACTGAACGGTAATAAAAGTGTTATTGTAGGAAACGAAAAAATATCCTTCCACATCTTCAGCAAGTTTGATAGTTATTTGAATGATTTTTTCCAAACCAAAATGTCGATAAAAACTAATATGCACGATAATGCAGGTAACAAATACACGTGGTAATACTTTACGCACGGGTAATCAAAACCCAAGGCCCATGTGTTTTGATTAAGAAACATGTAGCGTTGGCCATTAAAACAGCTTTTTAACAAATACAGGTTATTATCTGCCGATTAATTTGAATTAAATTAAAGCGTAATAATTAGAATAATTTTATCGCGGTGAATATAGCGAATATTAACACTGCGAGTTATTTTCCCCCTATACAGACTTAGAGAAAATGTGTAATTTTTTTCAAATGTTATTTAATTAAATGAAAGTTAATGTTAAAGTAAATGAGTAATTATTGTGTGAGAAAGCTTCTTCTTTACATATTAAAACTGAACGTAAATGTTAATTGATTCATGTCTTTAGATAAAAATTAGACAGGATTAAAGAAACCAGATAAATTGCTTTATGAATTTCCCAGATACAGTGCTCAGAAATATTGAATTAATATTGTAAAATTTATTTTTATTTTTTACAGATTAGAGAGTGATATTAAAAAATTAAAAGCAGACCTTCAGTCTAGTCGAAACACAGAGCAGGAACTCCGATCTCAAATGAACTCCTATATTTCTGGAGACAAATCTTTACGCTCAGATATATATCAGCTTCAACAGGATAATGAGAATTTACAGAACAAGTAAGTAATAAAAAAAATGTTGTAAAAAAAGACCAAATGCTGGTCATAGATGTCTTAACTGGAGAAAAATACTGATGAAATAAGTTATATGTCTTGATTGCTGTGGAATAAAATTCATGTTGACATTTCTTTTGATTCATGTTGATGATTTGTATAAATATAAATGAGCAGGTTTTGTATGAAGTGTTCATTGATACATAATTCGAAGATCATGCAGATATACCCGGTATGTATTGCAAAGTACATGTAGTATTTCTCTTAGTAACTTGATGCATATTTCTTTTCCAGATTACATAATCTTGTCACAAGTAGGCAGCAAGACAAACAGAATATATCTAGCTTAGAAAAGAAAATTAACGAAGAAAGGAAGATAAGGGCAGGAATAGAATTACAACTCAGTGCCGAACGGAAAGCCAAGAAAGCAGAAGAAGCGGCGGCAGCACGAGCGGTAGCTCTGGCCACCGCGGCTTCCGCTCAGAGGTAGGAAAAGGGTTAAGCTATTGACATGGCTAAACTTTGAGATTTCACTAATTTATTTACCTTTAAGCTTCATATGAGAGGTAACTAAGAAATTTATATGATCAATTCTCTTCACAGCCTATCAGCCCTTTGAATTATTTTACCATGTTTACAAATATCTGGCTGAAAAAAATTTAATCTTTTAAAATAATGTTTATGGAAACTTTAAATGAAATTCATGTACATGTTTCCCGAACATTAATTTTGATCATAAATATATGTATCATTCCCTTTATCAGGGCTGAATGCACAGATGTATGTAAACAAAGACAGAGAAGTATAGAAAATGATATCAAACAGCTCAAAAGGGACCTTATGCTTCGAGAGGAACAGTATAGACAGTTAGAATATGAAAATCAGGTATTACAGAGTTTCAGATGCTAAAACTGTACTTAATTTTATGATAAGTAGCATCAAAATATTGATATTTAAGTTGATAAATGATACACTGTGGCATCCTTTTCGTTTGAGTGTGGCCAATGTGTGTAGGCAATAAAAAATTTACTGGGTCACTGGATTTGAATTTATGGGTAAGAGTGACCAACAAACATTGGATTTCTACAAACAATGATGATTCCACAGTATTTGATGTTGATTTCAAATCTCTGTGTCACAATACTATAGAATTAAAAATAATTTATGAAGGTTTACGTTGTAATAGAATATAAAGTAAATAATCTGAAGTTTAGGTACTCCAGGGCTCAGGTAATGAAAATCAGGCATTGACTAATTGAAAATGCTCACAAAAATGTCTCTGAATTATCAAAGTTAAGTGTTTTTACCCAAAATAATTCTTCAAACTTCATCTTTAAAGTTACTTTGTGTAGATAAGATAAATACTCACAAACACTTTGAATTTCTGTTCTGATTTGAGATATTGCATCTTAATGTACATTGTAGAATCTTCGACAGTATAAGGATCAACAGAACGAAACAGAAGTACTCATGTCAGCACTCTCAGCAATGCAAGACAAAAACACTCATTTAGAAAACAGTCTCAGTGCTGAAACTCGAATCAAATTAGACCTCTTCAAAGCATTGGGGGAAGCTAAACGACAGATTGATATAATGAAAGGTAGTTATTGTCAGTTTGAACCCATGTAGTAAGTTGTTTCTTTTGTATTCATTTGTTGTTTTTCTGAACAATATGAATTTTGGTTGTTAATGATAAATAACATTTGTATTACCTATAAGGTGGTCTTGAGTTTTTGAGCTGTCCATGTTTACTTGAGTTGTTGACATATGTAAAACTAGATCTGGCAAGAATGATCCGTAAAAGGGGTTTGAAGTATGACACTGTTTTTCTCAATCTGTTGAAGCAATTATGTCTTTCTGACTAGGACTCCGCATAATTTCAATCCCAATGATATAAGCTGCAAGTTCTGTGACTTGGTTTGTTACACTTCCCTACTCTTACAGAAAGTTAGAGACAGATTTATCAATGTAAATGTTTTATTAGTAGAAATTTCAACATTTCAATCCTGGCCTTGAATAAAAAAAACTTGTTTACCAGCTGTCGGTGGGTGCAAGGTTTTTTTTTTAAACACTGCCTTTTTGTCTACTCCGTCTGAGTAAACTTTTCACATTTTCGACTTCTTCTCAAGAACCACTGGGCCAAACCAAACTGGTACAAAGCATCCTTATATGAAAGCAGGGAATTTAAATTGTGAAAATGAAGGGCCAAGTCCCCTCACAAGGGGAGATAATCAAGAAAAGACAAAAATAGGGTGGGGTCATTAAAAAATCTTCTTCTCAAGAACCACTGGGCCAGAAAAGCTGAAACTTATATGGAAGCATGATTCTAAATTGTAAAAATCATGACCCCCGGGGATAGGGCGGGGCCACAATGGGGAATCAAACTTTTACATAAAAATATATAGGAAAAATCTTTAAAAATCTTCTTCTCAAGAACCACTGGGCCAGAAAAGCTGAAACTTATGTGGAAGCATTCTTAGGTAGTGCAAATTCTAAATTGTAAAAATCATGACCCCCGGGAGTAGGGCGGGGCCACAATAGGGAATCAAAGTTTTACATAGAAATATATAGGAAAAATCTTTAAAAATCTTCTTCTCAAGAACCACTGGGCCAGAAAAGCTGAAACTTATGTGGAAGCATTCTGGGGTAGTGTAAATTCTAAATTGTTAAAATCATGACCCCCGGGGATAGGGCGGGGCCACAATGAATCAAAGTTTTACATAGAAATATATAGGAAAAATCTTTAAAAATCTTCTTCTCAAGAACCACTGGGCCAGAAAAGCTGAAACTTATGTTCTGGGGAAGTGTTTTTTTAAATTGTAAAAACACCCCCGGGGATAGGGCGGGGCCACAATAGGAAATCAAATGTTTTACATAAATATATATAGGAAAAATATTTAAAAATCTTCTTCTCAAGAACCACTGAGCCAGAAAAGCTGAAACTTATGTGGAAGCATCCTTGGGTAGTGTAGATTCTAAATTGTTAAAGTCATGATCCCGGGGGTTGGGCAGGGCCATAATGGGGGATCAAAGTTTTACATAGAAATATATAGGAAAAATCTTTGAAAATCTTCTTCTCAAGAACCATTGAGCCAGAAAAGCTAAAACTTATGTGGAAGCATCCTGGGATAGTGTAGATTCTAAATTGTTCAAATCATGACCCCCGGGGATAGGGCGGGGCCACAATGGGGAATCTAAGTTTTACATAGAAATATATAGGAAAAATATTCTCCTCAAGAACCACTGGGCCAGAAAAGCAGAAACTTATGTGGAAGCATCCTGAGATAGTGTAGATTCTGAATTTTTCTAATCATGTCACCCCCGGGGGTAGGGTGGGGCCACAATGGGGAATCAAAGTTTTACTATGTTGAATCAAAGCATCCTATGGTAGTGTAGATTTCAAATTGTTTAAATTATGATCAGTTGGGTAGGGTGGGGTCACAATATGTATAACAAGGGGGAAATCTGGTAAAGAACGGAATGTTCAAAGCTTTTCAGGTGAGCGATGTGGCCCATGGGCCTCTTGTTACAAATTCTGTCATTAAACTGATTTCGTACGGTAACATCTTTTTAATGATAGAATATTCTATCTCACAATGACAGGATGTGATCTCCTTAATTTCTATTTCTATTTCATAGTTCTTGCCAGTATGTACATGTACTTATGCAGAATAAAAACTTGTAATCTCTCTACGATATTTTCATAATTTAATATTAAAGGTGCTAAATACAAATTATATATTTTCAGAGCTCCACCAGGAGAAAGACAAAGAGTGTGCAGACCTAAGATCTAAAATGACGGAGGCTATGGCCCTGACCATGATGCCCACATCGAGCTCTCCGGCCATGAATGGAGTGGCTGACCTCTCCCCCACCCCCCTGTACTCTGCCCCCTACAACATGAAGGAGGACATGATCATGAAGTCCAATCTGAACCCTAATGCCTCAAACTACACACCAAAAACCACCATGTAGTCCAGCCAGCCCTGAACGTCTGGAACTCTTTTTTTTTTGGAAATGTTAGGCTTGCCTTTTCAGTAGACTTAAACTCACAAAAATTATTGTTTTTTTTCCCTCCCTTTAAAAGAAAATGTTAAAATTTGAAACAAGGAGTCTTTAATTTCCATGAGATTTGACCAAAAATTAAAATGTTAGAAATATATACATGTATTTATAAATAAATATATTTTTCACATTTAGGTAAGATGAGGACTAATGAGTAAAATGATACAATTAAATGTAGAAATTGTTTGTCCAATGGGATTCCTTCTGACATATTATACTTACAGCATGTTATTCATCTCATTGGTTCAGAACCAGTCAGAAATTTACTTGCCTGTGCATACATTCTATTCTTGTGAAGTCTCCTTGATTCAAATTTTAATATTTTACTTTGAGGGAGTTGGAGTATAAAGCATTTATTTCAATTAAAACACATTTTGTTCAAAACTGATGACTGCTGATGAGATTTTTGTTAACGGACAGATATCCAAAGTGTTCAACATTTAATTTTAAATTGTCTCAGATAGAGTAGAGATATTTATTGCACCTCTGTTAAAGCAAAAAAGCCAGTCCTCGACAGTGTCGTCTTTATAAGCATTTTTTGAGTATTCAAGGACAATATTTTTGAAAGTTTTGCTACTTGTCAATTCTAACAGGCTATTGATTGCTTGTGATTCAGAAGACAACTTTTAAGTTTGTTAATAATTTCTCAGCCTGACTCTCCAGGGGAAAGCAATGTTTACATGATGGTCATTCAGTTGTTAAGAAGGCATGCTACAAAATTGAAGGAATAGGTTGGTGTATATTTTTTGGACCAAATTTGGTAATAAATGAAGTATCAATTTTCTTAAATATTAAGAAATTGTATACTTTACATTCAGAATTCCTTTTTTGCCACAACTTATACAGCTGTTTATCATTAAACAGGGAATTATTCAGAAATTTTAAATGGAGAAATTTTGAATAACAAATTAAAAATTTATGTACTAGGTAAAACTTATTTATTTTTATCATTTGAACATTGTTTGGGGTTTTCTTAAAAAAAATTTTGTAGACATTTGTCCCTAATAAACATTGTTGAATAGGAATTCTCATTGAGAGTAGGTTGATATGAAGTTAGAAAACAGGCTTAATTAGGTGTTCTTTCTGAATAAACATATCATGTCTGTATTAACTCTTTCTGTACTTTTTTAATCTTATTTTAACACAATTTGTACAACTACATGTGTATTTTTGAATAATGAAAATAAGATATGCCTAATGAACTGCTTTGGTACATATCACTGAAATCTTTTTGTAAGTTATTAAAAAAGCTACACCCCATGACACTTCTAACAATACAACTGAAGAGAAAGTTTAGAATTTGTAACTATTTTAAGTTGGACCTTTCTTTCTTTGTTAGTTTTTGAGTTATTTTCCAAAGAAAATGCTTTGACACTTGTATTGATGAAAAAAAAAGTTCCTCAACGAACTTGATATTTTTCTTATATGTCTTTCCCTGACTGCAGTATATAAAGTGACCCATCAAATTTTTAAAACAGAAAATACAGAGGTATTTTTACTACTTAAAAGATGCAAAATATTTATAAAGTTATGAGACTCATGCTTTACTGGGAGTGTTATACAGCGTGCTCTGTTGTGGTCTATATCTGTATATGCTGCAGTGATGGGAAGGTGTAACACTCTATATGTTTAGTTATTGTGACTGTAACCCTGTGGTTGTTTTTGCTTTGTATCATTAGTTTTTGGTGTTCATAACCTCCAGACAAGGGAGGTCACCTCGGAGGGAGGTCAAGGTTAAGTGCTGTGGAAGGTACCACGTAGTGTCCAGCTGCTCTTGGGACAGAGACAGTGGATCAAAAATGCCCTGAACTTGCTGCCAGAAATAAAAGCTAGCAAATATCAAACACAGTTTTGTTTTACTTGATTATGACTGGCCAACCAAGCAAGGTTTGTGCTTTGTAGCATATGAAGTATAGTCTCATTTTAATGTGTATAGAGAGATGTGGACCAATGAAATTTATAATTCAGTCTTCAGTGACTAAATTTTGACTTGAGTCATGATCATGTCACATTAATAAGGCATTTTAATTTGCATCTTTGGAAATACAAGCCATGCACCACTTGACTGCAATGGCATTGACCTGTGATATTTGACCTTTGAATTGCCAGGAAAGTATACCTTTGTATATGCAGTTTATCAGCTGATTTTGAATTTTGAACTTGTTAATCACATAGAGAAATGGAATCATGATATGAGCTCAAAAGGGAGCTCGTATACATTTTATGGCCCCAGGCCCATTCCAGTTTTCAGCTCACCTGAGGTGAGAGCTCAAGTGAGCTTTTCTGATCACACTTTGTCTGTCTGTCTATCCATGTTGGTTTATTATCAACTTTCCTTTATAAGACTGAAGAAGCATGCCAACAAAAATTCACAGATGTACTGTTACAGGGATTAAGGGCATACTTATTGCTTACCAGTATATAAGTATGCTGGTGACACTAATATGTATGTGCTAGCCAGCTGTGGCCAGATTCATGACAAAATGTGCCTTCATGCATATGACTTAAAAACATGCAGTTATAAACAAAAAAAGTTTCTGACATTTAATTCTATAAAAAGTTATAACAAAACACTGTAAAATAGCATAAATAATCACAATAATTTGCACTAAATTTTCCACAGCTGCATTATATTGTATGAATTAGTCTTGCTACAAGACTTGTCTATATTGTGTAAATTGTGAAACGAGATTCCATGGAAAGCAATGAAAAACTTTTTAGGTATACATTTTACATTATATCTGAGGATTAGAGATATCGTGGGTGAAATACTTTGTAAAATAAGTTGTCAGGATTTCCAAATCATTTTGATATAAGCATGGTATTCAAAATATCCATGTTCAAGATACTGCATTTCAACTGTGATATAAAACTTTCTGATGTATAGAGTCTGAAGCATTGTCTTGATCCCTACAAACAACTCAGGATATGATGTCATTCACATGCTCATCTTCAGACAAGGATAAAGAAATAGTAATCTATAAAAATTTTCAAAAGATGACATTGAAGAAAGGGAATTCAGCTTTATCAGGTTGTATCAGGTCTGCCAGGAAACATACAGTCCCAGCGTATCCTTCATACAAACTAAACGGAGTGTCTGGTACCCTGGCTCCGCGCTGGAACTCTTCAGTAAACAGAAATTCAGCGAACTGCTGAGCTCGATGAAGATGTTTAAAGTCACCGGTCAAACGATACAGGAGGAGAAATACGTAGCCACTACCCGCTACCCCATGACAAATTCCCGGGCCTTTCTTCAGCAGGCCTTTTGTCCAGGTGACCTCTCCACAACGTAGACAGGCATCCAGGTACCTCTGGTCTCCCCACACTTTGAAAGCTCGGGCAAAGAGGTAAACGACACCTAAAACAGAAGTAAACATGTTTATCTGTAGAATTTGTGAACTAGGTTTTATTCTTCTGTATATATATATATACAGTCAATTCTCGAATTATCGCCATTCGATTCATCGCCATTTTCGCGATACCGCCATGATTTCCCAAGAACGTTTTTCCTGCTATATAAAATTCTCTTTATAACGCCAAATTCGCATACCGCCATCCGCCACCCTGTTTTCACAACAAACGTTCAGTTTTAAGTGTCAATTATCTCGATAATACCGCCACAGGAGCTTGTGGTCAGTAAAGCGCGGCTAATTGGTTGACGCTATCCTTGTTGTAATTAAAGCATGCAAAGCCAGTCAAGGTACATGCAATTAAGTAAACAATAATTTTAACATGAATTGTTAGAATAATTTTGTTTTCTGTTTAATAAGATCATTTAGTCAAGGCTTTGCCACGAAAGCGGTCGTTGTAAAGTACGCCGATAACGATATTATTTTGATGATCTCTGCTTTTAAAAACAATGCAAAGTTTGCTTTAAAAATAATTATAAGTCAGAAACTGTGAACGTTTCATTTACAATGATTTCATTAACAACGAACTTATTCGAGAACTTATTTTATGTACTATAGGCAATACATCACGACGATCGACCCAGCATTTTTTTTTTCAATATTAGACGTGCAGATTTACATGCATACACATGTACTTGTCTTAATTTCATAACTTAATATTTTGTTTCAGCGATATTGTACATAAAAAAAATTACTTGAAGTATTTTCAAATTTAGAAATATGTTTATATATACATGTACATGTGATAATAAGAATAGAATCGCTAAATGGTATTTCTAAGAACGATAACTCTACGTCTTATTTCCTAAAAGATGGAAAATTCAATTCATTGCCAAATTCGTTATACCGCCATGATTTCTAAATTACAAAAGGTGGCGGTTTATCGAGAATTAACTGTATATATTTATAAGACTTCCATTGAAAATTACATTTGTAAGTCAATTTTTTTCAAGAAGGATGAGTGAAATGTAAGTGCTTTTTATGAAGGAAAAGGACATATTGAGGAAGCAGGACTTTGGGGAAGAACTTGTCTCCTAGTGATTAAAATCTGTTTTCTTATGATGATCTCAATGAACTTCAATATATTCTTATTGTTGAGTGGCAATAAGGCAAGCTGAAAACACATTAAAAGAAATCCATTTCCCTATTATCATACATGTTCTGATTACAGAGGTGATTCTGGAGGTACCTGGAGCCCCGTGACACCAGTGTACGAGTTCCTGGTCCTCAGGACGTCTGTGATGAGGTCCCACTTCATCCATGGCAGGAGGGTAGTTACCGTGCTGCTCCAGACCTAACATAAAATCCACAGATTTACGGATATCCTGCTCAGCTGCTGGATCGGATTTCAAAATCTCTGGGAAGCTTAGGAGCATTTGTAGAATGGATGACAAACCATGGGCAGCTCCTGTTTGTGGAAATCAGCTTATTAAGATTTATTATACCATTATTTTTTTTATAGTGAACTAAATGTACTTTAAATATGGACAAATTTCTGCATAAAATTTGTATATACATGTAGTTAAACCATGCAGAAAAATGATCTTGTTTAGTTCGAAAATTGTTTTACCCTTTTCAGAGAAATCCAAGTAAACACATGAACAGTCAAACCTTGTTATCTCAATCCAAACGGATTGAGAAAAACTTAAAGATATAAAAGGATTTGAGATATCCAGGATAAATACTTAATATTAGGAGTTCAAAGTAGGGATAATAGGAGTAGGATTAGGAGGAATTAATAGGATTAGAAATAACTATAGTAGCGATTTCAAAATCTCTTTGAAGCACCCACGTTATTGAAGATATCAGTAAGTGATACCGTATAAGCAGAATTTTTAGCGAGTATTTAAATTTGGCATTATTAACAATGGTGCTGAGATCGCTAAAAATTTATTCCGTTTCATTTCTAATAGCTTCTTTAGTGAGCATTTTAAAATTGCTAAATTTACTTCTTGCTAAAAATAAAATACTAATTTTGAAGAGGACCCACTCTTAAAAATTTTAAGAGAAAAGATCAAAGTTGGCTCTCATAGTACATATTTAATTATGTATATTAGCAGTGACAAGGCCTTTCTAAATATACTATGATTTTTTACCCTGTGGCCTTGACCTTGAAGTTTGCCTTACTAAAAAGGTTAAGGGTGGGAAAAAAAATTCTAGATTTTTTCTTTTACGATAAAAATTTCAGATTCCTGTGGTTTTTACCTAAATATTCTGTGTTATAATATGAATACATCAGGGCTGATTTAGGACTAGAATGTTGTTTTTCTGCCCCCTTCCTTCCAGAAGCAACCATTGTCCTCCAAAGACCAGTTAAAACATCATCTCCTATGACCTGAAAAATTGTAAACATTCAGACCATGATGACGTTGGATTATTTTTACCTTTTATAACATAAAGTTGGAATATCAAGAGTTTTAACATACATTGATAATGGAAGGTGTCTAGCATCTCATCATGTCATATATCTCTCATTTGTTTCTCTATATACATAAGCTTCAGTTATATTAAAAAAAAAACTAGATCCAATAAAAAGGACATCATCTTTGAAATATAAAGAAATAGATTCCAATAACACATTCTGTTACAGAAGTAGAACATGACTTAGTAATTACCTCTTAACTTGACTTGAAGCTGAATATGACTTATCGTTAACTTCTAAAAACCTGACTTGAAGTTGAGGATGACTTAGTACTTAATCTTACCTGTTAACTTGATTTGAACATGACTTCAAACTTGATTTGAACATGACTTAGTAGTAACCTATGAACTTCTTTTACCCGTTTACTTGACTTGGAAATCTTATAATTAACATGTATATTTGACTTCGATATAACATGGCTCTAACCTGTGTACTTGACTTGAACATGACTTAGTACTAACCTGTTTACCTGTTTTCTGTCGGAGTGCCAAAACACCACACAAGTACCCTGCCCGTCCAACAAACAACTCATCTGAACCATTCCTTCCAAAGAAATCAATCTTCTTACAGTGCTCAGCAAGTTGTGCATATTGAGCAATATATCGATCAGAACTCTTTTCATCCCCTATGGTCTTGTACAACAAACTACAGAGCACTAGCACACCTGCCTGACCCAGAATGAAAGAGGATGGGGGATCGCTCCTCATTCCTCCCCTCCCAATATAGTCCATGTTCACTTTAGCATACATTAAAGCCTGCTCTAGGTAATCTTGTCTTTCACTCTGAAAGGATTCTTGTGTGGCTAGGTAATACAGCATGTAACCCACCCCCGAGTTACCGACATACAATCCCCCAGAACAAGTACTGGGGTCAGGAGGCATTCTTTCTAAGATTGTCTTCACAATTGCAATAGCATTGTCATGCCATTTCGATTTATCTACTGAAACCGGCTTCTCTAGAACAAAATCAGCCAGTCTGTTTTTAAAATAGCGCATTTTTCCTTGAGTTTCTTACTTTTGATTTCTTCAACGAATCTTCTTTTGATTCTGCGACTGCTTTAATTGTGATTCCCGACCCCGATTAAAATTTCAAGGTACACAATAAATATTAGGTTTTATGCTGTATGATCAATATTTTCATACTAGAATTGCTGTTGTATTGGTATTACATGTATAAAAGAAAATCAAAAACCTGCTATAATATTTTTACACCATAAAATTAAAAAGAAAAGTTGAAGCATGAAATATTTAAATCGGGATCGGAGTGCAAGTGCCCAATAGTTGAGAACCTGGAATAAACAATGGCATCATACGTTTTGAAGATAATATCGATGACTCTTGGAATCTTCTTCATCTTTATAGGCACATTAAAGCTTACCCCCTCTGTCAACAAAGAATTACACAAAGAAATGGTTGGTAACTTTGTTTTATTTGAAAACATTGATAAATCGGACTTCTTGTTTACTGTTCAGTTTAGGTTACCAGGTCCAGTCCAAAGATTATTTCTACCTACGTAGCTGTTAAAAGCTACGTAGGTATTTAAACCTACCAAAAGTAGCTATTTTCACCTACTTTCTGCTTTACTTGCATTTTGTGGCCAAACGGAGGAACTGCGCAACATGGTGAGCTCTGAATTTCTTGATACAGTCACACCAGTGATGGATATGACAAAAATTTGGCCAAAAAATGATTAATTCGTATATTATCAATTTTGCATAGAAACTAATGTTAAATTGCCGATTCAGGAAGTAATCGTTTTTTGGTCAAAATTTTGTCGTATTCATCATTAGTGTGACTGTATCAAAATATATGGTATTTACCACGTTGCGCTGTTCAGTCTTTTGGCCACAAAATGTAGATAATACAAAAAGTACCCGTAAGTAAAACTAGCTACTTTGGGTAGGTTTAAATACCTACGTAGCTATTAAAAGCTGCATAGGTAGAAAAAGTCTTTGGACTGGACCTGTTTACTTTTCAGTATTGAGCAATTAATTGTTGATTTCAATTACATTAGACAAAAAAATTTCATTACATGAACATTATGTCACATCTCAGAGACATGAATTATGACACATACTTTGTTATCAAGCGCAAGCAGTCAAAGGTAGGAGTAGTAGGAGAGACCTATTTGTGGACTCCACCGTGGCTCCAGACTGTGGCTTGAGATGATGGTATGACATGTACTGTAACATACCGTTTTGTTGTGGATGAAGTAAAAGAATACATTACGAAGACATGGTTAGTGATATTTTGAAATACTGGGAGAAGTCGAGAAACAGTAGACTGTTTTGTGTGCAATAAATGTACACTTTTTTTCAGTGGGTGAAACTGTAGCTCTCTGGTCGTCTATCCCATTTTTTTTAGATCAACAACCTACAGTTCAGCAGCTAGTTCAACATACTAGGCTACAGTGTATATAAAGACTTCCTTACATAGGTTTTATTAAATACAAAAAAATATATACTTCATTAAAAAAAATTTTTTTTACCTTCTGCAGGAATATTGAGGGCTACTTAAAAGTGTCTTAATGAGGTGGTTTCATTACACAAATTTCTAAGTTCATCTCTCTGAATAATAGCATTTCCCATTCCTCAATGATACATAATGAGAGATTTGATCCCGTAAAAAGAGTACTGGTATTATTTTTCATTAGGTCAGAAAATATTTCTCAAATGATAGCAAGTATTCATGAGTAAAAGAGGATATTTTTAAAACTCTGTTTTTAAGTACTTATGTAGTACTGTTTTCCATTGCAGAGGAAAATGTACATAAGAAATTCCAAAGTTTTTCCTCTGGTAACATGGACAAAGTGGAAGCCCAACTCACACATGTACAGGAAAGTGATTGGTGGATCCGAGGTGGTGTGTGGTGCTATTTTAGCTTTTATACCAGGTAAACTGAATTTGTAATAACTGACATCTGATGCTATCATTCACAAGCAATACACAGAACTGAAATTTAGAGCATTTATTTGCAGACCATGAGGATGCAACTCTGTTTATCTGACATAATAAGTGTTATTTCCAAATGATAATTAAATACTGGGTGACTGTAATATATAAAACTTTGTTGCCTTTTCAAACAACACCAAAAATGTCAACAATCTGTGAAAAGTATGTCATGTGTGGATAGAATTATGAGCAATATATATCAAGAGTATTTCCTGGTATGTTTTGCTTTTTACGGTAGTATTAAGTTTATTATATTCACACAATACTTCTAGGTCCCCTAAAAGAGGCGGCCAATGTTCTGATGATTCTGATAGCCAGCCTGGATATCTACTCCCACTATGCCCTGGATGAGGGTCTGGATAAGATGAGTTTATCCGTCGTCTTCTTCCTCCTCCTCATGTGTCGACTCATCATCCATCTCCAGATGAAGGCCCGAGAGGACGAAGAGGCCGCTCAACGTGCTCAAGCCTCTGAACGAGAACAAGCCCCGCCCACCTGTCAAGGACACACCCATATTGTTCACCCCAACGCAGGGGCTGGATTTTCTGCTGCTGAGAAAAAGAATCAGTAATAGAAGCCAAGTATAAAGATGGTAACTGATAGAGAGAAAGAGACAGAGTAGTGTGTCAAGGGAAATAACTCAGTTAACAATGATGGATAGTCTTTCAAGGGAAGTCACTCCTGTGAGGGAGCAAAAGAATCTACGAGGGAGAAAGAAAATAGCATAATAGATTTTGAATACCAGATGTGAAGTATTTGAGAAAATGCAAGACATTTGAATTTTACGCAAGTGATTCAGCCATTTTGAAATCCATTTGACTGTTGTTGGGACTTTTTAAATATTTTTTGATATACACTGTACATGTATGTCCCATCATTTTTATTTTTATTTTATGCTTTTGAGTAGTTTTACAAAAGACTTGTCAGGCATTAATGCAACATTTATCTGATCTCTTTTTTTGTCTTTTTCAAGTACAATGTATATTCGTAGTCATTGATTTTACAGTTTACATAAAACTGTATATGATTCTGATGTATGAATGTGACGTTTAGTCACAACAAAAAATTCAAAAATACATACATGTCCTATTTCAAACAATTTTTTTGTGCTATATATAAGTTAGTTTTAAATTTTAGCTTATTTCACAGACCCCCCCCCCTTAACATCATGCACATAACATTTTGGTTATATACAATTATCTTATACATGGGTTTCTGATACATTATTAGAATTTAACACTATGTTGAATACAATTGATTTGGGGGGAGGGGGATTGTTTAAATAGATCATTATAATTGTTATCTGCAGAACTATAGTTCTCTGCTTGAGAAAATTCAAACAGATAAAGCAGAGAGCTCTAGTTTCATGCATTGTAAAAAACCTTCACTTTATGCCGCCAATTTTTTGTCGCTCCTTTCAGATATTATTTCTTTTAGTCTCTTAAATTATGCTTTTTTATGCTCTTAGAATGTATCCAATAATTAATCATATATTTTACCCGAATTATCGATACTTTATTTACCTTTCTATGGTCTAAAAACAGTACTCTATGGATTTGGAGTGTTGGTTTAAAAGATCCCCATTTTTACATCTGGTCCTTTTTGTACCATTGAAAGGTAAATAAACATATAGGAATAGGAGATAAATGTATGGTTAATTATCGGATATCATTTATAAAACTAAAAAATTTAAAACATTAGAAATAATACCCGAAATAAGCAACAAAAAATTGGTCACTTAAATCAAAGGTTTTTACAAAGCATCCTTGATCTGTATCTGTCTAAATTTTCTCAAGCAGAGAGCTACAGTTCTGCAGCTATATAACTGTAGCACTTGAACACTTCTTAATCTGCCACTTCTAATATGGAACATGGTTCTTTATCTTTAGCTCTACTAGACAGAGACCAGAAGAGCTTAGGCAATAGGTAGGTATCAGCGCGTCTGTCTCTAACATTGAAATAATTAAAAGAAAAATCTTTTTCTGAAGAAACACTGCACCAGAAAAGTTGAAACTTACATTGAAGGTTCCTGGGCTAGTGTAGATTGTAAGTTGTTTGAAAAATAGCCTCTGGCTTTACCCTGGTAGAAATAGAATGGAGCCACAATAAGAAATTGAAGTTGATCATTGAAATATACATGTATAGGAAAAATCTTTGAAAACCTTGTTCTCAAGAATCTCTGGGCCAAAAAAGCTGAAACTTTGTGGAAGCTTCCTGGGCTGTTGTAGATTGTTCAAATCGAACCCCACCCCCATGTGAGTTGGGTGGGGCCACATTGTACAATAAGGAATAAAAAAAATTGCAATGAAATATAAAGGAAAAAATCTTGTAAAATCCTCTATTCAAGAACTGAAGGGCAACAAAAGATGGAAATTATGTGGAACAATTCTGTGTTAAGGTATATTCTAAATTGTTCAAATCATAACCTCTCTGGGTAGGATGTGACCAAAATAAGTATTTCAAGGGAATGGTGAAGTTACTCAGGTGAGCGTTTTGATTGATGGGCCTTACGGTTATAAAATCTTTCAACAAGGACTTCCTCATTCCATTGATAAAGTATAACGTAACATATTTCAGTTGATTATCTGAATATTCAGTTCCTTATCTACAAGGTTTTGAAGTTAAAAGTAATTAAATCGTAAACATGTATGCAAATGGTTGTAGCACTAGGTGCCATTTAATTTTCATTATGCAATCAAATCTGAAAACAATAACTGCTTCATTGATAAAATGAAAATTCTTAGTTCAACTCTCTCTCTCATGGTAAGATGTTAAGTTTTCAAGGCTTTGCAGAATATTGATCAAATCCTCAACCGCCTCTTTCTGTACTCTGTACTTTTTTATCCAATCTCTTAGATTTTCTCTCACTCTCAGAGAGCTAGATGTGCTGTCCTTCCCCCGTCAACAGGGTAATATGTTACAGTGGCATTGTTCCCAGTCTCAGGTGTTTTTGAGTACTTGTATCCCTTGCACCTAAAATGATATAAAATATATACAGAAATACTTTTTATACAAACATGGAAAATGGCAAATTTATGGCTATGGCCAATTATTGTGAAGGGTGGAATATGGTCACAGCAACATATTCAAGCTTTTGATGATGCATGCATATTCTATACTTTTTTTATCTCAAAATCACAAGAAACTTTATGATGTGAATTTTTATTCCAGAAACCTCAAAGAAAATTAGTTATCATTTGGAAAATAATATTTGCAAATTATTAACCCCCTTCCCTGCTGTCACGCATTTCAACACATATACTAGTACCATCCTATTTCTAACATCACGCATATGCCGTTTCTCCGCAATCACACATTTTTCACTCACTTTAAAGTGCATTTAATCTTCAATTTAATGCCAATTTCCTTCTATTTTATACTTACTAAAATCTCATAAAATAAGAAGAGTTATTTTCTTATTAAATATTAGGTCATAAAATTATTTACACTAAACTTTAGAGAAATTTGTGCCGCGCTGTAAAGTGCTTGCGGGGAAAAGGTAACGTCATATTTTTAGCATAACAGTTCAGTAAGTTGTAAAGAGATAACTTTAACTTTAAAATCAATAGGGAACTCTTTAGTGATTCTTGAAGTAATAATCAGAGACGCATTGGAACGTCATTTGACTAATGGACCACAGGAGTCTGAAGTTTTAATCGTAAAAAAAAAAAAAAAAAAAAAAAAAAAAAAAAAAATCCGGAAAATTTTTTTCCTACCCTTAACTAAAAAAACTTTTTTTTAGTTCAGGGTAGGAAAAATTTTTTCCGGAATTTTTTTCTTTTTTTTTTTTTTTGACGATTTAAACTTCAGACTCCTGTGAATGGACAGAATGACGGATTCAGGCTGTACAACAATTGATTAAGCTTCAGACCTGTTTACCCATATCGTTGTCTCTCAGTATTTTTTATTAGATTTATCCGTGAGATTTGGCATTAGTCTGTAAGATTTCACTTTCCATCAATTTTACATATATGAATGGAGAACTACGGCTTTTTTGATTACTAAAACATGGTTAAATAACGTGATCTTGATCATTTTATAATACGGCGTTTTAGCAAACCGACATAACTCAGAATTCGAATTTTTTTAACAATTAAAAAAGTATGAAACTGAGACAGATCATAACGAAAACTAACTTCTCAATTCTAAATAAGTCTATTTCTTATTTCCGTATTTTCATAATAGCAAAACGTGAGACGTAAACGGTATTTTGGACTAAAAAACCGTACAAAATACGGCGAAATCGTAAGAGTAAACAGGTCTGAAGCTTTCAGCTCAGGTGAACTATTTCAAAAATCATTGGCGTTGGAAGCAAATTGAAAGGGGGGGCTAAAAGTAAGAATTTTTTAGACCTACAAAAAAACTTCTTTCAGTACCATTTTTTTTCAAAAATACCACTTTCCACATTTTTAACCTATGCATAACATGTCTGTGGCAGGTTGGGGGGGGGGGGCTAAACCTAGGCCGCAATGTTCAATAGCATGACAATTCAAAATTTTGATTGCTTATACGGAACCGGGGGAGGGGGATTAGCCTCCCTTCTTTTTTTCGCTATCTCTTGGAAAAAAAAGAAGGGAGGCTAATCCCCCTCCCCCGGTTCCGATGCCTATGAAATAAGCAATCAAAATTTTGAATTGTCAAAGAAACTGCTATTAGTTTGAAGCATGTTACGTTTCAATGTTTGCTATTTTGGATTACCCCATACAAACAACTTGAAATAAAATATTCAAAATTTAAGCGATGACAGATTTTTTTTAACATCTACAAAAATGTACAATCTTTTCAAAGGATATTTTGGACATTTTTAGTAATCATTAAAAATGCGCTTCTAAGCACTTAATGGTACTGTGGTAGGGGTATCTAACCACCGAATCCGTAGAGGGTACGTCCTTGTCTCTTAAGGGCATAGACAACGTCCATGGCTGTGACAGTCTTCCTCTTGGCGTGCTCTGTGTAGGTGACAGCATCACGAATGACATTCTCAAGGTAAACTTTCAGGACACCACGGGTTTCTTCGTAGATGAGTCCAGAGATACGTTTGACTCCACCTCTGCGTGCAAGACGACGGATGGCGGGTTTGGTAATACCCTGGATATTATCTCTCAGAACTTTTCTGTGACGCTTAGCTCCCCCTTTTCCAAGACCTTTTCCTCCTTTACTACGTCCAGACATAGTTAAATAGCCCGCTCTGAAAGAAATCGCGGTTTATTTACTGCAGTATAGCGTCATATTCCGAACACAGTCTGATTGGTTCGATAACGTCAACGTCAAATCGGCGCGAAAAAAGACAGTGTACGATGTCTAAACTATATATGGGCCCTATACATGTATGATATAGAGAATAAATAATTATAATCATTTTAAAGAAAAAATAATTTCTGGAAAGAACCTTATGAACTACTTTTTGATTGAAGCAGTTCATTGAATCGAATTATTTCTGACTTACTTTCATATTGTGTTTTCTATTGATTCAGCAAGGCTTATAAACGGGTATTCCAGTACACAAGTAACTCATATTTCAGTGGCGGATCCAGAGGGGGTTACAACACCTCCCTTGGATCTGCAAAAAAAAGAAAGAAAGAAAGAGAAAGAAGAAAATCCCAAATTTTTGTTGTGTTTTTACTATAGAAAATGTTTAGTGAAAGACTAAAAGGCTAATGTTGTAATATATAAAGAAATTCGGTTGTGAATACAAAATTACCCTCCCCCTTTACAAATTAGGATTTTCGAGATATGTTTTCCTTTTTCTTTTTCAAAAACTTTCAAGCAATTCATACAAATACTTTTTCCCAAGTTGATCAACCTCACACTTTTAAAAACCATACTCCATCCGGTATCCTATTGAGTTATTTAACTACATGTACATGTATGTGTAAAACGTACGTCATAACTCTTTTCCCTTGACTCCCCCTTTGAAAAATCCTTCAATCCCCCCTTTGAAAAATATCTAGATCCTCGCCTTTATTTGCATCATCTTCGCAAGCCAAGGGTTTCACACTGAGCGTATGTACAAGGAAAGCATCCTTGTAATGCCGAGTCAACACAATGCCGTTGAAATCAGGGCCCCTGGCTTGTGAATATGTGAGGGAGAGTAGCACATCTGAAACCCTGCTTGACTAGCGAAGATGTATTTACAAAAAGCTGTGGCGAATGAAGATTTCTTAATTAAAGCTGTAAATATTACATAAAATTCGTTTTCTCGACATATCCAAGGGGAACTCAGAAAATGCAGAGATATCCGAGGATTTGATATATCAGAGTTGAGACTCAAAATAATGAAATTTATCTCTTTACTGTTGCTAAATAAAATAATCACAAATATGACTGAGTATTTTAATTCATTTTATTTGGACAATCACCAAACTGTCAATTACAATGAACTTTTTAAAAAAGAAAATGACTGCACATTTGCGTGTAACATGAACAGGAGGGTCCATTTTACTTTACTCTTCCACGTCAATGTTAAGCAGTGCAACATTCATAACTATTTTTTATTTATATATAAATTCAAAATTTCAAAAGGTTCAAAATTTTAAAACTTTAAGTAAACATTATTTTGGGTGAGTGTATATCACAAAGAGCTACTTTGATGGCATCCTTCTAAAATTCACTGTAGAAATATTTTAAATAATTAACATTCACAGGATGAAGGAAAATCGGCTCACTTTCAAGAGCTTTCAGCTCATGTGAGCTATTTAAAACTTAAGCATGCCTTTTCCACACAAATTCTCCTATTATATTAACAATTTCTAAAACGAGGAAAATTGTTGACAAACAAGTTGCTGAAACAAGAATATCAACAGTCTGGTTTAACATTTTTAAAGGCATCTTTTTTTTTTAGTTTTATGGTTGATACAATGACCTTGTCAGCATATACAATTTATCATTATTCAAGTGCTGTTCGACTGAGGTTTTTCATGCTGACGGTTAAGCCATTATAAAGACACTCAGGCTGAATTGTCAACGATTTTTTCCGTTGTTCCCAAACATGACAAGGAGCACATGACGGGTGTGACCGGTCGGCAGGGGGAGTTCACGCCTCCATGGCACCTGATTCCACCTCTGATATTTTGGAGGTCAATGTTTACTCATCGTCGCAAACCTTGGTCAAAATGTACGATCCTCTCCCATTCTAGAGCTATATTTGCAGATTGCGGACCGTGGCTTGAGACGATGGTGTTTACTCTGCTCTTCGTATCGTTTTATGGACTTTTGAGCTTGAATACTGTTCGTTATTTCCAAATTCCATATATATTTCATGCAAACATCATCCACACAGTATCCCGACTTGCATAAAGAATTGTGAATAAGATCAAAATAATGGTGTGTATGTTCTGGATGCAGGTATAATCAGTTCTAAGACTTTAAAATCCATCCACGTGGTATTTCACTTACAACAATGAAGGGACTCAATTCATAAATTAGAGAATTTTCATTAGTTATCTCTCTTTGCCAATGCCCCAGTTTAAGTGTTGTCTTTGAGAGTAAATATAACAGTGGGGATCCCGCTGTTTTGAAGGAAAATTTTGGGTACAATATTGCATGCTTAGAAGAGTCAATATATTAATCTTTATATAATCCTTTCCTCTGTTTGCAACCTCTCTCTCTCTCCCTCTCTCTCTCTCTCTCTCTCTCTCTCTCTCTCTCTCTCTCTCTCTCTCTCTCTCTCTCTCTCTCTCTCTCTCTCTCTCTCTCTCTCTCTCTTATATAAATTTAGTGAATTAACTGTAAGGAAAATTGCATAAAGAATTGTGAATGAAATATGATGAAATAAGATTTTATAATAACTAGTACGCATGCTATCAGTAAATGCTCATTAACTGTATAAAATGCATATTTTTTGACTAAGTGCAGCCCTAAAATATTACATACAACAATTAAAGCAAAATAGGAAATGTTTTAACCTACCTGAGATAAAATTCCAATCAAATTCTCTTTAGGATATCCGCAAACTGAGAGACAAAACGCATGTACATGGAAACTGGAAAGTGCTAGTATGACCGTGCTGAATGGCAGAATGTCCAAAAGCACATGGCAATTGCTATGACCTCGCGGAGCAAGTAACAAGAAAATTAGATAAGAAGGATTTCACTGGGCAGCCACCTGCTGGGATTTGCCGCTTTAGAGCTGTTCGGCCAAAGTTTTACTGCCCACTTGTTCTGAGAAGTTAATTTATCATGTTAATTAGGTAAGACTGTGATTTGAGAAAGATATCTGAAACAAGAAAAACTAGCTGCAATAATGTAGTCATCTACGATTTTTTTTTTTTTTTTGAATAAGATGTTTTCTGAAGAGGCTTCAGGAGAAAGAAAGAGAGGGGGGCTACATTATTGCAACTAGTTAAAAAAATTTAATGGCAATACAGTGTTTTACATAAGACAATTTTAAGTATATACAATCATTCATGATATTGAAATATTGAACGTATCAAGGTGCGTACTGTAGAAGTGTTAGCATATATAATAATGTTCCAACAAATAATATAACACACTTTACATACGAGGATGTTTACATACAGTATCCACCCACCCCCTGTAAAAAATTGGGGAAAACCTTTCCATAAAAATACCTCGCTTAAAACATTTTGCTTTGTTTTGTTTTTTTTCATGTTTGATTATGAAAAAATGGAGAAAAAAAAACAAATATTTGTGTCATGGTTCGGAGCTCTCTCTACAGGATGGGGGAGCTAGATCGTACATTCGGCTGGCCGTGATTTGCGACGATGTACCTCACTTTACACATTTTGTGCTTTTCTCAATTTTGATATGGCGTGCATGACAAATAAATGTAGTAAATATAATGTATAACATAACTTGTGGAGAAATGTCCAACAAGCCCTGGGGTTGTTCAATTGAATCGAGATATTTTTTTTATGATTCGAATGGAGAAATTCGTGATATCCTCTCCCAAATTATACCTTTTCTGGGGAATACAAAATTATGCAGTTCAAAGAATATGTCAATCTTTCATTGGACTCTGGTAAATCCAATCAAAAATATGGAAAAGATATTTCCTCACTCTTAAACTGCTTAACGGGTGCAAATGAGTATGGAGTCGAACTGATTACACACCTCTCTAAGTAGGAAACGAAATGAACTGCCACCGCTTTCAAAAAAAACATTGCGCATGTGCGTAACTCAGTCAGACATCAACGTTGTTGAAATTAACAACGAGATCAAAATATGTGAAACAAATAAAATTACCTGAAATTTTTGTCAAATATGATAAGTCAACGTGAAGCAGACGAAATTGCATTTACTAATGACCTTACCGGAGGTAAATTCCAATCAAAAGTCACAAAATCCCAATTACATTTTGTTCGAATTTTCTCGGTTCTTCTGTTTATTGGATCTGTAAGAATAATGTACAATAACTGTAATATATTATTGTATTTTATGTATATTCTAATATCTCAGCATAAGACTGCTTGAACAATTAAATACACTAGTGTATTTTTTCTTCAGATATAAAGGACAAAAAATTGGCAAAAGCAAGCAAAAGTCTCAGACAGGTATTTTTTTTCTTAATTTTTTTTTCTTCTTCAGAATTTAACAAATTTATTTTAAAATGACTGTTCATCGTGCTTATCACTATCTTAAATAATGTTGATCTACCTGTATCTTCAAAACAAAATATGTGTTAATCAAACAGAGAGTGAGAGACATAACATATGTATTATACTGTTCAAACATCTACATTAAATATTAGGGGACGACCATTTGATTCTGAGGGGGGGGGGGCCCTGGCAGATTTTGGAAATAAATAATCTGTCCCTGAAAATGTTGAAAATAAATAATCTGTCCTCCACTACAGAGAAAATAAATAATCTGACCTTGACTTCTGATAATTAAATATTGTAAAAATACCTTGTTTATTTACGTGTAATTTAATCTCAAAAGTCTTCAATTCAAAAATTTTTTTGGCTCGCTTCGCTCGCCATTTTAGATCCAAATATTATTTAAAATCAGATTACCAGACTGGATACTTAAGTCAGTTTATCAACATGACAATGTGCACTTAGTAGGTGTGATAAATAACTTTAAATACAAACTAATTCTTATATACCACAAAAGATTAATTTTCTTGTCGAATAATTATACTTTCCAGATAAATTAATACAAAATATACACTGGTGGATTTAAGGGGGACGTACATGTGTACAGCCCCAGGCCCTCCCTTAAAATTTCAAAGTATGATAAGAATAATAATAATAATGCTATACTTTGGGACAATACCAATATTTTTGTGCCTAGTTTTACTCTTAAAATACACAAAAACCCAAGAGCTTCACGGGGCTTCGCCCCCTAGGCCCTTTTCCTTCAAAGTGTGATATGACTTAATAATGTCATACTTTGGTACACATCTAACCAATTCCTACAAAAGTTTTACTCTTATACATATTGAAAAACCCAAGAGCTTCAGGTTGCTTTGCTCCCTGAACTTACTTCATGCAAAAGTACGGTATGACCAGTATTAATTATGTCATACTTTGGTTCATAATAACCAATACCACTAAAATAGTGCCTGGTTTTACTCTTAAAATACACGAAACCCCAAGAGCTTCAGGGTGGGGGGGGGGGGGGGGGGGATGGGGTGTACTTCCTTGGCCTCCACCAGGGCTTCGCCCAGGATCCACTGGGACCCTTACGGCGGCCCCAGACCTCTTGCCTAAACAAAGTTACACCTGTCCCCTCCCCAAATCCTGTATCTGAATATGGTATATAAATGATTAGTCTTTTCTAGAATCAATTGATGAAGGAACGGTAAGAAATAGAAGAAAATAAATAATCTGTCCTTGATAATCTTGAAAATAAATAATCTGTCCTCGACAGGCATGAAAATAAATAATCCGTCTCAAAAAAATTTGCCAGGCCCCCCCCCCTCAGGATCAAATGGTCGTCCCCTTATCTGAAAAAAATTTAAAAAGTAAACCTATATAAATTTCTGTTCATATTTTACAGACATTAATTAAAGAGAATAAAGAATCAGATGAAGCCAGAGTTTCTGCAGCAATAGAAATCCAGAGGGTGTACAGAGGATACTCAACAAGGTGATGTATGGAAATGGAATCTAATAAACTCCAATATCTAGTATAAAATGGTTTCATCTATTTGATTTTTAGACAAAATTGATGATCCCATTTGCATTAATCATCAGTATTGTCAGAAAGACAGACCAAAAAGATGGCCTAGAGATGAAGGCCTGCATGTTTATCAAAATGAATTAAAGACTGACGAATGAAATCTCGAACACTGTCACTGAAAATATCTGACAGTTTTCAGGAAAATTTGAAGACTCAGAAGCAGGCAAATATTAGCAATATATTGGTGATCCTTGTAAATCTGATGAAATAAGTACTTACTTACAAGTCTGAGTGGTGCAAAAATTTATTTGGAAAAAAAAAACTCGTGTGAGTCATTTAATATCAAGTACATAGCGTGACAAACCCAACTTTTTTTTTTTTAGATGTAATGTATATGGCACCTTGAATCCCAAAGTGAGCAAGACAGCTGTATACAGTAAAAGTCAGGATGATGAGGCGAGGATCCGACAGGTGGCTGATGAACAGGTCAGGAAAAAAAAACAGCAGTTAAAATTAAAAATGTATGCGTACATATATAAATAAATAGATATAAATCTATACCAAGTTGAAGAGAATACAACTCATTTCTTTTATTCTAATCACATTTTAACTTGAAGGTTGTGGAGTTTAATCCACCATCAGAGCAAGATGAAATAAGAATTATTTATGAGGAATATCTCATCACCTATGATAACAAGGATCAAGACCCTTTAACGTAAGTTCATCATTTTTAGATACATCACACATATTTTTACATTCTGGTAACTTCTTTCTTTTTTTTTTAATTTTATCATATTTCAGTCAAATACATGTAACAGATGTAATGGTATGTGTCTTTCTGCAAATACATTAGAAGCACATTAACATTATGACCTATTAGAAACAGTGCTTTTTAAAAATATAGAAATTTAAGTTAAGATGTCTGACAACATGCTGACCGATTTATGATCACTATCCGTAGCTATGAGGAGTTTGCTGAGCGGTATATGGAGGCCCTGAGGGAGAGCCAACAGTCACTGGAGACCCCCGCTCTAGTCCAGCCCCCACCCCCCACTGCTGCCCAACCCACCCCCTTTGTGCCAAAAACCAGATCTCGTCTCACAGAGAGACAAGCAGCAGGGATTATACAAAGAGCCTGGAGGAGACATATAGTGAGTCGTTATATCTCATGATCAGAGTGTCCTTAAAAAACGTTTGTGTATTGCTTTAATTAAATGTGGATCTTTGTCTTATTTTTCCTGGGTATATCGCTACTTGTTTTTATGTTAACTATCTTAAAATGTATTTCTAAGGAGTTCTCATCTCACAGTTCTTATAAAAATCTTTCTTTCTTTCTTTCTTTTTTTTAATATGAGTATGCACTGGTAGTTTCTGAACCTTATACTAGCAATAGCAGTCCTGGAAAAAATTCAAAGTAATTTTAACATTGTCATTGTGTGATTGGAATCATTGGATGTTTTACTACTCAAAGTTTATTTTTTGTTTGCAGGATATACAAGTGTATAGGTATTACAGAGATCTAATTAATTTTAAGACCCGAGGAAACCCTGCCTTGATGCTGAGGTGTATTAATCCTAACGAGGCCAAACTCCTGGATGCAGCCTCAGGGGTCCATGTTAAGTTCAGACTGGCAGGAGTGAGTTGTAGTTTATTTCTCTCACAGAAATTCTCTTCACAATACTAGTACATGTAATACATTAACAAGAGATACAAAAAATAGTAATACCAGTCCATAGATAATAATTTCAAGAGATATTTAAGAAGACTGGTCATTAACTAATACTAAAGGAGAACTGTATTTAAAGGTTTAATTCATGTATACTATATAAGTACATAAGCTGACACACTCCAAAGTTAGCAATATGTTGTCTTTATTTTGTTTTTAGCATATTAATGTTTTAATGTAACCTAGAAGTTTTAATGATGTGCATGTATAATAATATTCAAGAATTAACAGACAAGAAGCAATGAGAAAGGTTGTGAAATAATTAAAATAAGTATATTTACAGTACATGTACCATTCTTCTAATATTTCAGGATAGATTTCCTCCCAACATATACTACAAGATCTTCACCCATAGGCCAGTCCAAGATATGTGTGCTAACAGTCCTAAGGATTACACCCAGCCCTCTGTTAAACTAGCAATGGCAAAAGATAAACACAGTAATATCAGAATACAAGGAGTTCAGGATGGTATGTGTTGTAAACCTTTTTAGCTCACCTGAGCTGAAGGCTCAAGTGAGCTTTTCTGATCACATTTTGTCTGTAGTCCGTCTGTCCGTCCATCTGTCTGTCTGTCTGTAAACTTTTCACATTTTCGACTTCTTCTCAAGAACCGCTGGACCAATTTCAACCAAACTTGCCACAAAGCATCCTTGGGTGAAGGGGATTCAAGTTTGTTCAAATGAAGGGCCGCGCCCTCATTCAAGGGGAGATAATTGGGAATTAATAAAAATTTGGTGGCATGTTTTGTTCAAATCATGACCCCCGGGGGTAGGGCGGGGCCACAATGGTTGACCAAAGTTTTACATAGAAATATATAGGAAAATTCTTTAAAAATCTTCTTCTCAAGAACCACTCTGCCAGGAAAGATGAAACTTACATGGAAGCATCCTCAGGTAGTGTAGATTCAAGTTTGTTCAAATCATGACCCCCGGGGGTTGGGCGGGGCCACAATGGCCGAATAAAGTTTTACATAGAAAGATATAGGAAAATTCTTTAAAAATCTTCTTCTCAAGAACCACTGTGCCAGAAAAGCTGAAACTAATATGGAAGCATCTTCAGGTAGTGTAGATTCAAGTTTGTTCAAATCATGATCCCGGGGATAGGGTGTGGCCACAATGGCCGACCAAAGTTTTACATAGAAAGATATAGGAAAATTCTTTAAAAATCTTCTTCTCAAGAATCACTGTGCCAGGAAAGCTGAAACTTATATGGAAGCATCCTAAGGTAGTGTAGATTCAAGTTTGTTCAAATCACGACCCCCGGCGGTAGGGCAGGACCACAACGGCCGACCAAAGTTTTACATAGAAATACCGGTATATAGGAGAATTCTTTAAAAATCTTCTTCTCAAAAATAACAAAGCCATAATTGACCATATTTATATGGAAGCATCCTCAGGTAGTGTAGATTCAAATTTCTTCAAATCATGACCCCGGGGATAGGGGCGGGGCCAAAATGGCCAGCCAAAGTTTTACATAGAAATATATAGGAATTTTTTTAAAAATCTTTTTCTCAAAAATTGCAGAGCCATAATTGATCATATTTATATGGAAGCATCCTCAGGTAGTGTAGATTCAAGTTTGTTCAAATCATGACCCTGGGGGTAGGGCGGGGCCATAATGGCCGACCAAAGTTTTACATAGAAATATATAGGAAAATTCTTTAAAAATCTTCTTCTCAAGAATAGTAAAGTCATAATTGATCATATTTATATGGAAGCATCCTCAGATAGTGTAGATTCAAGTTTGTTGAAATAATTACCCCCGGGGGGAAAGGGGGGGGGGCAAAATGGCCAACCAAAGTTTTACATAGAACTATATAGGAAAATTCTTTAAAAATCTTCTTCTCAAGAAAAGCAAAGCTATAATTGATCATATTTATATGGAAGCATCTTCGGGTAGTGTAGATTCAAGTTTGTTCAAATCATGACCCCCAGGGGAAGGGCGGGGCCAAATTGGCCAACCAAATTTTTTGCATAGAAATATATAGGAAAATTTTTAAAAATTTCTTCTCAAGAATAGCAAAGCCATGATTGGTCATGGGACTACTTTTGGATTTAAACTTTTCAATAATAAACCAATTTCTACTTTTTCCTAGCCACAGTGCTCAGGTGAGTGATGTGGCCCATGGGCCTCTTGTTTTGTTTATCCATGGCAATTCTTTTGAAAATACACAATTAATATCTTGAAAAGTTATAAGTTCTTGTAATTATGAAAAAGAAATCATTTATATGATGATTACAGAAAGTGTCTTTTTCGAATATTCTCTTTGTTAAATCCATTAACTCACAGTGAAGGTATTTATACAAAATGAATTTAGGGATAAAATAAATGATTGTAACTTAGCATTTGTTATTTAGTCAAGTTAGAAGATAAAAAGCTTATAAAACTGTTAGTTGTTGCAGAACTTTTATAATTTTCTTTCTGTAACAAGAAAGATACCATACATGTTAATGTAAAATTTGTTCAATCAAAATACATGTACCCTGCACAATGTTTGTTATGAATTAGGCTTTTATTATAATGCAAATTTCATTGCTGCTGATTGTTCATGTCCCTCGACATTTTCTTCTGTAGATAAGACTAACTGGTATAAAAGGATAGAGAATAATGGCTGGAGACTGGTGTCAGATCGTCTTGTTCAACACCTGACTGACCCCATCACCTGGGAAACCAGCAACAAAAAATACCAGTACTCACATGATAAGGTACAACAAATATCACATGACAATCACATGATGAGGTGCAACACATATCACATGACAGTCACATGATAAGGTACAATACATATTACATGACATGATATGGTACAACAAATATGACATGAGAGTGACATGATAAGGTGCAACACATATCACATGACAATCACATGATAAGGTGCAACACATATCACATGACAGTCACTTGATAAGGTACAACACGAATCACATGACAGTCACTTGATAAGGTACAACACGTATCACATGACAGTCACAATATGACATTGTACAACCTAAAACAGTACATGTACATGCTTAACAGACAAATTTATGAAATGATTCTTGTACTGAAAGTTTTTGACTTTATTGAATTTTCCGCTATAATAAATGCAGTATGTTTAACAACCTTTTCATTTAGAAAAGATTTTCATTGAGATAAATACTGAATACTGCTTGATGTAATTTAGGAAAAAAATATGAGTTTAATGCAATATGATATTACATGTGATACATGTATAGAAAATTAATTGCATATTTTCAGCTTCAAAGAAAGCAAGATGTTGAGAAAAGAAAAAAGAAGAGGAAGATTGAATGGATGCAGAAAATGTATGTAAAATGTCAGAGCCACTTGGTGAAATTTAACAAAACTTTCCATCACTGAGCATCAGGATGAAGGGAATTCAAGTTTATTCAAATGAAGGCTACACCCTCAATACATGTATTGAAAATATGGTCAAGGTCATTTAGAAATATTTTTCACAAGAACAAACAAACTAAAAGATATTAAAACAAAATCTTAACTAAAATCTCTGATACAGTGTAGATTCAAATTCATTTAAATCATGACCTTCAAGGGTAGGATCAGGTTTTTAAAACTTCTTTTTGAGAAAAGCAGGACCATTTTTGGTCAAATGTAAGCATTCTCAGGAAGAGCAGATTCAAATATTATCATTTCATGGCTTTTGGGGTTAAGATAGGGGCCACAATAGAAGACAAAAAAGTTCTACAATGGGGAATTTTCGAGAAAAAACTTTTTTAAAAATATTGCTTTAGGTCGGGCCACAATATAAAATCAAATTTTTATTCATATAAAAAAAAAAGAGGGAAAAGATCTTAATACCAAAAAGGGTGAAAGTGAACTCAAGTTTGTGGCTCATGGATCTATTGTTTTATTACAAGATAACCAAAAAATATATATATATTAACCTCTAGTGTACAGTTAAGTATCTTCTTTTTCTACTGATATTTAATAGATATTGGGAATAGATATTTACTGGTATTTCTTATCTGTACATTGTGTAACCCTGCTTTAGGTACCAGGAGGGGATGTTGAAGGCCAAGTCAGATGACCCCGAGACTGTGAACCTGATTGAGGGGGCAGCGGCGGGGATGGTAGCCACCGTGGAGAAGATGGGCCCCGACGCCCTGGAGGACTGGGAGGTGGACGAACTCTTAGACTGGACCACCAGTCTTAACTTTGATGAGTAAGTGATCATTATGGTGTATGTGGAGAAAAAGATTAATACTAACCCCAAAAATTGGGGGGGGGCTAATGAAAATAATTGATGACCATTAATATACAATTATTAAAATGAATTGGTGGCAACATAAATTATGCTAGCCCCTAAGAGATGAAATATTGCTCAGTGCCTAGTGGAGGGCATTATTTTTTCCTGGGGAGCTAATATAATTAATGTTGCCCCCCCCCCCCCAACCAGCAAATATTTGTTTTTAAATCAAAAGGAAATATTTTGTTTTAAATAAAATTTTTCCTTGCTGGTCAATGGTGAAAATTAAATGACCTTCAATATTTTCATCAGAGCTTATTTCAATTATGCTGATCATTTTCTATATAGGGAATATAGAGATCAGATTATTCTTTTCTATATATAACAAGAGCCATTATATTTAAAATATGCTTAATTTTATTTCAGATATCTAAATAACTGGAAAGATACAGCCACAAGTGCATATTCAGAGAAACAAGTTGGTAAGACACATTTTAAAAATTTTAATTTTATTTCATTTTTCTATTGAGATTTATGGGTTATTTCTTGAGGATCAAATGTCAAATTCTTGTACTAGGTAATTAAAAATAAAAAAGAAAAGAAATGCAAGAAATAATTCTATTTGTGGTAAAAAAAAAAAAAAAACCACGCAAGAAGATGTATTCTAACTCCCCAAAAATAAAATATTTCCTGAAAGAATTACGGTAGATTTAATTATAAGTTTATGAATTCTTTAATTTAAAATCTGCATTGTTTGATATATGTAAAACATTTTAGTCATGAAACAATCAAAGGGTAAGTAGAGACCTTATTATGGCAATGGTGAACAGTTTATTATGAGTGTAGAATTCAATGGACTGGCATGAATTTTTGGTGATGGCTTTTCATGTATAAAATTCCATATCTTGCTATTGTGTGGTGTTTAAATTTTAATTAATGATATGCTTTTTTAATCCTGATGATTAGTATAAGAAAGGCGCAGCTTAATATTGACCTTATACATGTATAATATCATATTTCCAGAATATTGATAGATTTTTTTGTCACTTGCATAACACTAAAATTTTAGTGATTTATAAAGAAAGTTCATGTTTGGGGCCCTCATCTAATTCATAATTTAGTATTTAAATCTGGAAAATTTTACGATTTTTTTTTTCGTTGCTTGTTTTTGTCTAATCCATATCTCATTGTTTTGTATTAAAGTAGTGATCAAAAGCTATAGTATTATACAGGTTATGCTATGTACTGACAGTGGCTATTATTATAGGTTGTCTATTATAATAATTTGTGTGGCAAATATACTATTACAATAAGCAAACTCCACTGTGTACTATTGATAAGAAAGAATTTGACTGCTCTTTGCATACTATATATGTGTTCAGTCTTAATTTTATTATATTTACAGATGATCGAGTACGGCTGATGACTGGTACACTGGATCCCTATGAATTCTCCATCTCGACCGGTCCCTCGCGCTATCAATCTACCCAGCATTCCAGGAATACACCAGCATCCAGTGTGTCAGGGCAACTCCAGGTCAATGGGTGAAGGTCATCTTCAAGGTGAAGTTTTATCAGAGGTCACCTTCAATTTTGATGTCACAAAAAAAAACTTTTGACATTGTATTCTAGGAATTGCAGAAGTTTTATTTTCTATTTTGTGTAAGATTCAGAATTCACTGCAGATTTTTTACCACCATGATGGGATATTTTATTCTCTTCAGAATGTCTTTTGTTTCAAACTAATGGCATTTAATTTCCATAATTATACAGTTTTGTGCCTGTTGATTTTATTTGCTCATTATTAATTTTGCCTTTTGCATAAGATCATGTGTGAAATCAGTTTTTATCTGACTGTGATATAGAAAGTAAATTTAAACTCATACTTGGTTGTTAACAGAACAATGCCTTATATTTATGTATATGCCTTACAGAAAATTGTTTTTGTTTTATTAAACATTTTACATTAACTTCTACATTTTTTTTCCATCTTTTACGATGTGAAATCTCTAATTTTCGTTGTTTGCGAGGTATGGAGATACATGTAATCACAAATTTATGACACCAAGAAATGTAAAATTGCAAATGCATTATTACTAAACATTTTCCAACCACAAAATCAAGTCCCCACATATCAATATTTTTTCCCTCAAACCTTGAAAATTTGACTCCAAGAAAATATGTGATTTTACAGTACATTTTATGTTCTTGATAGTAACATTCCCTTTACCTTTCTCAATCATGAAATCAATGTTATCTGCCTGGTTTGAACAGAATTTCTAAAAAAAAAAAAAAAAAACTTTCTCAACCGGTACTTTGGGAACTCTGATCACGGAATAAGCTTAAGGTATGATGATGTCCAAATTGTATGGACATGGAACAAGGTATGATGATGTCCAAATTGTGCACCTTGTTTGATATTAAAAAAAAATGTTTAAATTGCAATTAAGAACACAGATTTGAATATGAAATTTTGATATTAAAAAAAAATGTTTAAATTGCAATTAAGAACACATATTTGAATATGAAATTTTGCATCTATCTAAGAGACACTCCAAATAGATTCTTTCACTAGAACAGCAGGCTACTCTTCATCAAATAAGTATGTGGCAGCCTTATATTTTAGATTCAGTTTTGTTCTAATTGTGGTCAAATGACTATGGTGGGGCCAATGTTTTTGGTAAATGATTTGAATTTAGAATATCATTTAGTAAGACAAAGTTTCCAACTTTGTTCCAAATTGTATGAAGATTTACTTCTCATTCTTCTCAATGAAAATAACAATGATTATTACATTTAATTTTTTTTAATTTAAAACCTCATGAGTACAAGAGTACTTTGTTGTTTAAAAGAGTATAGAAATTGGATACAAGGTCTTACAAGACCATCAACAGTAAAGGCATAAATAATACATAAGGCACACTTATTACAAGTCATCAGAATTTACAACCAAGGAACTCCAGATTTTTCCATCACACCTAAGGCTTAAGATTTCAATAAAATTAGTTTAGTAAAGATATATTAAAACGTGAGATTCAAAAATAAGATTTGCAGTGTTTTATAAGTTATTTCTTAATTTTGTATAAAATGGTTTTTGAAAAATTAAGTAAGAAATATTGATGAACATGACAGATTTGTGACAAATGACAAAAAATGTAATACAGGTATATGAGAATGACATATGAACACATGAAAAAAATATGATACAAAGGCATTCTCAATAATTAACAAGTTAAATTAATTCTACTTAACAATCCAAGACAGTTCCTCAAAACGTCAAAGTTTAAACAGACAAAGTAACCTGAGTTGAGAAATATTCTGTGTCCCTGCCACAAATTCAGTTGCATAAATTTCATTATTTAGATTTACTGCAAATTGTATGCTATTCCACATTATTTAAATGACCTGTACATAGTTATGTCCCTTTATTTTTTGGCCTCTGACCTCAGTAAAGCTAAAATGGAGGACAATATGATAGTACTAGAACATACACTGTATAAAACAAAGAAGATACTGCTGCCATGATGCTAGCAAATATTGTCAAACATCACCATATTTACATTCGAAAAGAAAAATGTCAAAGAGGAAAAGCATGTGTTACATGTATTTGTTGAACGAAATTATGTTGCAAAAAGATTCAATTTGCTTTCATTTTCCAATTCACTATAACTGTCCTTCGGAGTTCATCAGGAAAACAAAGTTCTCTCCTGGCAATTAAATCATAAATTAGGAGGGTACTACATGTATATACAAGATGTTTTTTCTTAAATTTCCTTCAGCAGTTATGCACTATATGTCCCATTTTTCACTATATTATGTTTTTGATATTCATTTTTTGGAATATTATTGTTAAACTTTTCATCTATTATAATTTGGCCAAGTGTGTTAAACTTCCTTATATGTACATTGCTTTGTTACATTACATAAATATAAAACATGTTATTACTATATCTAGAACATTTATGATTATTCAAAACTTGAAAATGAATATATGAATAATCACAAGAAAATGGTGATGACGAACTGCACCACAGAAACCAATCTCCTCACTGTACAAATAAAATCATACAAAGTGTACTTGTCTACAATACTAACAGCTTAAATACAACAATATTTAAAAACACTCTCAACAGCAAATTATATACCCTGATATTATGCAATGGAAAAGTGACAATAAATACTAAATTCCTACAAAATATTGTGAATTTAATCTTTAGAATTTGTAACAAATTCAAAATGTAAGGAATATTTCTTCTGCTCTTATTTCATATTTAAAGTATTGTCTCTTGACTCTTAAAGAGAGCAATTTACTATGAAAAATAACTTTATTTTTACATAAATAACTTGTAGAATACTTCATTTTGTTTAAATGCAGGTACATGTAGAACATTCCTGCATTTCAATATTAAGGATATGTACAAATACAATAATATCAACATCAATCACATGTGTACTTGGAACAAAACCGGACATGTCAATATTTGTACAACCTATACTGGCATCACTTTACTAAGTTCTACACACAGTAACGAAAACCTCAGTCTATCAGTATGAGTCAGTCTAGTTCCATTTGGAAAATCGGGGCAGTAAACACAGGAGTCCTATTTATCTAGATGTGCACTTTCACCATTTTTCACTTGGGGTACATTTAGTCCACTTTGTTCTATCAGCATGCTGTCTGGATAAAGCATGGATATTTAACAGTCAGTCCTAACGTTAACAATGAGGTATATCAGGGGTCACATTCATCAAATGGATTTACATACAGATGCATTAGGTCACATGATCCATTTCTCTGGATTGAGTGAGGTCATGTGATGAGGTGTTAATAGTGCACCAATCACATATTTTGTTACATTCAATGAAGAATGTCAGGTGATATGTGTAAGTGAATGCTATTGGCAGATTATGCTGCAAGGTTAAAGGATCACTGTTGTCAGGGCTTGAATCCTGGTAGTTTAAAATAGGCATCCTGCATCATCCTCTCCATCTATAAAAGAAAAAATAATTTTAAAACTTTTAAAAACCAGAAGTATCTGTCGAGACTGTAGCTCTACTGGTTCATACTTAAAACAAAGGAAGAGAAAAGTAGCAGTTGGGACTTGAGACTTTAAATCAGCAATAAGTAGAAAAATGATCCTTGCCACTCATGAAAATAACAAGAGGCCCAGGGGCCACATCGCTCACCTGAGCAATTGGCTAGGAAAAAGCACACATCAGATCAGAACTGAAAGTTTACTGGGGGGGGGGGGGGCTTGAATTTTAACCCCCCAGGGGGTCATGATTTGAACATTGCTTGAATCCACACTATCTAAGGATGATTCCCTAAAAATATCACTAAGCATGGCTTTAAAATACTAGAAAAGAAGATTTTAGAAGGTTTCCCTGGAAATTCCTATGTAAAATTTTTATCGGCCATTTGGCCCCACCCTACCGCCGGGGGGTCATGATTTGAACAAATTTGAATCTACACTACCTGGGAATGATTCCATAGGAGTTTCATCTTTCCTGTCTCAGTGGTTCTTGAGAAGAAGATTTTTCCTATATATTCTTAATTTCCTATGTTAAATTTTGATCTGCCATTTTGGCCCCATCCTACCCCCGGGGGTCATGATTTGAACAAACTTGAATCTACACTACCTGAGGATGATTTCAAATGAGTTTCATCTTTCCTGGTCCAGTGGTTCTTGAGAAGAAGATTTTTAAAGATTTTTCCTATATATTCCTATGTAAAACTTTGATCGGCCATTTTTGCCCCACCCTACCCCTGGGGGTCATGATTTGAACAAACTTGAATCTACACTACCTGAGGATGATTTCAAATGAGTTTCATCTTTCCTGGCCCAGTGGTTCTTGAGAAGAAGATTTTTAAAGATTTTTCCTATATATTCCTATGTAAAACTTTGATCGGCCATTTTGGCCCCACCCTACCCCTGGGGGTCATGATTTGAACAAACTTGAATCTACACTACCTGAGGATGATTCCACATGAGTTTCATCTTTTCTGGCCCAATGGTTCTTGAGAAGAAGATTTTTAAAGATTTTTGCTATATATTCCTATGTAAAACTTTGATCAGCCATTTTGGCCCCACCCTACCCCTGGGGGTCATGATTTGAACAAATTTGAATTTACACTACCTGAGGATGATTCCACATGAGTTTCATCTTTTCTGGCCCAGTGGTTCTTGAGAAGATGATTTTAAAAGATTTTTCCTATATATTCCTATGTAAAACTTTGATCAGCCATTTTGGCCCCACCCTACCCCTGGGGGTCATGATTTGAACAAATTTGAATTTACACTACCTGAGGATGATTCCACATGAGTTTCATCTTTTCTGGCCCAGTGGTTCTTGAGAAGAAGATTTTTAAAGATTTTTCCTATATATTCCTATGTAAAACTTTGATCGGCCATTTTTGCCCCACCCTACCCCTGGGGGTCATGATTTGAACAAACTTGAATCTACACTACCTGAGGATGATTTCAAATGAGTTTCATCTTTCCTGGCCCAGTGGTTCTTGAGAAGAAGATTTTTAAAGATTTTTCCTATATATTCCTATGTAAAACTTTGATCGGCCATTTTGGCCCCACCCTACCCCTGGGGGTCATGATTTGAACAAACTTGAATCTACACTACCTGAGGATGATTCCACACGAGTTTCATCTTTTCTGGCCCAGTGGTTCTTGAGAAGAAGATTTTTAAAGATTTTTCCTATATATTCCTATGTAAAACTTTGATCGGCCATTTTGGCCCCACCCTACCCCTGGGGGTCATGATTTGAACAAACTTGAATCTACACTACCTGAGGATGATTCCACATGAGTTTCATCTTTTCTGGCCCAGTGGTTCTTGAGAAGAAGATTTTTTAAAAATGCCATTATTTTTTCTCTAATTCATTATTATCTCCCCTTGGAAAAGGGCGTGGCCCTTCATTTGTACAAACTTGAATCCCCTTTAGCCAAGGATACTTTGTAGCAAGTTTGGTTGAAATTGGCCCAGTGGTTCTTGAGAAGAAGATGAAAATGTGAAAAGTTTACGACAACGACGCCAACGACGACGACGACAACGACAACGCCAACGAAGACAACGACAGACAACGGACAAATTTTGATCAGAAAAGCTCACTTGAGCCTTTGGCTCAGGTGAGCTAAAAACCGATGCACAGAATTATGTATCTTAGTATAGTCTACTTGTGTGCCAAGTTATATTGAAATTGAACCAAAACTGTAGGAGGAGTAACATTTTGAAAGAATTTCACAGAAATTTGTATTCTTAGTAACCATGACAACACCGTTCATTGAAATCAAAAACCGATGCACAGAAGTATGTATCTTAGTGTAGTCTACTTGTGTGACAAGTTATATTAAAATCAGACCAAAACTGTAGGAGGAGTAGCATTTTGAAACAATTTCACAGAAATTTCTATATTTAGCAACCACGGCAACACTGTTCATCAAAATCAAATACCGATGCACAGAATTATGTATCTTAGTGTAGTCTACTTGTGTGCCAAGTTATATTGAAATCGAACCAAAACTGTAGAAGTAGCATTTTGAAACAATTTCACAGAAATTTCTATTTTTAGTAACCACGGCAACACCGTTCATCGAAATCAAAAACCGATGCACAGAATTATGTATCTTAGTGTAGTCTACTTGTGTGCCAAGTTATATTGAAATCGAACCAAAACTGTAGGAGAAGTAGCATTTTGAAAGAATTTCACAAAAATTTATATTTTTAGTAACCATGGCAACACCGTTCATCAAAATCAAAAATCGATGCACAGAATTATGTATCTTAGTGTAGTCTACTTGTGTGCCAAGTTATACTGAAATCAAACCAAAACTGTAGGAGGAGTAGCATTTTGAAAAATTGTTTACAGACAGACAGACAGAAGGACAGCTAGACAGACGGACGGACGATGGACACATTACTATCGCATAAGCTCTTCTGGTCTCTGACCAGTAGAGCTAAAAATTAATTATAAAAATGAGGAGCACCCCCCTCAAGAAAGCTAGCAAGTGACATCAACCCTAAAATAATTACATGTAAATACTGGTACCCGGTAATACTTTTGTTATGCACAAACTTACTCATTTAAGACATATTCACAAGCTCATTTACTATATCCCCTCAACTTCATTGCAAGGGGATTATTATTAATAAAATCTCAGAGCTGTCTGCATTCAACGACTTCATATTTACTCACTTTTAAACTTCATGTGAAAATAAATGAGTACATCATTATTTGGCCCCAATTCATATAATATCCTTTTTTATTACTCTTTCTTTCAAAAACTTTTCACTGTATAAAGGAACATCCTTCTTACATCAGTATCTGGACATTTTGGCAGTACACACATCCTCTTGGCCCTCCGCGCGGGACAGATCTGACCGCCCCTCTTTGGCCTTTTGATGATTGCTCGTCGCCTTTTCTGGACGGCGTTATCACCACAAGTCTGTGAACAGGGTGTCCAGGGACCCCAATCTCCCATCTGACAGTCAATGGCTGCGTAAAATAAAGGTTTTCATGTTTTAATCAACATAGGACAACATAGACTTTAATCAAGAAGAAAAAATAATTGCCTTCCAAATATTTGCAAGTACACATTTTCCAAATATATTTGTGAATTCAATACATTTTTGGGAGTTAATTAAAGTCTTATATAGTTAATACTGTAATTTAGAAACATATAATGATCAGCAGCAAATATTTTTTTGCACGTAGGAGTTTGACGCACTTCAAAACATAAAGATACCAGAAAAACATGAAACAAATACTGATACTTACGACATTTTGATAATCGACACTTCCTGGTTTTGACCAGCTTCCTGGGACACCTTCGTCCTCCGTTCTCAGCCGGTACTTTAATTGTCCTAGTTTTTGTCATAGTGCCCCTCCCACAAGTCACACTACACTGACTCCAGTCTGACCAGGCAGACACCATACAGTCTATAGCAGGCCCCAGACTAGGGTCGTGGGGCTGTACAGGAGGGCGGGGCTTTAGGGATTTCCCCTTCCCCTTCTTCCTCCCCCTCTTCCTTTTCTTATTTTTCCCCTTCCTGTTTTTCCTCTTCTTGGTTCGCTTTCCCTTCCCTTTCTTGGGTTTCTTGCTCTTGCTAACATTCACTCTCTTGATTGTGGTCACTTTGATGTCTCCCTCCATAGGAGTTAGGACTTCATTTCTGGAGTTGATCATGGCTGCAAAACATAATTTTTGTGAATTTTTTTTTTTTCAATGCTGTGACTTAATATTCTTTAATCTTATAAACTTGTGTGAGAACTCGCGAATATTTCTTTTATATAGTTAAACAAAAGATGCACTAAAAGAATTTCATGACATACTATAAAATGCAATATTTCTCTATAAATTTCCAATCTGTAAACGCATTTATTTTACAGCAGTAAATTCACATAAATGTGTTTATGTATGAATCTTCAATAAACAATTCAAAATGTACAGTTTATAAGATTTTTGCTACATTATATACGACAGATACATTATTTTAGCTATAAGGACTACAAGATTTTAGCTAGCAAAAGCTTGCAATAAGCAAATAGCTGCTGATAAAATATTTACGTTTACAGTTGCAACATTTTTTTTCACAACAAATTTCAAACATTGTGTCTTTGTGTATTTTAACTGTTAATGATGTAAATAAGAAATTGTACCCATGTGCTCTGTACAATACTTGTTGCAATCAGCCTCAATCTCAAATTTGTTATCGTTACCACGGCAACCACCATAGGAGAAAACCATGCAAGTTTTGTGAGTGGTGTTATAGTACCAGCGAGGGAAATTCCCCCTACAGGGCCCAATGCTGGGCGCCATTTGACAGATAGCTGCAAGAAAAAATCACCATCAACCTACTCATGCTAAACAAAGTTTGAGTCTCATACAGTTACTGATTACTGAATTTAGTATTATTATTGTTTTGTTGGTATTAAAATACACAAAAATTACAATTAAATATTAACAATTTTTGTTATTAATTATAAAATATCTTGCACCAACTTTGACATGCAATTATTTTTTTTTATTTAATGATGGAATCTGACATCCAAAACTAATTTCAAAGAATAACTTATCCCCTTTTCAATTCACCCCAAAAGTTCTACATCATTCCAGAAACTATTTTCAAACTACTTTTTTCAAACCAAAAAAAAAAATTAAAAAATTGTTTTTTTAGGAACTAATCTCAAGGAGGAATGTATCTCTAAAAACTTAATAGAAGACTGAATTAAAGCTTTTCTAACAGGGTGCAGAGGATGCTGTATTTAACAGTCTAGGACTGGGCCATTCTTGTGCAGCAGTGAAGTTATAACAGCAATTCAATATTTTAAAACCACTACTTGGTGCAGAAAATTTTTTGCCTCTTTAAAATGCAGCAACAACAAAATCTGTTATGAATTTTAAGACAAATTAGTTGAACAGACAACAAGGGGGTCCAAATTCCACTGCAGGGGGTACAGTGCATCTTAAAATACCTGTGTAGTCTTTATTTTGGTGGGCCAGGTGACAGTCCACCTGGGCCCTACACAAATCTTTCTCCATCAGATGTATATCACACTTGCTGGTCGTATTACTCTTCTTTAAGAAATTCCTCCACCTCTCACGAATCCCCATCCCACAGGTCTGACTGCACGGAGACCAGTCACTCCACTCAGTGATAGCACAAATATCACTGGGGTCACGCACAGTGGTGTCAATTTTGACTATGAAATCATCAGGAAGCTGCTTGACTTTGCTCCCTGACCCTAAGTCTAAACACTCTCCTTGACAGGACCTTGACTCCTCAAGGTCAATGCCACACACTTCTGGCTGAATCTGAGGATTTTTCAACAAACGTCTCCTTTCTTGTTTTCCGTTACCACAGGAGTTACTGCAAACGGACCATTCCGTCCATTGCGTTGTTGCGCATTTCTCCTTTTCTGAAATTAAGGTAGTTAGGGTTAGCCAGTCTAAATAATGAGAACCGCGATCAGCCCCATGCAAAATCTAAAATAAAATCATCATTATCATTCAATTCGTTAGTAAGTCAGAGTTAGGACATTAACGAAGACACTGTACTGTGAACAAAAAATCCCACCTATGGCAGAGAAACGAAAAATGTGAAGCAAAATAATGTTCACAGACTACTTTTTTATTGGTGTCCATTTTAAACAAAAAAAATTCTTACTCATGTGTAACTCTGACAACTGCTAAAGCATATATGGCATGCGTCATGCAACAAAAAAAGTAACTGATCCTGATGGAAGCATATTTCTCTCTACATGGCGTGTAGATTTGTCAAGACGCGCAAAATAATAACGTACACAGACACAAAACATAAATAAACACCGCCCTATATTGTGTGAAAAAAAAACATCACAACAGTGAAACACAGATTACTTACTGCTCTGTAGGTATTTATCAGCTGTTAAATGAAAAGGACAGCAATGGAAGAAGCGGGTCAGTGAAAGCATGAAGCAGAGTACAGCATAAGAGAAGTATAGAACAGCATGAAGAAGTAGAGAGACCAATCACTATAGACTTTATTCACTACTTCAGACAGACAACCTAAATTAAGTCCATTTTCTATCAAATTTACCACTAAACCTTTCATGCTTGCTTGAAATTTTTTTTTTCTAGATTTTTTAAAATGCAATGAACAGCCTCCCAATGTGAATTGAATCAAAAGCCAAAATGATTACCTTAAAATTTTCTGGACATTTAATTGCAAGAGAATGGACTAATTCCTATAGAGCTCACACAAACTACTCAACACTCAGAGAAAGATCAACTCTATACACAGAATCTCACGGCACACTCAACATTCGGTGAAAGATTAGAATCTACTTGGAATCTCACTGCACGTGTCACACACAGGAGCACATTATAGTCCAGATTCCTCCCAAATGTCGATCAGACTTACCTATCTTCTTTTTCATCATCATCTTCTTTTTCATCAGTTTTATCAGCTCCGAAGTACTCATCGTTTTCTCATCAGAGTCTTTCTTTCCCCCATCCCCGGTGCAGATGTCCTTGGTTTTTGTCAGGACCAGTCGAGCCATGGGTTTGATTGGGTGGTTGGAGAAGAAGGGTGAGCCGGCGTGGTTTGGTTTTCTGTTTGTGATACGCGTGATTTTTTCTTGAGGATCTGTTTCTATGTTGCTATCCTAAAAGTATTAATAATTCATCAAGAGTTATCTTTCTTGGAATGGATGCAATTTAAAGATAATCGTAAAAAAAAAAATCCCTATTACGCTAATAAATTTGATGACTTGATGTGAACCATAAAATCTCATTTTATTTATGCATATTTTTTATAAAAACAAAAGAAATCTATCAATTGAGAATTGGCTATGACTATACAGCTGTTTTATGTTTCACACTAAGCTACTTAGTCAATTTATGTTTTACACAAGATCTCAGTCTTACAAAGTAACTGATTCCACTGTCTGTCCCTGCATCCCAGGGGTAGAGGTCAAAGGTCATGGAGTCCGCCCAAGTGCAGTTCTGCAGGCAGAGATCAACCTTGCTCACACCTATAAATACACAAAATTGTTTATTACCAACATCACACACATCCAAAAAGAACAGGATATACTGGGTACTGTACACCAACTTTTATTTGCTTGCGAAAAATATTCCATGACCTACTTTTATTCATGAATATTAATCACCGTGAACAAATCATTTTGCTAAATGTATTTGTAGAGAATACAATGTATTTCCTAAGTCACAAAAATTAATCATTGCGGATTGATTTCAAACTGACGAATCGCGAGTTAAAGATGACACAAATAATAGTTGGTTTACAGTATTTGAAATTCCAATTTTCAAACTCTGATCTTGAATCTATCTTTTTTTGATAACTTACCCACACACCAGTCAGGGCTGGGTCCTATCATGGTCAGTAGGGAGAACAGGTGCTTGCTGGTGTCCACCTGGAACTTAGCGGTCATCGACCCTATCAGGTTGTCCTCACCCCACAAAGGAGTGGTCTTTAGGACTGTCTTTATGTTCTTGCTCTGAAAATCATAAAGCACTGCATTGTAATATTTTAGTTTTTCTTGACTAAGGAAACAGCTAGGCAACTAGCATTGGAAATTTTTGCAACACTAGAAAATGTGATATACATGTACATATATAGGTATGTGAATAAATATGTCACAAGAAGAATATATCAGTCATGTTGTGTCCATATTCCTCTAGTATCTTTTTTGCAAAGGTGGTCAAGCTTTGCAAGTATTTAAACACCTTTATTAACTAGAATTTTCTTTTTCTGATCTAATCTTAACACCTTAAAGATTTCTCTATATCACTTATTTTGGGCAAACCTGGAACTACAAGCATTAATATATAATTATCTATGTACATGTACCAAGGTATGATAAATCGAAGATTGTAAATAGTAAACTTATTCAAATATATAAATATTAGGTTGACAAGGTAATTGATCGAAAATGTGTACCATAATTCAATGCTTACATAGCTCTACTTAAAGTGCATCTGCAGCACTTTAAAGTTTCTGAAATTGAGATCATTCAATTCATGCATGAATTTGAATTATGTGACTGCGTATCCTTGATCCATGGTCTAAAGGTCATGGGGTCCCCAGCTAATTTGTCACAAGTTACCACACCCAACTGAATACACCTATTTCATACCTGTCAATTTTTAAAAATCCTCTGAAATTCTAGAAGAATGCATTGTTGCAACCAACTGTGTCATTTACAACTTTGAAAAGACATAAATGATGATCGAATTTACACAAAAATTGACACAACCTCAATAGATAGTTTTAAATGTTGGGGAGCTGTAATAGAATGTTTTATGAAAAATAATCAAATAAATATGATGGACTAGCAATAAACATCAGCACTAACTCTGATAAATGTACCATACATTGGATCAGCATTGAATTCCAGGCACACACCACAACAGCTAGATTAATGACCATAGAGAATTTATATAGCATTAATGTATTACTTCATTCATCAGCTCAAAGCACTCCAACAAAGCTGTAACAAAAATATTATAAAGGTTGAAACAAGGTATGGGGTTCTTTACAGAGGATATAACTAGTTATATACATCTAACACCAGGTCACATGTGATCTGATCCCCACCCCCACCTCTCCTTGAAGTCCCCCCCCCCTCCGCAAAACATGATGGAATATCAGATTTAAAGATATGCATTTGGGATTGTACTTATCAAACAGATCAGTTCTGATAGTTGCACTTAACCATGAATCATATACAAGCCAAATTTAAATAAATCTTAATTAACAGATGCACATTCTCACCCTCTTGCAGTAATTATCACTAAGTTGCACAACATGGCAGTTTTATTGCATTTCTATCAATGGCAGCATGTGTAAAGAGAGTTTATGAAGACAGAAGAGCTGGTTAAATCAAGCAGAATTTAACACACATAACCATCTGCTTGAATTATATTCAAGAAAAATTATCACATGAATAATCCTTGCTGTCAAGAGCTTCAGTGACACTGACTAATAATTACACTTTTCAAGGCAGTTTTCATTCATTTTCTCCAAATAACTCTACATTTATAGAGCTTACTTCGAAATTCTCAATAAAAATATCTTTCCAAGTTCTAATTATACATTTTTTTTCATTTATGGCTCTTCAGAACATATCTAGACAGTTATGAGCTCCAGAAATGAAGGATATGCAAGAAATATCACTAAAAAAGAATTAAGCTAGCATTCTTGACTATGGTTTTAAATAACCTTGAAAATGAAGAAGTAAAAAATGGCACCCAGACAGAATTATCAATGTACATCTTAATGCCTATATTTCAGGCTTGCTTCACTTCAGTTCTATAAAACTTTAACAGTATAAAACTTTGAATGACTTAATCTCTCTATTACAAAAACTTAAAAGAACTTTATGAATAATTCATTTTCTCCTCTTTAACGAGAGTCTTTGAATGTTCTCATTAATGTCGGGCTGATTAATGTGTAGAGCAATATTCATATTCATTAACAAATTAATTTCTTGTTTACAGTCAAAATAAAATTCATGCTTGACTTATGCATACTTATGTAGTAAATACTCAAGATTCAGGGGAAAATAGTTTTGCCTGCATGTTCATTCATATTCATCTGATTATCTGTTTGTTTGCCTGCAAAAACTTTAACCTTGTTCATTATTTTTTTTAAAAGACAGAGCTATGGCTTTCATATTTCACAGGTATATTTCTTGTGACACGACTTTTCTCTGGGTAGCAACATATTTAACCTCTTGGCCTTGACCTTACAGTTTGGTCAAGGTGTTTTCCTTGTGACAAGACTTAGTGCTACCCTTGGGTACCAAAAGTTTTTACCCTTTAGCCTTGACCTTAGATTTGACCTACTTTGGGAGAAAAATGTATTAACCTTGGCCATAACTTTTGAAAAGTTTGTGTTAATTAAGGGCTGTCATAGTTTCATTTTCATGTAGGTTTCTTGTCACTTGGGTAACTACTGTATACAGGGAAATTTTCGCCCCCGTTTTATTTTCGCCCCTTTCGCGCTAACCTTATTTGGACGAATTTAAAATGGGGTGAATTCAAACAATTTAGTGTACTTTCTTAAACAAAAATATGACTGGGTGAATTTAAAATGGGGCAAAATTTGTTTGCAAGTGTGTAAGGCCAAAAATAAGACGGGAGAAAATAACCCTGTATACAGTACTTTTTTTATCGCCTGGCCTTGACAGTAGTTTTGTAGTATTAAAGCAGAAAGGTCAGTAAGGAGCAAAAAAGATAAAAGGTCGCTGATAGAAGTATTTCTTTTTTAGCCAAATGGCTATATGCTACTTTATAATTCTTTAGACAAAATTACATTTTTTTTCTATCAAAACCACAAGGATATATTTTTGCAATAGCAACTTCCAGAAAACAAGCTTGTATGGAAAAATACCTCTGCAAATAAGAATACATCATTATAAACTTAAAAAATCTCTCATACAAACATACATAATTATATGGTAGTAAGAGTCCAAACCCATTGAGTTTTTCTTCTGCCAATTATAAAAAACCCTAGATTTACTTTGAAGAGCTTCATTACATGAGCATGCTTTGCTGGGCCTCAATACAGTAATATCTTCAGTTTCATGCTCGAGTGAGAACCCAACACATTTTTCATAACTCGAGCTACAGCTCCTTTCATGTTTTTTTTATCACATAAAGGTAGTATAAAAGCAATTATTTGATAACAAAATAGTCTAGATCATTTAATTTCCTTTATTTTTTGCAACATGAATCTAATTGGTATATAGTACTACAATGTATCATTCTATGGAAAAAAAAATATAGTCTAGACGTAAGAAATTTGTGGGGGATAACTATTTTAAGTGATAAATCATGATAATTTATTGGCATGTTAAAAAATATTAGATTTATAGAATTTATCATGCACTTAATTAAGAGTTTTTTTGTACTTCTACTTAATTTGGATGTTATATCTTTCTTCTTCATGCAGAAAAAATGTGGTTGAAAATAAATTTCAAAGAATCTATTTTTGTGACATCAACAAATGATGTTTTCATCAGAAAAGTACAATTTTATTGCTAAACCTTAACAATTCTACAAATTCTATTCCCATTTTATTTCATGTTTGAACTTAATTACAAATGTTCAACATCAAACATTCTTCTCTTTAAATAAGAAAGACGTCAGGAAAAATGCAGAAAACACGGTTATCATGAAAAAAATTAATGTCTCAATAAAAATGGACCACAGCTAATTCAGGACAAAGTAAAATTCCTTCTTTTCAATGGTTCAAGAATAAATTATTGTACATATTAATTTATATATGTATTTTGAGGTACATGTATTATTAACAACTGGGTCACAGTACTGCTCATGCCCTAAAAATTTTTTTTTAAGGAGGGGGGGGGATTTTGGTTCTAAAATGTTGAATTTGCACTTAAAAGATTTGGTAGAAATATCCCTGCTCTTGAATCTTAGTGCAGGTCACAAGAGTCTTTGCCCTTTGATCGTCTTTGTGTTCCCATCAAAATCCAAAATGTTACCACAACCAATGAGACTGAAACTGCTCTATGGTATGAACTCCATTGTACAAAGTCTTTGTGACTTGCTGATCTTTTTGCTCCAGAGTATTTTTTTTTATACCACAGCTATTGAGATTCAATTCAAATAATGTGGTTATCTAACCCATACAAAATGCAAATTTTCATAAATGAAGCATCCAAAAAAGATTTCAAACGCAAATGAAAATGACCAAATCATGACCTCATATTTCAGGTGACAAAGTCGGAGAAAGAAACAGGAGTGGTATATGGAGAATAAATTGAATGAAATTAGTTCTGAGACCTCATTTTGACCTCTGCCATAGTTTTCTGGGATTACGAAAGGTGGTCTAGGATTAAGGTCTGACAATGTTAACACAACTGTCTCCATTATAAAGCACCGTATCGTGATGGCAGTGCAATTTCTCTCTTTCTGAAATATCATGATAGATGAACAGGGTATGAATAGAGAAAACCTCCTTTCATATCTCTTAAAAGGACTTGGCTTTTAAAAATTTTCTTTCATAAACCAACAAAAATTGTTGCAATTTTTAAAATTTGTTTTTGATCGTTTGTTTGAAATTCGATGAATCCCAGATATGTTTTGATTGTTCGCCCCTAAGTCTACCTGATTTTAAATGTATACAACTTAAATAACATTTTTGCCAATTAAAGATCGTCACAACAATTGCTCAATTTGTCGCCAAACAAATATGCATCGTCATGCTTTCAGAAGTTCATAAAGTCATTTCAATAATACACTTCTAACACAGGGGGCGAGATAATTGCATATTTATTTCATATTTCTACCTCACTGTACATAAATAAACATCTTGATTTCCTACCAAAGAAATGTTTTCGGGCTTTTTATGGGGTGTGAGGGGAGTAAATTGCGGACTGAAATAACTGTACATTGATTGACACACAGTCAGACTGGTGCCGTAACATACATTAATCCCATCTATAGAGGTATACCCCCTTTACGTGCAATAACTTATAAAATTAAAAAAAAAAAATACCCCCATCTCAAGGATAATTTCATATCTGATTACTGAAGCAAGTAACTGTTTTGAAGCTCTCTCCATGGAGTTTGGGGTATTACCATCAGGGAAGAATTTTTATTGGCCAATTATATTCTTTTTGACTCAGTAATACTTAAACGCTAAAAAGAAATGTTCACAGGATGTGCACTGTATGTGAGATTGCAACCAAAAGGTTGATACACCCACAACTGTAGATGACTCTACAGTCATCCCTGGTGAAAAAACAAACAAACATTACTCACAATTTGTTTTAAAAAAGTATATCTAACGCTTCCTTCAAATACCGTACATTTTTAATAACTCATTTTGGAATCCCAAAACACCTACAAATATCCGTGCTCTTTACTTCATTTAATGCTGATTTCTGATATACGCTCTAATGTCCCTTTTCATCCTTTAAGAAAATGTTGTTTTCCTGTGTTTTATGTTTTGTGATAATGTTTGGCCAAAAGGCTTTCAAAAGATTTAACCACTCAAAAAAAATTGAATTTAAAAATCAACATGCTGTTGCTATTTATAAATAATTAAAACAAATGTACTTTTAAACCCTAAGCTGATTTCAATTCTTTTTACCTTTGGAAATCAAGATAACATATTTGAAAATCTTTGAATTTTAATTGAAAAATACTTACATTTTTCTAAATAGTATTTGAAAATCCTTGAATTTTAATTGAAAAAAATACTTACATTTTTCTTAAATAGTATCTGAAAATCCTTAAATTTTAATTGAAAAATACTTACATTTCTCTTGAATTCTGTCTCCAGATTGTTGGAGAAGCCGTATTCGCAGACTTCCTTGACCCCCCGTGACGCATACGTCCCATAATCCCACACTGTGTAGTCCTTGGTGTGTGAGGCCCCAACAATGCTGGACCAGTGGAGCTGAACTTTTTGCACTAAAAATTAAAATTTCATTTTTAAAATTTGTATTTTCCAACATGAGCAAAATGATTTTATATTCAGTCAAAAACATTTCATTCTTGGTAAATAGGCATCTAATTCTTTAAATTACTTGTAAGACTTAATTTGCAAAGTGCTTTAATAATTTTTTCTTCATTTTCATCTTCCATTCTTTATTTTCTCTTGTATGTGCAGTTTTGTATGGCTATCCAAAAGTACACTTCTCCTGTTCAGTAAGCTGGTACATTGAATTTCATAAGATCAAAGTCTCATTAAAATTCATGTCAACTAAAGAAAGAATCAATTTCAGAATTTTTCCCATGAAGAAAAAAAAATTTACACAGTAAGAGAAAAATCCAGAGAAATTCTTAAAAACAGCTGATCTTTATGTTTGTGAGTAAATGCCTATCTATCAATAACCTATTTAGTATATTTATGTGTCAGGCACCGATTTTTACAATGCGGAACAAGATAAGATGTGGATCCATCTCATAAAAATTCGACGAGTTGTAAAGAACGTGTTTCTTGTCCCTCTGATCTGATCCCCAGAATGAAAGAATCTCGATAACCTTTTGAAATCTAATTCAATAAGTGATAACCTAATAAAAAATACCCATCATTCCTAGGTAATATGCATGTAATCGTTATTGATAATAAACATTTCTATGGTGGCAAATTTTACTTCTAGCCTTCCAGTAGAAATTGTGTGATAAAATAACAAAAAGTATATAAAGTAATAATTAATGTATAGCCACCTGTTTAGATATTATGAATTGATAAACACACTTTTGTAAATGTAAGAGTATCTATAGTGTAAAGTAATAACTGTTGACTCTCAAAAATATAAAAATCTCTTTTTGATATAACTTAAACATTAAAAAAATACTCAATAAAAAATTATCAGAAAAAAAATCAGATCCATCAACTTTGCTCTGATAAATATTAAATAACTTGGTTGTTAGCTTGACTACGGTGTAAAAACTAATATCAGACTCTGATTGGTAAAAACGTTTGTTGTTGGGTAACATCTCATTTCACTCACGGATGAATTCGGACAAACATATCTCTTAACGTCAGATACGATCTTTCAATAAATTTCTCAATGGGCACAATGGGGAAATATTACTTATATCACTTAAAGATATTTTATCTATAAGGAGATTAACCCCTTTGAATAGGCAAAACACAAATAGGATAACAAACCGGGGACCTCTAAGCAAACTCAGTTGGCAAGCCTCTCTCTGGAATCAATATAAAGGGACCCCTCGTCCCCCCTGAAGTGCATTAAATTCTTATCACCTTGTCAAAAGCTATGACAAATGACTCCCCCCATAACATTTTTCTTTATCCTTGGAAGTCAGAAAACAAAAATTTGTCAGCTGTCACTGTGTCTGTTCATTTTGCTGGGGTGCTCCATTTGTTTGAGCAAAGACCCCACTCCCACATTGGACTTGTGGGGCATAAGGCAGTTTACTATAGGTTTAGATTTTAAAGTGACTTCATGTGGAGAAATCATTAACTCTTCTACTCCAAGCAAAACATTCGGTGCAAGAAACAGAAAGGAACCATTTAACACTTAAATTTCTAATGTCATTTCTAGATCACGAAAAAACACAGTGACCTAAAACTTTCTGAAATACAACCTGAATTGCTAAAAAATATTTTCTTTCATTAAAAAAAAATGCATTTAAATTGATAAGACTATTTGTGGGTTAAATTAATCTTGTCTTAAATATAAACATTAGGCTCTAGGTCATAAGGATAAGATGATAAATAAATTCATTTCAAATTTTCCGAGAAACACCCCGGAATTCTAGTGCAATAAATTCATCATTCGCTTTTCTCAGACAAAAATATTCTCGGTTTTAAGCAGATTTTGAGGCTAATTCTTTTTTTTCTAGCAAAAATTATCATATTTACATACATTTCAACATTGAATTCGAGTGGACCAATTATTAACCAACAAAAGTTGATGCATTGCAGAAAGGCATTAAGTACGCAGAAAAAGAATGAGATTTTGTTTATAGCATCAATGGTAATGAGATGGATATTTGTGCATTAGGAATGCTAACGATTTAAGACACCTGTACAGCAATATATGTTGAATGTTTTTGTTTATGACATGCTCGTAATTGCTTTGTAGTGATGTTACTAACTTTGCTCATCATTGCTAAATGTCGACCACTCAGTGCCAATTTAGGCAGTTGTCATGTAGCTGATTTACACTCGGAAAATTAATGATAAAGTTTCAGTTTGTCTACATTTGTTACCAAGTTTAAACAGAACAAAGACAAAAAATTCTCTTTCTTGTATTGCTTTTAAAAACGCTCGACAGAATACAAGCTACTAGTTGATTTATTCTTGTATGTACCCATGCAGTTGAAAATGTCAGAAAAATGTGGTTTTCTAGGACCAAGCCCCTTATTTATGATTGAAAATTAATTTCATGAATGGGCTCTCTGATGGCAAAAGTAAATATCTTTATATTAATACATATTTGATACAAATTTCATCTTTAAAAATCTGGCCCACATCTTGACCTACTTTTTACTACAGTACATGTATATGCTTGGGCTCATACAATCTGAATCATCAAATAGCCCTTAAATATACATGGGGATCACAGTTCACTTAATGAAGTTCTTTTTAATTTCAACCTTTTAATTAACCACTCAGCACCTGTACTTACATTCATCGATGGGGAATCCCTTTGGGTGGGTCTGGCGAGACCACAGACCCTGGAAATGCATCTTATAGCGGGCCTCCCCACAGGCACAGCACTGACTGTCCGCCTCCACCTGGGTCCCTCCCTGAGCCGTGGCGTCCCCCAGTGGCGCCTGGATCGGGACTGAAACGACAAGGAATCACAGAAATGTAATGTATCATATAAATCAAACATTAATCATACTCATATAACTGTGACAATATGATTTTTGATACTTTTAAATGTGTACTGTGCATTGTAATACTGTAATTAATGCAAACTGTATCTCTATACTATTTTTGCCCTAACAGACCATTTTAAGATAGTTTCTCTACAGCCAAAAGTTCTGGCACATGGGCTGTGGGAGTGAACAAAACCATTACATAATACCCAAAGAAAGGTCCATTCAGCATTCATATTACTAAATTAATGCTTGGTGCAAATGCAACCTTCTTTGTGACCTAGTAGGCCATCCCAAATAGATGTTGACAGAAAGATATCATAAATCTGTGAAGTAATAAGGTTTTTGTTTATGAAAATTATTCGTCGTCAGTTGAAAGAAAGACTTCTAATACAACAAAGACTAATTGTCCATTTAAAATTTATCAGCAAGAATAAATCTTTTGAATGACCTGCATCTAATATATATGACACCCAATTACCAGGTCATGGAGTAAATAAACGGGGATCATTATGAACTCGTCTTTCTTTCTAAACATCATGACTTTATAAAGTGTAATTAAAAACGGACCAATAATTCATACGTAACTGCGACTCGAAAAATCTACAGTCAAGGCGATTTTCTACAGACGTAATTACAGGTTTTCGTGACACAGTAGCGGTTTAGGAACTGTTTCTTGATGCTATGTAGACTTGCCGTCTTTTGGATTTGACCTTAGGACTACTATTCTGGGATAGATAATGTCTATTAGGGTGGGGAAAGAATTCCGAGCTCCCATTTCTCATTAATAGCTAGAGTTCAATGTTGTTTTTCCTTGCAATATTTCTGTTAATATTGAGAAAACCTTACACATCTTTAAAAATTCATTTCTTCTAATTTATAAACTTCCGATTATTCTTTAAATTATATCAGTTGCCCAAATCATTGCATTCCATACATTCACCTATGAAACTGTCAATAAAAGTATAGATGAAGTCATTTAAATATTTTTATAAATAGATAAAATTTAATGTTACCTTATAAAATAGATGATGTAACAACAAAAAAACATTTTATAGATATTAACTTTATAGAAGAAGTGGAAGTGTGTGTACTTTGAACTTTAATTGCATTTTAAAGTCGTGTCTGGGGTAGATGCAATTTCATGATGATATGCGACTATTTGTAAATATTTACTGATGTGAAAACTTGCCTGAAATTGTAAGCATAAAAATAAAATGCAATGTGTCAATGAACATTTCTGACATGGTAAAAAACAAGTAATATAACCATGTCTCAGTTTTCAAACTGTTAAAAAGTAAAAACATAAAACACCAGTTATGACACATAAAAAATTTAAGTATTTAAGATAGCAAATACATTCAATATTTAAAGACAGAATTCATCAATTAGAAAATAAAACATATCTTTGGCCTTTTTTTTTTTTTTTGGTTTAACTGCATACACATTTTCATGATTGATGGCTCTATCAAAATTTTGCAAAATTAATTTCTAAAATTTCCGGCATTTGAATCCTACATTTAATGAAGCTCTGATTAAAAATCTACAATTACCAAGCAACTGCTAATTACTTAAACATTTCTGCTGGTTCCTTCATAAACAGTATTTGTTTTTTTGGTATTTTCAGCAAATACAGGGCGAAAATTAAACAGAATCTAAATAGTGACATATATATCAGCTTCCAGTTGTAATTTCTCACAATGCAATCGCCAGCATCCATGATTTACTCTGACTCACTTCAACTCTTGTAAGATAAAAACTACGACTCGTTCACTAGAAATCTTGAAAATGGCTTAATTCTTAGTCTCATTTGTCAGTTTTATGGGTGTTTTTTCCTAGTGAGTATTTCCAGTACATTAGCATCTGTTGTAATGAAAGACGTCAATGTCTTTTTTAACCAAATTATGTTAACGTGGGGCCGAATATATAGGCAAAAAATCTTGACATTAATAACAAATCAAATATTTTAAAGTTTTCAACAAACTTTTCCCTTGTTTTCTTTATAGATCATTAACTTCAGTCTATAAATGAACAACAGTTTTATTTTTAAGGATAATCATGCCAATGCCATACTGAAAACTATTGGTAGCAAATTGGAATTTCTAATATTCAAGAGAATTTAAGTGTTCCATGGCAAAACTTTACATCAGAAACTACTTTTAAAAAAACAGGTGTTTAATTCTATAGAATCTTTACAGCTCTTGACTTTGATGTTACAGTTCACGGGATCACTTTATCATAAAAATCTACAAGTTTTTAATGACCTTGACAAGTAGATACCAAACTTTATCTTTGGGTTTTGAACATTTTTAAAAGAAACACCAGCCTGTTTACGCATTACAATGTATCATAGAACAAATGTTCAAACCCAGTGGCAGATTTAAGGGGGGGCGCACCTGGCGCGCGCCCCCCCTAAAATTGTCAAAAATAACGTAAATCACAGTTTCGTCTAGAAAATTTAAATATGTATCCTGGTAGACCTCATTTTTACCCTACAAAATCTCTAGAATCCAGGAGCTTCCGGGGGCTTCGCCCCCTGGGCCCCCAGCAGGGCTTTGCCCTCGACCCACTGGTGGCCTCAAGGCGGCCCCCAGACCCCTTGCCTACTTTTGGCGCCCCCCCCTAACTTCAATTCCTGGATCCGCGCCTGAAACCTATCTCCTATATCTAAAATTACATTTTACAGAAAAAGGTTGCTGACTTTAAACTATACATCATTTTGAAATTAATAAAATGTATTATTGTATGGATTACAGTTTCCAATACAATGATTGTAAATGAACCTCTGAGTGAAGAACCTTTTTCCTAGAGCCCAGCTAATTCAATGTTCTGCAGCTTCATTTAACTTTTATAAATAGTACAGTTGCGATTTTGGTACATATTTTGAACATTCAGTGTCTCTAATACCATAGATATAGATTGAAGGGAGTTGGAATTTAAAACCCAATTACCTTTTTTGTCTTCATTTACTAGTATTTTTTAACCTCAAAATCTAGAATCATCCGATTTATCAAGTTTTATTTTAATTTTGACAACTTTATATAACCATGCTTCATGATAATTTTTACTTTTATATAGATGCTTACCATCCTCACAGACTTTGTACGTCAGGCCGCCGTCGTCTTTGAACCAGATATCTGGATGTTCTGATATCACTGTACCTCTACAATAAAATAATAGGTTTTTATAAATTATACTAATATATGTTGTTTCTGAACAGTAATTTTTTATAAAAGTTAAAGCAATACTTTGTAAATGTTTTGCGGGGGTGGAAAATTGAACCTGTTGGAGGTAAGAAAAGTCACCAGGCACATTTATATTACTGACAAGTTTATATTGAACTGTCATTTGAATATTTCGATCTACACATCAACTTAATCATGGCACCATTATTAAAATTCACAATGGATGATAGAGAGTGTAGGATACAAAAGGGATAGGTTTAAAAATTATCAAATCAAAAAAGATCAAGCTGTTTTTCTTTTTATACCTGATAATTTACCTGCACAAGCATTGCAATATGAGTTAATTAAATAGATTATTGCATGCAAATTGCAATCACGATGAATATATTATCTTAATTTTTTTATAATATGCAGGGGATAAAAAGTCAAATAGATCAAATGGTACCAAAGGCATGTCTAGATTACCTATCACTAGGCAATTTACCTAAACTATATAATTATTACATTTAAACAATTGTAAGTCACAAGTATTTGTCAAAAGCATAACACAAATAGCGATCGAGATTGAAATAATTTACATGATGGTTATTTGCAGGTTTTGAAGACTTTAAAAATTTAATTTCAACACTTATTCCGATCAACTGAATTTATTGAAATATTAAGCCAATAATGGGCCAATTACAAATTATCGTATTGAATCTTTAGAAGATTTAAACATTTCCACTGTAATTTCTCACACCCAACAATGTCATAGACACCAATCAACATTTTTTTGCCTTTGCAACATATTTTAGAATTACAAAATTCTTATCCTTCCACAACAACAAGTCAATTATGTCATAATTTCCTAATTCCCAATAATAAATGCTAAATCTCCTGAACTAAGCCCACTCCAAAACCCTGAACGTCTTGGTGATCTGGTGGCCTTTTGTCTGGTCCCCTGACCATGGTTAAGTAGCACACCTGGTATGACTAGGGGGAGCCAAAGATTAGGATCAACAGCTTATTTTACGACTCCTATGTAACCCCGATCACTGATTCTTAGTGCATTTTTATGGTACTTATTTACATAATAGTCAAGATAAGGGATATATCCTTAATGTGGAGATCATTGTATCAAGCCAATCATACGGTTCTTGCTCTTGTATAAATTTACATCGAAATAAACACTTTGCAAATAAGCCGTGCTATAAATTCATTGCTAAATAAGTAACTTTTACAAACGTAAGTAAGCTCGATTTTTTTTTTTTTGCTGTGATATTTATTTATTGTAGATTCTAAAATGTAGATCATCAAGCATGCTTAAGAAAGGCTAAATTATGATTAATTAATGTTTTAAATTCAATTAGAATTCTCTAGTGGAAATATTCTTGTATACATTTAATAATTCTCTTGATCCATTGACACGAATTCTCTGAATTAGCTTGTTTTTCTTGCTAAAAGATTTAATGATCCCCTTAAATAAGGAGTCATGAAAATTTAGTGATCTACAGACTACATACAGCAGCAATCTAAGGAATTTCCTGTGAATTTTATAGAAATTGTGATTATAACCTGTAATAAAAGTACATTTACAGTAATAAATAATGTATGTGAACAATGAATAAATCCTTCTGGCTACATTAATGGTTTTACTTCCCAAAACAAGCCTAAGAATCAAGCGATCCTATTCCAACATGCAGAGAAAAATATTTTCATAATCTCCACACCATCAGTGACAGATTAAAGTAGTTCTTTTCTTTAAGAGATTTTATATGTCTGTATATCAGAAAATAAGTCACAATATTAACCTTTGAAAGTTGGTTTGAATTCCCTAAAGGAAGTGCTTTGAATGTGTACCTATATGTTATTATCATTACGAATAAAAAACATACATGGTTCTTAAATTCTTAGCTTCAAAAATGTTTTATATTGCATCAGCAGGCAGTTTGAAATTCAATTTCAATGAAAGTTTAGCATGAGAAATAATTTTTCATCTGATTTTATGACCGAAACACACTTGATGTATCAAATGCAAGTCAATATAATTGAAATCATTGCCAGGAATTTGTCAGCAGAATTATTTTTGTCGCTAAAATAAAAAGAAATATGCTGCACCAGAGGGTACACAAGAAGACTGAGATAATCCTGAGGAGTTTGTTTTTATTACTGTGAACTTTTGAATAAAATTTAGTGTCACCAATTCCATTTTAACTGGACATTTAATTTAATGGAAACCAAAAGAGCTTTGATCTAGCTTTGATCACATTTGGGAAATAAAATTTATTCTGTAGGAGATTTTTAGAAATGATCTATATATGATCTGCTCTCAAGTCTAAAATATTTTATGCATTTGGGAAACAAAATTTATTCTGTAGGAGATTTTTAGAAATGATCTGTTTTCAATCTAGTACCCTTGTACTTGTGCTGTGTAAAAAAAAAAATGTTTAAAATAATTCGTCAGTGGACGATATTCAACAAGACGATTGAAAATGAATCACAATTTGATATCATAATTTTTGTGGCTCATCAAAAGTAGCTAAAATTTCTCAGTATATAATCCATACTACCCCAGTACCCAGTGGCTATATTGTAATTATGTGGCATACAAGATTTCTCTCCCTTTTTTAAAATTGTCTTTCATTCTGATTGGCAACATATTTTGCCTTTTTGATTTCAGTGCATACAACTAAAGTGTTTATACTTTTGAAATAATTTCCATGGCTTGTAGAGAAATAAAATATTATCCTTCCCCTGTCATCCTATATTAGCAGTACATGTATAACTTTACTTTAGTCTTACTAGCACCAGTTTTATTTTTTTCTCTTTTATTTCAGAATTCAACAAAAAAAAATTAAAAATAAATATCCAAAAAACGGCAGTAAAGTCATTTTCATCTCATTATAATTTCAATTATCCTTCACTCCTTTCTCCCCCTCACTATTCTAAAAATGTGCAGCTGTAAGGGCTTATTAGATCTGTACCTGATAGACCTTGGTACTACAGTACTTAAGCCCTCCAGAAATTCCCTTATGTCTGGCCCAGTGTTTTACTTCTACTAATACTTTTGTTTTCATAATCCCCTGAAACCTCACAGAAAGACGGCCTGTAGTTTTTTAAAGACTTAATAAAGAAAAAAAAAGAGCATCAAGCTCGGGATGACGGCCGGTCTGTGAAATTTGACAGTAAGATTGTAAGACCTGATAAAAATCTGTGATATCGGGTGCTTGTCATTTAACATTGCCTGGACAGTTTGTAAACACTGGGGGACCGGCCCTGTCATCTTTTTGTCTGCAGTGAGCGCTTATTCTCGGCTTTCATTCAATTTCCAAATTAGCACATCGGGAGAGAGGGGTTCCCCACTATGGGGATCCGATAATGACTGGCTACGAGACTGTAAACTACTGGTCTGACAAATTAAAGTTGACTCTACACTACAGAATTATGACATATCCAAACAAGGCACCTCACTAATCTGACAGCATGAAGTAAACATTAAATAAATGTTCCAATTAAGACAGACCGGTCTATAGAAGTTGACAGATCATCTCAGGTTTGACAGTTTCACAGGTATCTCGTCAAAGCTACCCTATTGGCCTATCATTTAACACCATCGCTTTATACCCATTCAGATAATTTACCATCCATGGCCAAAGTTGAATCTTTTTCTTTTTTCAGAACTTCTTTATTTAACTTCTTTATTTCCGAGCTAGCTAACTCTACTCAGTGTGTTAGCACACTAAGGTAATTTAAACATTTCATGACTTGGCTGCACTGCAAGGCATTTTCCATTTTATGAATTTGTTTTAGCCCAATAGATTTCCAACAGATTGAGAAACCGATTATATACTGTCCAGTAGTTTTAAGGTTCTTCATTGAAAAAGCTTTATATGGAGGAATATGTACAAAGCACAATCAGCAGATTGGCATTTGCAATCAATTTCAAACTTTAATTCATTGATTTTGTGCACCAATTACCTTCATTTCCTCTTGTTGACACATGTTTAAGTGCATCACCTAGGTCACAGTTAACTCATTAATCGGAACACCCCCTCCTAAAAGTGGTTTTCTTCTACCACTAGGTGGCACTAACAGATTCCTGAGGTCATCAAGGTCACCACAATGGTTGAATGATTGACAGATAACATGGCTGCTGATGCGCAGAACAAATGTGTCACCCTTAAACTGACGTATGCTGTAGACATCTGACCAGCACGCAGTGGCCAGTACAAATGTCTACTATCAGAAGCTTACATATTTTAAATGCTAAATGAGATGGATTGACAAAAATGGCCATCATCTTGGCAAGCAGGGAGCAAGAGATTTATCGAGTGGCAACGCTATAATGTATGGCCCTGTATATGTCACATGCAGCCTTTATACCACAGAATACAGAATACAGGTGTTGTTTGCTAAAGAAGAGAATTAAGAAATGACCAAAATAATGTGCATACTTTTAAATGATGTAATGCCTATCTTGAAAGATTTAAATATCATATCTCCTCTCAAATTTGCTTGAATATTTTCTTGCTGAAATACCTGCTTTGTTAGAATTTCTTGATATAGACTACAAATCATATTACCTAGACCTTAGATTAGCTACACATAGCATAAAGTCAAGGTTGCGGGCATGATCTGTCACAGTAGCCAGGTGTTGTGGGAGATTTGTACCACAACAAAATTCCAGAGCAATAACATTTGCATTATTTCATGCACATTTTTATTGTATGGTGTATGTGAGAAGTTGAAATGACACAAAATTATGCTAAGCTTTTTCTAGCTTCAATTTTTCTTCTTTTCAAAATCAGCTAGTATGGCATGCAGATTTACAACTGTAGTCAAAATAAAACTTATCAAAAAACTGCTGAAAATTTGCTCACCAACCACAAAAATGGAGGCTAGTTCATCATAGATTACTTAAGTCATTATGAATAATATCATTATCTGAGTATTGGCACTTGTTTATTGGACAGGGCAACATTTTTACTCAATTATCCTGGTAACTTTTTAATAATTGAAATTAAAATGATTTGAATTATTTCAAGCTTTGACTTTAAAACTGGCATTTTTGCTATTTTTGATACTTAAAAAGCATCACAAAGCTATTTCTAAATGATAAATGAATCATTCAAACTTTCTCTTTATTGTCATATTCTTTAAAGATAATTTTGATTTACTCTTCCTTGCATTCATAAAGAAATTACCGAAAAGATAAAAAAGAAATCTCATTATTGTATGGCATGTGGTGTAAATATATCTCTCAGCTTAATTAAAACATCAGCATTCTGCCAGAAATCAAAGATTTACGATATTATTTATATACTGATCATTTTCTCCTTGACTGACGAGCTCAATGGCTCAAACACGCTCTAGCCTTGAGATCGCAAGAGATGGGATGGTTTTACAAAAAAGAGTTTAAATACATGTTCTTCATCTATAAAGACATATTGATGAAACATTTAATCTAATGTTCATTATGTTCATTCATAATAATGAATGTATAGATCTTTCTGTAAATCTTTTCCTGCAATAAACTTCAAAAGTTATTTTTTGAAGTCGGACCGGAAACACAAGAAAAAGATGAAACATTCCCCAAAAAACTATTGAGCACGATTTTTTTCTTTCTGGTCTTCTTGGTACAACTGAGCAAATTCTGCGAGTACACTCATGAAATTAAGCATAACTCTCTTTCTATCTATACATTCATATAGTCTTTCATGTTTAATAAATAAATTGAGCAATAAATTAGTTTCCCATTCATACGCTGTGCAAGCCTGCTATATATAAGAAACTTCAATTGTTAAAAACCTGATGAATGAATTACTCAATGAGTTTTTTTAACATCCTCCCCTGCACACGAGTCGCGGCTTGCGAGATAAACCTAATCTCGACAAGCTCTTTAACAGGAAGTTAAAACCATTTTAATTTCTGCCATTAGAACCCCATCAACTTGTGATAAGTAATGGCTAATCACGAGAGTGTTTGATACTGGCTGCGGAGTGTTTGATATTTGCTGCGGACTTGTGGCCGTCTGCTGGCCGTGGTTCTTTTTTCAGATACCTATAATCAGGGAGCACAGACTCCAGGCTCCTGGAAATCCATTCATGTCTTCTGTAGCACAATCAGAGGATCATGTTATTGTGCAGATCAAATGCTTTTATGCCTCATCAACAGAGGATATTGCATATAAACCCTAATTTTAATGACGCCATTTAGAGACACTTTATCTTCCTGATATTCTGTTTATCCTTGTCTTGTTTTCTTAATTAGTTTTTGTTATCAGAACATTGTCCAGAATTTTAAAGTCTGGTTACATAAAAAACAATAAACTGCCTGTAAAAAGATATTATTTTAATCCCACACTGTCCAGATTCTTAAATTAATCACTTAGAATAAGAACAATTAATGCTCTTACAAATAAACTTCAAGGTCGAATTCTGTGTGGCTTAGTTCAAGTCAATTTTGTCTCACAATTGTCGCATACATGCAGGTTTATCATCTTTAAATTTATCAAACATATTTTGCCTGCACTTTACATGGGACAAACACGTAAAAGAAGACAGTGTTTGTAATAAGATATTCTGATTAAATGAGGGATTTCAAACAATACAGTCATGCTAACCAAACACTCTTGTTCGATAAATTTTCACGACAAAATACCAAAAAATTTGGGATACTTTCTGCTGCAAGTGCACGTTAGGGAAAAAGTCAATATTTACTCTTATGTGGTATTATGAGGGACGAACTTCAGAGGTATTTCATTACATGCATTCCTTCTAAGACTGTGTTGACTTTACGAGACCACCAGTCATATTCTTTTACTACATCTGGTGCCGATTTCACCAATTAGCGCTCAAATATCTCATTCTGTGTCTATTCTATTATTGTTTAACTCACTTAAAACCTGCATAATCTGCACTCCTTGAAAATTTAGAGAATTGAATGCCAATCCCCAGCAGATTATTGACACCTGTAGACCAACACAATCTGAAATTAATGACATCAACTCCGTGCCAATGTCACCGTATGCCTGTGAAAAGGCATGTTCATATCGAAGACTTTCTACAGTACACAGGGACACTTTTATATGGATCTTCTTGTCCTAGAGCAATTGGAATGCTTTTCATGAAATCATTTTTACTGTGTAATCCCAAAGAATTTGACAGTCATCCAAAAATGTCCGCTATTTTGCACATATGCACACTTATTGACTCTCTAATCAGCTAAAGTATCAGGGAATGGTCTCCCCTCTGGGTCTAGAAAAACGACGAATTAACGAACTTAATATATTGTATTAAATACAAGCCAAATCAAGGAATAAAGCCATCAAACAATTAAAAATAACACTGACACATACTTAATTAAGTAAATATGTCTGAGCCAGTGCTTTAGTTAATTATCTTTCAATTTTCATCATATATCAAACTTTAATCTTAATCTCAATCTTAATTTCAATGCATGTATACAAATAAATACTTTTGTATTGTGATCCAATTTCATGTTGCCAGATTTCTAATGTGTGCAAAAAGTGACAAGTCAAGCTATAACAAATTCACTGCACATAATATTTTTCAATATTTGCTTTGCAGTGAAATTCACAAACTCGCATCACATCAACAAATCAAGAATAAAGTGTGCCTGTAAATTTCATCTCAGAAAACTTATTAAAATATTAGAAAATTTCAGTTTGAATGGCTTGATCCTTTGACCAAGAGGTAAAGTCATCTTGTTTGATAAGTCCTAGCTAAGTGTGAAAGGTTCCTCAGCCTACAAGATTCGTGGCTCTGGGGCCTACATGACTCACCTGAATTCTACACATCCAGTTCCTGGCTCTGGGGCCTGCCATGTAAAGGAGACCTCTTTCTTCTCCATGAGAACATAATGGGTGATAACTGTGTGATTACACTCCGGATTTTCCTGAGCTTTGGCTGTCCTAGGAAGCTGCAAATATATAGATTCATATGAAACAAAAAAATTAAGAATTGAAAATAGGATTAACAATTATAGATTAATATATTCAACTGATTTTTATATCTAATTAACTGTATTTGTAATAAATACCATATATAGTACCATCTAATGTATGAACTTAAAAATATTTAAATTGCAAATTCTTTTATTCAGTTCAAATAATATAATTTTCATATTATTAATATATAAACTACACTGTAGTCACTACCTCCCACAATATTTCAGTACAAACAATTTATGCAATTTCAACAAAAGGAGTGAATTAATTTGAATCAATTGGTCATCCCAACATAAATCTTATAAGCTTCACTGAGTGGCAGTTTTTTGGAGTGTTTAGGATCTAATGACTTCATTCAATGACATTAGCTGACACACCATAGCCAAAAAAACAAAATATAAATCAAAAACTTCATTAACATTTTAAATAGGTTAACATTATCTATTTACAATTAATTTTTTTTTAAAAATTAACAAATGAATCTTCATTTTCATATTATAATCAGAAGTGTATGACTGTATTCTGAAGTGCCCTTGCATTAAAAATGAATTCAATTTCATAAATTAGGCCCATAAATCATTGGCAACACAAAATGTGTTAAAATTTCACAAACATAAAAAAAACTCTAAAAAGTCATTCATCATTTGATTCTAAATGTATTGATGCATATAAATATATAAAATTTTCTTAAGGGTTTCTTTATTTGTATCATGCACTGGTTTAATTTCCTACATTGACCTAGGTTTTGTGCTATCATTTACAATCTGTACATGAAACAGTGAACAGGAATATTTGAAAGAAAATCTACCACTTTACTGGAACGGAAAAAATCATTTACTTGAATTCATCATTTTATTTCGAGTTTGGCAGGAGATTCAACATACAAGACAATCAAATATTGAGACACTTTATAAATAATTTTTTAAAAGCAATTTTGGAAAGTCTTTCTTTAACTTTCTTTTTGAGCTTATCTTGAACTTCTGTTGAAAAATCATAAAAATTTTGATACTGTTAATTAAATAGTGCAAATACATTTAATTAACTCAAACTTATTGATACAATTTCATTGTTTTGCATAATTTCATGGTATGTATAAAACTGTTCTATTCACAAAAATTCCAAGATTTTTATCTATGATGATTTGCAATGCCATTCAGCATTAAATAATTTTATTAAAATATGCATTTCATTTAAGTAACTTGCCCAAACAGTGAACTTATAGACAAGGATCTTATCTCTTAAATACAGATTGAGGAATTATACAAGTTTCTCTACTTACATAGAACATTAACCTGTTAACAATGTTCTTACTACTTCACTTATACTAACTACCAAACAGAAAAGTGCGAGACCTACATGTAGTAAATGCATGTCTTAAGTTTAAAAAAGGAAATTCATGGTTTTTTAGAAAAGCAAAGACAAAATATCTTATGACTGAGGAACCTATTTAATTCAATGCTTATAATATTTCAAAAAATTTAGTTAGTCAAAGAAAAAATTACATCCTCTGAAAATCAAAAAATGAAATTATTATAGAGTATTTTTTTTTCTCTCTCTCTCTTTTTCCCCAAGGAAAAGTGTTAAATATGCATTTCATGGCACATCTTTTTCAGCGAGAGAAAAATAGGAAGAAGCATGTGTTCTTATTTAAGACAAATACATCTACACAGGTGCTACACCAGCTGATTTATCTAAATAAAGCCACAATCAACAACATCTGATTGTCACACCTCATTTACTTTGTCACCATTTTTGTACTGTATTTAGATGCAGCTCTGTGCATCTGATCTGTACCTAAGTAATTTCCAGGGAAGTTTGGTGCATATATATCACAGTAACTTGTATTATATCCTGTTTAAATTATGTAATCTTTTTATAGGACTGATAAATGTGCAAAAATAAGAAAATTCCCATACTAAAAGCTTGAAAAATTAAAGATAAATTAACGGAACTCTTAACATTCAAAGGCAAATAGGTTATCCAAGAGATGTTGCACCAGAGAAATGCAGAGAGAGCAAAGCACATGTTAATGAGTTATTCAACTGCAGAATGAATTGACTGTGAATGAGTGACGTAATAAGCAATAAAACCTTTTTCATCAACAACATCAAAATAATCTAACAAAGACATTATCAGTCAATTTCGAGCGGTTCTATCTTCTTCTAGAATGCTGTGCATTTGGCTAATTTAAGTAATTAACAGGCAGTTTAAGCACCTCTTGTAGAATAAGCTTTATATAACTTTTTAATTAGATCACTCACATAAAATTTTCCGACCGTTGTTGTCTCATCTTTCGCTTTTTCTGGTTTGGCTACTATCATAAATCCTAAAAACCCATTGTCTTCTTCTTCGTAGCGATTTTTGAGATGAACTGCAAAAAAATTCAAATACTTTTCACAAATTCGATCAAATAAAACCTTTCTTTTCTAAGTATGATTATTTCAATCTACATTTATAGAACAATTCAGACACAAACAAGATACTTTAAAGTTAGTTTTAGGTGAAAATATGGTATTTCCCTCCGATTTTTCATATTTTGGGTTGCAGATGCTGGATAACTCGTTCAAAGAAAGACTTAATAAAATGATTGGTTTGAACTTCGGATGATTCGTGTAGCATTTCAAAAAGGCTGTAACTTTTTTTCAGATATCTGAGAATGCAAACAATATTTTAACCAGATTATCAGTTTATCGTTTGAAAAGATCCTTCAGGGTTATTCACTTTCCCCTTGGCCCAGGTTAAAGATGTAAAGAAATGAGCACCTGTACATTTTGCCCGGAGTAAATTTAAGACTGGTTGAGTGACTGACGGTTGCATAAATCAAGTCTATATCTACCAAAGAATTCTCCATCTTTAGGAAACAATGTCTGCTATTTTAACCTGCATTTATCTTAAACTCTACATCGACGATGAAAATAACACCTTTAGGATTTTCCTTTTTTTTTGTGGTGCTTCAGTCGCACGAGACACATGAAAACTCAACAATCCCTCATTCTTCCTTGCGGTAGCCACAGGTATCAAAGATCAAAGTCCCTCTTTCACACGTTTAAACTCTGTGATTGACAAATTATATATAGATAAATGTAATGGTAACAATGCTCAGTGGTACGAACATAAGCTAATTCCTAATGTCGGTAGGCATAAGACAGGGTGAATCACCTAGCCCTTCATTATTAATTCACTTGACATTCGAGAACTATTGATGAAGCTTATTTGCACAGCCAAGATATCTTTGCCCTCTTCACAAAATTCAAAAAAAGTTATCTTGTTGATAGATCAATATACCCTTATTGATTATGAGATTATGTCTTAATATAAACGCATTGAAATTCACTCGATCATTCATTCACTCAATGCCTATATTATGTCTGCTTTATCAAAGTAAATCTTTTCTTCGTCGCGAATAAAAATAACACCATTTCCTGTTTTATTATCTTTTAAAGAGTTCCTATTGATAATTTTTACTTTTCAATGATTTACTACAAATACAAATTGTTTTCAATATACACTATGTTGTCAAACAAGAAAGTTTGGTTTTGCAACGTATACAAATAATCGCTGCAATTATCATGTTTCCGATCCAAAACATTTTTTATAGGACCTTGATGCTAGATTGATTTAGATATTGAAAAGAATCACGCACTGAAGATAGCTACCGACTTTCTTTTATTTTAAATGTTACTTATTCTATGAATCGTGGGAGGGGAGGGGAGTAATGAAGCAATACTTTTGTTTCGAAGCACCACACAAGGAGAGATATAGAATTTCTTCAAACCTGTCATTGTCTTTTGTACATTGTATCTTGTTAATGATTGTGCTTCAAAAATAAATGGTAATTGCATGATGCATGCACTTGTTTTAGCTAAAAAATGATTTTAAAAAAGTATTCGCCTTATACTCCGAAAGTTTACACCCAAATTGTTTATATTTACTTCTCGTCAAATCATATTCCTCAAAAGTAGGTTAATGTCATTCATATGTTTTACAAGACAAGAAAACAGGAATTGATCCATCAATATAAACCAAAGAGACTTTATAAATATCAATGCCACAGAAATAAAAATGATCGATCAAAAATCGATCCTTCTCTTAAATTGGCTTTTTTTTAACTAGATCATAATATTACAGAAGATTGTATTTAATAAGCAATGTCGTTGTAAAACAGTAAAAACGTATCTGTTTTGAATTCTTAGACAAAAAATTTCTTTCAACTCCTACACCTTCGTAGATTCCCATGAATTTTTGCGTTGTTAATTTGTTTTGTTTTTTCTTTTGTCTGCAGGAGCAAAAATGTTTATCTAAATTCGTGTACAATGATTTAAAATTACAAAAAGTAAAAAATAGTTGTTTACTAGAACAATCGTTGCAAAGATTTATTTTGCGTTTAAGGAATACAAGTGCATTCTGCAAACTGAATATCCGGAGTGGAATGAAAACCAATAGCCTCCTACTAACTACGCCTTGCTTTGTTGCTTTTGAAATACGATTTAAAAACAGTCAGGTTGAATTAATAAGAGTCACATCCATACAACACAACAGAGGTCATCAAATTAAACATTACATCAACAAATAGTTAATGATAGTAAATAATAATCCCCTCCTCTCCCTACCTAAAATATATTATTGTAGATCGTTGAAATTGGTAAATTTTAACACTTAATGTAACATATATAGTGCAAAGATATAATTAAAATTAAGATTTGATTAACATTTCAATTCATTTATGTTACTTGTCAATATTATATACTTTATTATGTTATTATTATGACAACTTTACTAACTGTATCAACTTTACTAACACCAGGAGAAGAACTTGTAAGTTGCAAGAACTTGTTTCTGATCCTTTTGTGTTAAACAATAAAATATGTTCAAATCATATATAGTGCACTGACATGAAACGATTTTCTTCGAATCTTTGTCTATCTTTTTATCTTTATTACAAAAACACTAGTATTTTATTTTAGTTCATATTCTATGCAAGTATTTTCATTACATGTTATACTACCGTAACATTTTTGGTAATTATAATTACGCTAATTATTACGGTTCGGTCCGGTATGCAAAGGGTTGGGAGGGAAACAAGGTCGAGTATCTCGTGACAAATATATTTTGATGACCTGTTTGATCTGGGAGATGCCCTGGACAAGTTTATATTTTTCATGTGGTTTGTGGTTTCAACATTTGTTCGTCAACATGATGCACTAAAGGATTAGTTGTCCTGTGCACATTAGATACTATCGGATTTATGTCATATTTCCTATTCATTCACCACACCCTGCCTCACATGTACATTTAAGATTCAATCAACATCATTGTAATATTTAGAAAATACGAATACGTATATTTTGTTAGACAATAAAATTCTTTGGTTGTTGGTATGGATTGGGGTTGGAATATTTCGAAAAAAATTCATATTTTAATTTATGAATTATTTTAAGCATCTAATTTAGCTACCAGAAATAAGACTAAAACATAGCTAAGTTTATGTAACACTCGTGTAGAATGAAGAAAAAATTTGAATGATATAAGTATTTGTATGAAAATATAACTGACGAAATATTAATGTATTTGAAATGAACTAAATCGGTAAGGATTGGGCATAAGGAGCAGTATGTACAAGGTGACCACAAAGCCCAATAGCTCTGTCTTATAATCCGATCTGGTGTTAAATTTGGCAGAATAATTTAACATCACAGCATATATATTACATTTTTCACCTTAAATACAACCCAGGGCAGAGATTATAACATGAAAAGTGCCGACAACTTTCCGAAGTGCACCTCACAATGAACAACAAAGGGGTGCCGTAATTTGGAATGCTAAACTTTAAACTGAACTGTAGGTGGGTCAATCTAATTGACAAAATTTCAGGTTACCATGTCATTTCAAAGGTTCATTGATATTATATCAACGGAATGTTTCTTTCTATTTTTGACTTCAGAAATCTGTACCGTCAAAGAGCCGACATGGAAACGCCTCCTGTTCAGCAAGCTACTTGTCGTGATTCCAAATGAGTAATTTTTGTTTTGTTTTTCGGTGACCAAATGAAGAATTCTAACACATCATTTCGAAAAATGCATGTCAACTTAACCTGCTAGAGCACTTTCAGTACATGCTTATTTCCACGGTCTTCACCAAATTCCGATTCGAAACTTTAAACCTATAATAAAAGAAAATTCTACAAGATATAATACCGAGTATCTTCATATAGAAGAAATATTAGAATTGATATGTAAGCATCTTTTGGTTTGGATGATACAGAAATGATACCCAAGTTCTTGTTCACAGACTGGCATCTTTTCATATTTATTTGATACAAAAATAGCTCTTTTTGACCAGATTGCCTCCATCTTGCTTTCTCTTACATACAGAAGTTGTTCTTTGAAATACAAATTAGAATTCAGATTACAGGACTTTTATACGTAGATTTACACAGATAAATAATCTGTTTTCATTTCCATGGCTCTCATTTATTAACAAAGCTGGGGGTATAATATTTGGAGTTGAGCAAACACTGTGTGACAGTGGGTACATCGCACTCTATCATACCATTTACCCGGTAGAACTGCTTGGCATGTTCTTGTGAAACTAATAGCAGGTCATTAGAGAAGCTGGTAAACTAGTGTCGGTCGGTATCATGAATTCCAGTGTCGATAGTCTTATCACTGTGTATGTTTGTTTGTCTGTGTGTGTGCTTCTTGTTATCAACACAGAGTCTGGTTCGGCGTAAGGTCACACTTTCATCTCAAAACAGATCAGGAAAAGGTGACTTTTCTAACAGAACAGGTGCGAGGAATCGATTTTAATTGGCCTCGATTGAATAGAATATAAACGTTTAAGGAAAAAAAGTCTTAATGCGTGAATAAAGAAAGATTGCTTGTGTTTTGGCTACTGAACTTAAGAAAAGAGCTAAAAATAAACTTTTTTTTTAAATTTAAAGAGGTGGTGTAGTTATCGTAATGTCTTTGTTAAGGCGTGTGATCATATGAGCGTTAAGTAGCCCAACATGCCAAATTAAAGCAGATGTACGGCAAATAAACCAAACTGACACAGGATACTAGCTATAACAAGCCACGATAACAGTTTCATGTGGATAACTTATCAAGTTTTCCCAACTTTTAAAAATAGAGGAACAACAAAAATCGTGTATCTATGTATCAATGAACATCTGGGAGAGGGTGGGGCATTCTGATGGGCCCAGAGATCACTGCACAACAGAGTCGCGAACTATAGGGGGCAAAACGACAAACCTACGGGCGATTGGACCCGCCGTCTTCCGTGTAACACGCCATACTTGTCCTGGCGTACAAAGTGAGGTGAAAAATCAGTCACGACAAGGAAAAGAGAATAAAATCGAACGTGTTCTGATGT